ACACCCGTTCGAATTGCTGGTCGGCGACTACTTAGCACTACCCAAAGGAACAGGAGGATACACGAACCTTGGTGTATATCTAGATACCTTTTCCCAGCACGCATGGGTCTTCAAGCACAAGGCAGCAGGAAGTGCAAAAACAACAGTCGAAAGTCTAACGCACATATTCAACAGATTCGCACCCTCTGAAACTTTCATGTCGGACGGAGGCAAGCACTTTAACAACGATGCAGTTAGATCGTACTGCGAATCGAAGAAGTGCAAACTTCACATTGTCGCTGCGTATTCTCCTTGGGTTAATGGATTAGTAGAGGGCACTAATAAACTACTTTTGCATATCCTTAAGCGCCTGTGCGCACCGAGAGTAGGGGAAGATGAGCCCCAAGAAACGTCATGGGAGAAACTCCCAAAGACATGGCCAGAGCACCTAGAGGAAGCAGTCCAAGCTCTGAATAACCGTCTCCTGCCGGCGCTGAAATTCTCCCCCAAGGAGTTGCTCTTTGGGCTCGTGGTTAACACCCAAGCAACCCCACTAGAGGAGAACACAGCAGCCACGACTCAAACGGACGCCTTAACGCATATCGCATACGTCGACCAACAACACTTGGACGGCTACGAGGAGACCCTGCTCCATGCGTCCAAGCGCAAGGCAACTTTCGATAGAAGAGTCAAGAAACGAAAGCCGGGAGAAGTCATCTTCAGAAGAGGACAGTTAGTACAGGTATACAGAAACGACTTGGATTACACGTTCAAAACGGAGCGTAAGCTACTGCCGAAATGGTCAATGCCACGGCGCATCAAAACAAGACTAAGGAACTCGTACACCCTGGAAACTTTAGAAGGAACCGCCTTACAAGGAGAATATAGCGCTAGAAGGTTGAGAGCATTCTCACCACGAGAAGGCACGGTGTTGGCGAAGAAACAAGAAGAGCATGAGGAACGGATGAGAGAACAAGGAGAGACAGACGAAGAAAAGGAAAACGGGAAGGATAGAAACGAAGAGACCAATGAAGAAAAGGAGGATAGAAGAGACGAAGAGAATGAAAGTGAACGAGAGGATAGAGAAGACAGAGAAGAAGATCGAGAAGAGGATCACGAAGGAACAAAGTAGAGGATCATAGGCGTCGAGGGCGGCGCCGGTTGTTTTTTGAGGGGCGCATGGACTAGGGGTTCCAAGGGCATAGGCCACGCACCTAGAGCCTCATCGGCTGTTCCCATAGCTTAGTCAGCACATAGGTCAGGTGTCAGCATGTTCGTAGTGTACATCATCATCGATCCACCTCGGTTCTAGCAGCAGCGTGGTCTTTAGCAGTCGGCACTGCTCCAACGTCGATCAAAATTTCATGGAACTTCAGGCTTATAAAATTCCACAATTCGAATAAGAAACAGTCGAGCTTCCTGCTCGGCCAGGCGCAATGATCCGGTTCATCCTTTTTCCCATGTTCCCTCTGAGTTCCGTTCTTATCTATGGATGGCGTCGTATCTTCAGATTCTTCGCCAGATTACCACTGAAACCCACTAAGCGCGATGTGATCAAGGCGAGAAAACAGATTTCGCCTAACTTATAAGGTATATTCTACTCTGACCATTTTGGCGTCTAATGACTGAGCAAGACGGTCGGATACCCTCCAAGAATAGGAAATTTGTTTTTACAAGTTTCGGTGTGGTATTTTATGTCAGTTATTTGTCGTTCCGCTCATTCAGAAGGAAATAGGTCTGGGGACTCTGAAGAAATTATCATCACCCGCTGCCCACTCACATTCGCACCAAGTGGCAAGCTGAAATCATTTACTTAGAAGGTCTCGAAACTGAGCAACTCCCTTGGTGCTCGAACTGAATACTGGCAAGAGCAGAATTTAGGTCAAAATTTTATCATGTCTAAGTGAGTGCTTTGGCTTAGTGCTCTACACGACGACTAAGTGTCCCTACCCTGGATAGCGCAGTATACACTTTCCTGTGTAATTCGGTCCGAACGCCATGACAAAGATCACACCCTGTGACAGCATACTAGCATTTACCTACAACCTACGTCAGGCTGTGGTGTACTTTGCCAGTATCAGGGTTGCACCGCCCTTCCAGTACATCCTTATCGTCTGATGACCCTTGAAGACACTCCGAGAGTCCGAGACGCGCCGTGGCATGAGGCTGACATTCACGGACAAGGCTGAGTAACTGGGCGTCGGAGTTTGACAGATAGGCTGAAGGTACTTGCGCACGCCAGGCACTTATGAAAGGCCCATCTCAAAGACGTACATACTAGCTCAGACTGGTTACAATTGCAAGTTCAAGTTCAGCGCTCCCCCTTGCCCATAGCGTGAGAAAACATGTATGGATTTGGTGGACAATTGGTGCCTTGGACATGGCAGGTCGGGTGGGGAGATGTGCGTCAAGTACGGCGTTTCGACCTACTTATTCCGTTTATGATTTTCCTGTGTCGCGCAGCTACTAGCGACACGCTGTGTTGGTCTTGGCGGGCGTTGCACAAAGCCCACCAACATGGTGATATTGTCAAGAGGCATAGGATGAGCTGCCAATTCCAATGATGTTGAGCGCTGGACTCGTCATACTGTAAACTGCCAAATCCTGCACAGAGTTTGGTGGTATATCTAGCACTGGCACCATCATCGTTCATTTATCATAAAGTTCCCCGCTCTCCCTCGAATATGACTCAAGTTTCCAATGATCCCAGTTGGTGGCCGATAATCGATTCGTATCATTTTTACAGCTATTTTGTAGGTTCGTGGAGAGCCAGACGACTTGATGATGACTTGATCTAACCTTGGCTGTGGGTTCGCAGTTGCCGCATGCACTGTGATGATATACGATTGGGGTGAGTGAAATAGGATTGAAGAATCGCTGATATCCTTACGATGTCACCAGCTCTGACACTTGGACAAGAGGTACGTTAATGCCATTATTGGAGCAGCCATCTCGCTACTAAGAATGCCGTTATAGATTGAGTTGATATGGGTGAGCAGAGTTTCATGTCAGAAGAACAAGATTGATTCGGGTAGAGGCAACGCTGGTCCCTCATGACTTTCCTGTATCTCATTGTCCGTATCGTATTTTATGTGCAGCTAGCAAGTCGTGCTCACGTCAAAATATTATAGGTGCGCTATGCTGGAATACCATTTTCTGTGTATGTTTTCAGGGTCACCTGTCGGCGGGGCGCTAATAAGTAATCCCTCACTACCAGCATGGCCATGCTGAGTATGATCCTTACATCCTCGTGTTTGTTCCTTCTGATCGGTGGCATACAACAGTCAGTCTTCCATCAGTCTTGGTGACAGATGCAGTGAGAATTCTGCACTAATAATAACCATTCTCGTCCTTAACTGCACTCCTGTATAGGGGTGAGTGCGATGTTTGACCAATGGCCGCTTGCTGGTTCATCATAATGACTACAATAGGTGTGAGTTTCGTTAGAGCCTTTGATCCTATGAGGGTAATCACTGATTGCGATTTTCAGGCGATGTTATGAACGCTACAACAAATTGGATGGATAGGGTCATAACTGCCGTCCTGGGTGGTGAGCTACTCGGTGATATTATTGACTTGGCTGAAATATTACACAAGTCATCGTGATTGCACGGTTACGTGCTATGTATCAGGGATCCAGAAAGATTTTTATCTTTCTCATTGTAATTTTCCTGGTCATCACCATCGCCTGCGTAGTGATGATCGCAATAGGATTCAAGCATATTGTGGGGGGTGAGCTTTAGTTATGATGGATTAAAGAATCGAGCTCATTGTATGAACACCAGAGGAGCTCCTCCTCTCCGGCATCTACCAGTGCTCTTACGAGTACGAGGGGGACGTCCAACATCTGATTATAATGGTTTGGATCCTCATCACTGTATGGGAGGTCCTTGCACTGTGTTTTGTAGTCTGGATTGCAATGGAACACTACCGTGAATTGCGACGGCTACCAACAGGATCGAAAACTGGGAAATGTCTCATGGTATTAATCAAAACCCATGTGGTTTACTTTGCAATGTGAGCTTGTACTTTCAATGTTTGTCCCTTTTCCCCTGAAATCTCGCACGTGCTAGTTTTGCTGCTACTTCGTTTCTCCACATCGGGTTTCTCTCTCCAAAGATCGCGGTGCGCCGATGTGTTACGATATCTCCACGTGAAGTGCTCATCATTTCTGTAGGACTCGTGGTCCGTGGGAGCCGAGATATATTATGGCGTACTTCAAATTTGCTCGGTCGTACAGAAATTTGTGCTGGGACCACGTCTGATCCTTGGTGTCCGAGAATATTATGCCAAGTTCACCGAGTACGGTACAGGAACGGGCATGACTTCAATGGCTTTCCAGGAGTATGTACATGTGTCAACTAGTAGCAGTGTGTAATATGGGATATGCTCTGTATGGTAGCCTCGGGGTTTTTTGTCGTTCCAATTCTGAATTTCATCGCAGTATCTAAATACGTTTCTTCTGGTGATCCGAAGATTTGAAGGGTCTTAACCAATATCTTGGTGTCTCACTTGCTGCTCACCCTACACTTGCACCAAGCTGAAACCATGTATTTTAAATTAGAAGGTTTCACAACCAAGCACTGAATCCCGGCAGTTCCAGTCGTACTAGTAGTGCCCCTTGAGGTCAAATTCAGTACAGTTATCTTTCATTGAAGTCCAGTCGAGTGCAAGCACGACAAATCATGGTTTGGCTCCTTTCAGAGTATGTGCTCTGCGTAACACAAGGTTCATAGACTACGACTAGTTTTCGATAACACACCTTGCCAGTGCAACGATAGACGTTATAAACGGATGAAGAATAATATTTTTGATATTGGATCTTCAGCCTATCATGATCAGAGCCACTCCTTGTGAACAGCGTGCCACTGGATATACTGTGGCTACGCCCGTCCCTAAACCTCCGTAACTCGCACAAGATGTGCGGGGTCATGGCGGCGATGCATGACCTAGGAAAGTCTGCAGAATGTCAGCAAAATTTTGAAGTGTATGTGTCCATGGGTCGTCAGTTCTTCCAGGAGTCCTTGGACGATCTTCATCTTCATTCATGAAGAACTAAAATACATGTTTATTGGTACATCTATCCTCCCTCCCTCCCTCAATACAATACAAGGCATGAGATGCTTCTAGCCGGTGTCACGCTACATTGTCATGATATGACCGCATACTGTGAGTCTTCCGAAGACTAGAATCCATAGTCTCCACAGGGTGGGTACAGATCCCCTCGGTCATATTGACCTGGACTGGTCGAACGAAGACGAGTCCCGTAGTCGCCGGAATATCGAAATGCAGATCACTTTTCGTCAGGCTACGGCTAACACTGACGAGGAGAAGAAGAGGTGTCAAGGTCTAGAAGAATGTGAGACTGAGAAGAAGAGGAAGAAGCGTAAAGTACCCACAGCAATCTGGACATTAACGTCAATGGCCATGACGCCAGCTAGGCTGCCGGACATGCTCAGAGCGCTCAGTACCAAAATACTGCTGGTATAGATCGCACCACACTCGATGAAAGCGTATATGACAGCTTTGTAGGCATTGTGGTCAGTCAAATGAGATACATCTTTGCCTGCGCGCCAAAGACGATATGCGATTCCGGACGTGACGCTGACAGTGAAGACGAAATCAAGCGCAAAACTAGTTTTTGACAAAGCGAAGACAGTGTGTGAGAAGACTTGACGGAACCGAAGAACCACGGCCCAGGCCGCGACAGCAGTTGCTACGCAGGGGAGATGGATGATGTTAGCACTCAATTAACCAGCCAACCCAAGTTTAAAAGCCTACAGATTCGTCCAGCTTCCAGAATTAGCTAGCGATACCGACACTCGTAAACAGTACAACAAGTAGAATGGAAAGATATCTCACCATGATGATAGCAAGGATCCGGTTGTGATTCCAAACCACATACAGCCTCCAGATCTGTTATCACGGGTGTCAGTTTTAATACCTCCACACGCCGGTAGCAGCTCACTAGCAGTAAGTTTAGAGCAAACGTCTGAAGGAAGGAACAATAAGGTGCGATTCACTGCAAGATTATGATACCTACATTCATAATGTACAATGCCGCCATCGTCAACGCCAAGGTTGTGGGCCTGAGGAGGTATAAGATACTTCCGTTGGGAACGGATATTATAGCAGGATTCGTGAAGGCCTGTAGGGAACGAAACAGGCAGCAGATGTTGTGTGCTGTCGCGATTGAAAAGTGGAAAAAGCATGACACGGGAATAACCCTAGTCCATCCAAAGGTAAGCGCTGGGAAATTATATAACAAGCAATCGATACTACGGACCAATGTGCTCTCTTGCCCCGGTTAAATAGGACATGCATGCATACGCTAAAAAGCATGCAACTGTCGATGAAAATTGAAAATGAGTCTAGTGTGAGCCTCCTGCTACTTCCAAGTTCAGACTCACTTGATTCCTGTTAGATGACTTATTAGCACTGAATCTCTACACTTCCTAGCACAAAGATGCATACCATAAACTATAGACTCTAACCATGCCGAGGTTATGGACATGCGGTCGGCGGCAGGAAGTGGCATGTTCGCCCGAGGTGAACCAAGCCCAAATCGCGGTCTATCAGCTCTTACATATACTCATCCGCGTACGTGTAGAGCGTGACCTAGTGCTAGAAACATGATCCATGATGAGTGGGCAGATCCCCTCGATCTTGGCAGACAGTCGGGGAAATCGATTTTGCGGCAGTCTTATTCAAATTGTTGGTGTTCCTGAACACAGAACCGTGGGAGCGGTAAAATATAATGGATGCAGTGTGCACACTGCACGCAACAACTCTCCGTATACCTGAATCATGATAGCTAGTAGCTTGAAGGTCTGGAGGCTGGCCTCGAGGCCTCTGAACTCGCTCGACGAACGAAAACAACCTCAAAAGGGGGATGCTAGAATTGCAACCACTGCAGTGACACCCGCATCGATGATCGTGATATTAACCTCTTCGGACAATGCAGCAATTGTATCGTCGCTGCCGTCGAGAGGCAATGCAACACCCGTGAAGAAAGCCGTGGGTGGAAATGTGGCTTTGATAGCTGCACTTATTTCTGGTGGAAGTAATGCTTCTTCTTCGAGACCGACCTTGTATCTGCTCCTCCGAGTCCACTTGCAATAGTCTCCAGTGATGCCAGCTACCGAATCTCGAAGGTCCCGGTCCCGAGTCATTTTCACTTGATGTCATTGATGCTAAGTTTGCTCGAAGACATTCACAATGCGGAAAAAATGATGGACTCTGCCTGCAGAATTACCTCAAAATGATTCTGTTCAGAACAATATATCCAATTAATGTTACTTTGGATGATGCGCCCCAGAGCCATTTTTATGATCAGCGTGCCACCATAGATACAGGGATCCGCCCATCGCTGAACCTCTGCGAGGCCAGAGGAATGATGCCTGCCCTAGGAAATTTGCGTAGAATGACGGTAAAAATAGGATGTCCACAGCTCCTCCCGCGATCCCTGGATCATCTTCACCTTCGTTCTCCGAGTTCACAGTTTGAAGACAGGTGCACGGCGAAGGACTAAAAATACATGCTTATTGGCACGTCTACCCTCCCTCCCTCATACAAGGAAGAATACATGCTCCTAGCCGATGTCACGTTACATTATCGCAGTATACTGTGAGTCTTCCGAAAACTAGAATCTGTAGTCTCCACAGGATGGGTACAGATCTCCTCAGTGATATTGACCTGGACTGGTCGAACCAAGTCGGCGGGACCAGTAGGCGTTGATGTATCGGAATGTCTATCTCTGCGCTTCAGGTTGCGGCTAAGACTGGCAACAAGAAGAAGAGGTGTCAAGGTCTAGAAGAATGTGAGACTAAGAAGAAGAAGAAGTGTAGGGTGCTCACCGCAATCTGGACGTTAACTTCGATGGCCATGATACCAGCTAGGCTGCCAGATATGTTCAGAGCGCTCAATACCACGATACTGCTGGTATAGATCGCACCGCACTCGATGAAAGTGTATACGGCAGCTTTGTAAGCATTGTGACCAGTCAAATGAGATACATCTTGGCCTGCGCGCCAAAGACGATATGCGATTCCGGACGTGACACTGATAGTGACGACAAGATCAATCGCGAAACTAGTTTTCGACAAAGCATGGACAGTATGTGAGAAGACTTGATGGAACTGAAGTATCACGGCCCAGGCCGCGACAGCAGTTGCTGCGCAGGGGAAGATGGGTGATGTCAGCACTCAATCAACCAGCCAACTCAAGTTTGAAAACCTACAGGATCGTCCAGCTTCCAGAATTAGCTAGCGATACCGACACTCGTAAACAGTGCAACAAGTAGAATGGAAAGATATCTTACCATGATGATAGCGAGGAACCGGTTGTGATACCAAACCACATACAGCCTCCAGATCTGTTATCACGGGTGTCAGGTTTAACACCTCCACACGCCTGTAGTTGCTCACTAGCAGTAAGTTTAGAGCGATGGTCTGAAAGAAGGAACAATAAGGCACAATTCACGGCAAGATTATGATACTCACATTGAGAATGTACAATCCCGACATCGCGAACGATAAGGGTGTGAGCTTGAGGAGGTACAAGACACTTCCGTCGGGGACTGATATTACGGCGGTATTTGTGAAGGCATGCAGAGAACGAATAAGGCAGAGAATGTTGTGTACTGTCGCGATTAAAAAGTGCAAAATGCATGTCATAGGAATAATCCTGATTCATCCAAAGGTGAGCGCTGGCAACTTATTTGACAAGTAATTGATACTACGGACCAATGTGGCCTTTTGTTTCGATTGAACAGGATGTACATACATATGCAGAAAAGCACACAGCTGTCGATGGCAATGAGCATGGTGTAAGCCTTGCCCTTTCTCTGAGTTCGGGCTCACTTGATTCCTGTCGAGCGAATTAACAGCACTGAATCTCTACTACGGAGGGTGCATACCATAAATTATAGACTCTAACCATGCTGCGGTTATGAACATGCGGTCAACATGAGGAAGTGCCACCATTTTCGCGTGACATTCAGGTAGACAGAATTCTGAGCAGGACTCAGTTTCAGCACTGTGAAGCTTAGGGGCAATCGATCGATGATCGAACAGGATGCCAGCTGGCTGTCCAAAACAAGTTCCCGGAACTGCCAGTGAGTAGTATGTGGAGCGCGTGACATGGGGATCGCCCCTAATGTTGATCTTGGCCCTTCTTGGCCTCAGACGATATGAAAAACTAGGTACTGTCGTGTGAGCCAAATACCGACAAGTGTGGAGTCTACTTACTCGTGCACCCTGCAGACGGCTATGTTACATTGTCCAGGCTAAGGTTGAGGCTGAGTTACTTATGTATCATGGCGCACCGCAAAGCCAGCCTATACACGGCTCACTCGCAGGATTTGGGAGAAGTCACGGACGCCCGGTACTCTGTATCCTACGGATGAACTCGATGCTCCTCGCTGGCTTTTGGGAATGAACGCAGCCTTCAAATTACGCTCGTCATTCGGAGACTCCGTAATCCTTGCCACCCATGACTGCAGAATTTTATCATAGTCTGCGAGGTTGCCAACCATATTCTGTACAGCACGACCTGAATCTGAACCGAGCCAAGATGAGCCTAGTCGAGCACTACATTTTCACTACCTTAAGATTATCGCTCTCAAGGCACGAACAAGGCCCAGGCGTGGGGCAGACAGTAGCAGTGTGTGTTTGGATTCTTGGAAGGCTAAGCAATTGGTGTTGTGCTAATCAGCCATATAAACTCGTTGAGTGGGTAGAAAATACCCGTGCAACGTTGTCTGCCGTTAACCCGGAGCTTCCCAAGACCACAATACAAGAAGCTTGTAACGCGAGAAGGAAGTTTGGTATGGCGTGTCATCTCGAATCTCGATTGAAGACTATTATATGAGGCTTGCGATGGAACACGGATGGGTGACTGTTTGTCTTTAAACAGATCAACAACACCAGTTTTCCATCACAAAAAAAGCCTTGAACTTCAGTATATGTCCATAGAAAGGCTTGTGGGAGACACTGAGTTGCAGAGGGATCGATATAAGTATGTGTCTCACAGCGACATCACGTATAGGTGACGAAAAGTTAAAGCTGAGTACGACGCGGAGTCAGTCTTGTCGGAACTCGGCAGCGCCCGACCACAGCAAGTTGATAGGGACTGGTAAAAGTCAATTACCACTGCTCGTTGAATTCTTACGTCCTACTATCACCATCTATCATTAATTCGCCCAGCAATGTCTAATCCAGTCACCTCTATCTCTACTCAGGCGTCGGAGACCATCGAGTCGGTATCATCACCTGGTGTCGTGCAGGATAGCCTCCGCGATGCAAACGTCAAGGTACCTACGCAAGCGGAATTGTCCACCGTAGAGTCAAAGTTGGCCACCGCGCGCTCGAAGAAAGACACTGGCGATGCTGCGTTCAAAGTTGGAGATGTCAAGAGTGGTGAGTTGCACATCCTTCACATTGTTAATTTCGGTGATCGTTACATCGCGTGCAGCATTGCGATCATACCATGAGGTGAGGACATGACCAAGGACTTGTATGATGCACAGGCGACCTCTGATGTAGCTACTATATGAAGACGCTTCTGTATCTTCACGGCATCGATAAGTACGGTCGCGCTGTGTTTGCCCGCGTTCATGATTTGCGAGCCTTAATCCTGCAGAAACGCCCTTAAATCACTTGGAATGGCTGCTCCATCGTATCCGTCATCGACATCAGCAGTAGACCAGGCTGCCGGTGCAAAGGACGTGACGACTGAGGTACGAATCTGAGGTCCGTCGATCGATAGAAGGTAACGGAAGTTCTTTGTTCGGCAGGCAGATATAATACTGGAGAAAGTATACGCAAATATGTCCGCCTGCCATATCAAACAAGAGAACTGGAAGCGGGCGGTGGACACCGCTGACAAGGTTTGTCGTTCCCGAAATCAATTACTCTTTCTTAGTTTTGCAGGCTCTCAGCAAAAACCCTGCCAATTCTAAAGCACTTTTTCGAAAAGCAAAGGCTCTTGGAGAGCTTGGGTTTTTCGAGAAAGCGGAGACGGCTCTCAACGAGATCAAGAAGGTCTCTCCCAACGGTGCGTCATGTTTTGGATTCTCTTTTGGAATATTTTCCTCACTGACGAATATGTGCTACTGTTGTCCATCATATAGAGGCACCAATGGCTGATGCAGAACTTGCGCGTCAGAAAATAATGGATCGTGAACGGCAAAAGGCCCATGATCAGAAAATGAGAGGTAAAATGTTACTAGCTACCTTTTTCCCAGCTGAGACTTATGTCACGACACTAGGCTGGCTTTCACGAGAGAAGAAGCAGGCTGTGAGCGAGTAAATGGTCTGGAGCGAGGAGACGTACATCTAAAGCTGACGATACCACGTGCATATTGTATTTTTTGAGTCAACCATGGTTTGTTACAGGATAATCTCTTCGACGTTGGGTCAATTAGACTGAAGTCTATAATGTACTTGGACTATATGTGGCAGGTAGCAAAGTTAAAATAAAATAAATCGAGGAGGGAGGCGAATATAACGCTTCAAGAAACGAGTTAGTATTGCACAGCCACTTTTAGCCAAGTGCATGAATTAACACTTGATCAGCACCCCATCGAGTCGATTTCGTCAGTGGCCACACCAAACTCTGCGCAAAACTTCCCTGAGCGCCGCAGTGATCGACAGTACTTGCTAGTTTGAACTGACGTCGAGGACCTTTTCTTATTTGAAAACCATGGCGGTTGGATTATTGTCGCTTCCTATAGAGCTGATATGTCACATTCTACTCATCCTTACCCCTGGGGACCTTTGTCATTGTATAACTGTTCGCGCTTTCCCTTAAGTGATTCCGTGTTTCCGCGAGGCTAACTTCTGAATCACGCTAGACCTGCAAAATCGTCTGGGATGCAGCCCAAAATTCGGTTCACATTCAATATAAGCTTGAGCTTTATGCCCAAGGCTTCAACGAGACTGGTGCCACCACCCCAGACTCGATCGGCGTTTCGACAAAGATGTGTTCACTCAAGAGATTGGGATCATCGTGGCGGTCTGATTTTCATACCAATACCGTTTTCGAAGATAGAGTGGTTTGTTCAGACGAACTACAACTCCAAGGGATACAGTCCGCGAAATGTGGGATTTGGTGGATGGCACGATGGGAACGGGAATGGGAACAGGCAAATCTCCGGGTCTTGATTCGGGAATGCAAGGCAAATACCACACACTCCAATATTACGTTGCGCGGCTTGGTCTCGCAGCACCATCACTGGCGGCCGAGGTCAATTGTCATTGACCCACTGCAGAATCTTGTAGTCGCAATTTCATCGGCTGCTCGCATCGATATGCCCAATACCGAGCTAGCTCTCCATGCCTTTACTGTGGATGTGTGGTTGGCTTCGTCCCAGCTTCCGCATCCGGACTCTGCGCGCACTTCCTTCGAGTGCATGCATACTTGTGATGCATATTCTTCTTACAGTGTTTATTTTGTGGGTATGCCCGCGGTCTGCGGGGATCATGTAGTTATCCTCTATTATGTGGTCAATCTAGATTTCCGAGTCGATGGTACAGACGCAGCGTCCAACATGTTTATACAAGTCATAGCTTGGAGGAAAGGACATATCAAGAGAGTAAGTCCTCTCTACTCTTGAAAAATCTGCTACTCAATATAAGCAGTATCCTTTATGTGAACGAGGCGGGCAAGGAGTAACTTTCCATCTAGTTGATGAACGAACTGTCGTTGTCGTCTCGGAAGGGCGGATGACCGTGTACACATTACAAGGACCTGGTGACTCAATCCAGCGCCGAATCGCGTATCTCCTTCCGAATCTGAAACCTGGTTTTGGTCCATCCCGGCGCGCCTCACCATACTATGTTGCTTATGCCACCCCATCATTCCACAGTGCAGTAGCTCACCCAGGCCTTATGCCCAGCTACGTGCCCTCTCCGGAGTCACAAATCATGGTTTTAGAAATTCTCCCTCGCTCATGGCCTGTGATCATGGTCATCGATATGGCCGTCTTCTCAGAAAAGGCCGCACGATCAGAGAATCCTGTCGAGGTTCCGTGGGCAGACTGGGGGCCCAAGTACACATGGTGTTTTCCGCATCACCCAAGCCACCGAATCAGTGTGTTCGGTAGCAAAATGGCATATGCTCTTCCTCGAGATCGTACTCCTGAACCTGGTCAAAGAGTGGAAGCACTCTCCTCCGATCACTTCTACGTACACATATGGGACTTCAATAAACGTTTCATTGCTCGTTCGCAAAATACCCACGACCCTGACTCACCAGACGTCGTGATTTGCAAGCCTGGTCGGTTTCCTCAGTCGTGCTTTGATGAAGACTTGACCTCGAACCATCCTTACACTGCTTCCGTCTGCCCCGAGCCCTTTTCGATGCATCGCTTTGACAGGTTTTTCTTGGAGCAAGATCGGCTCACTTTAATATGGGTAGGTGTGTTTTGTTATGATCCAGGATAAGGCGATGATTTAGTGTGTCGAAATTATAGTTATCTGCTATCGTGGTTGATATTCGGGTCATTTCCCCTGTTCCAATGGAGGTTCTCTTGGACCCAGAAATGCATTAAATGGAGAAAAGGTGCTGTAATACAGCAGAAACGTTTCAAAGCTCTCCGAGGACAAACTGACGTTGCCATTTCGGAAAGTCACGCGAATGCTTACCTTGACATGGGTAGTGTTCTTAGTTGTGACTCGAATATAACACGATCATTGACGCGTGGTCAAACTGCAGGCTCAACCTGACTCATTCATATTCAGCCTGTAGAGATGAAGATTGGCTCGGACCTCGATAGAGGACTGCGCAAATTGCATGTGATGTAGTATGAAGTATTGCATTGCGATTGAGAGGTTAGGCTTCCCTTTATGATCTCGGTGTAGGCATTCTGGCGAAGCATTACTTTGAAAACTCCATGCCGCTCCCGTTAGCAATGCCCCTATGTCAAATATAATAAGCTTCATTCATGTTGCAATGGAAAGATACTTGAGATAGTTCAGACTGATTGAAAAACTGTGACGGATGGTGATAGCCTCCGAGTGACGGAGGTAGCGGATCATCGGATTTGTACTGCTACACGATGTACTTAGGACTATGAGTTCAGCCAAATGTCCCAGATTTGTACGAGTATGAGTGAATGCGTATGTAGTCCACAGTTAAAACGTCCAGATCGCAGTCCCTCGCAAAAGTGTCTGTGTAGCTGATAAGTAACAATGTCGGTAACGTAGATATTGCTTAAGTGTCCGTGTAGTTGGTAGTAATGTCGTTGATATGAAAGTCCATCTCTGAAGTGTCTGTGTAATTAATAGCAATAGCGTCCGTATCATAGTCCAAAGACAGGCAAACAGACCATCATGTCAATACCCAGGGAGGGAATGGGGGTTGGGTTATAATGGGATGTATAAACAGGATGCACATCTTTGGCAGGAATGCTTTCTTGCAAGGTGTCAGTAGCCGGCAAGAGCCCTGCGGTAGATATCTTCGTGACGCAGTTGTTGGCGCGTGTGGAGAGATTGTGCACGAGACAAGTTGTTGCCAAAAGACGGTGGACGGGTGTGAAGCGGTGGGATCCATGCCTGACTGAAGTCGGACGAACCCAACTCACTCCAGTCCAACTCAACAGTCCGCGTCCGATTGGTGGCTATCTGCGCCGGAAACTCAACCCACGATTCAGAAGGTAAGCTCGCAGCTTGAACATTCCGCACGGCAGACGCCAAAGTATCTGTACGCTGCATATCCTGAAGCCTGATGGGATACGTTGGTTTTGGGGCCGCGATATATGGCTGCATAAGTCTCGCCATGGAGTCCCGCTCGCATGTACGAGATGGTGGTCGATACAACTTGGTCACACCGTACTTCAGATAGGAGCGGGTTTTTGTGGTTTTTATGCGTGACCAAATGCATACCCTTCCCGTCTTTTGGCAACTTAGACACAGTGGCTGCTCCCCAGAACACTGTACTCTGCTCTCAGAGAGGGTGTAAAATGATGATAATAGCTCCTTACCTTTTTCTTCTTGTTGTGACATTCATCACAGGCATGGGCCACGCGAGGATGAGCACGCTTCGATCGCACTGGCCCAGTCATGTCGCGAGTCGGAGAGTATGATTCCTCAGGAAAAACGGTCTCGCGAGCCGGAGTGGATGATTCCCCGCTGGCAGGACACTTGGTTTCGCGAGTCGGAGTAGATGATTCCCCAGGAGAGATGGTCTGCCGAGTGACGGAAGGTAAACCTCCAGCCGGAGAAGATGTCATGTTACTGTAGTGCGGCACTGTACCACCAACAAGTTCTTCGAAAAGTCGGAGAGTGATAATCAGACTCTCGTGCCAAGCTATATCGTCGAAGATAGGAGACTGATCAACAGACACTGGCATTGATAGAAATTCCATGTCAGGCTGTTTGAGGGAGCAGAATGCAGGGTAAGTCGCCGACATGATGAAAGAAGATAAAACATGAATGTAAAATAGGAGTCAGACCAAAGCGCTGCGGAGCAAGCGGTGCAACTCCAAGACATTTGGACTTGAACTGTACCGCAATTGAAAACGTATGTGCGAAACATTTGACAAGTTCCAAGTTCCAAGTGCCAATATTAACATTATGATCCGATCTGCATCAATGTCATACTATCCATGACCTAGAGACTACATGGTGGTGTGCATGTGAAATGTGTTCCCGGTCCCGTGACCAGTTCGTGACCTTTGTAGTCGATTACAAGCTTGTGAAATCGACCGGTAGGAACCCTGCCAGCAGCGCGGGTAACTGAAATCGGATTTGAATATAACAAGACTGTTCGCGTCCGGGCGGGCACCTTAAGCCTGTTACTTGTTCCGCGTCATCCATCTAAGTGTCCTCCAGTTGTATCCTCCTCGCTGCACCTCGCAACTTCACATGGGCAAACAAATTCCTGTATCTGAGTTCAAGCGAGATGAGTCCCTCAGAGTTGTAGACAACCGCACTGGGAAGGAGTACACCGTCCCGTGCGTTCCTCTTCCTCAGAATTTCGACGCCAATTGACACCATGCAGGATTGCCCATAACTCGATTCCTGCCACATTCTTCAAGGGCATTCGTGCTCCTGCTGGTCCAAATGACAGACCCGAAGACGAGACAGAACGTGGTTTACGTGTCGCTGATAGAGGTTTTCTCAACACCGCAGTGATCGAGAGTAGTATAACATATATTGACGGTGACAATGGGGTATTGCGGTACAGGTGCGTATTCTCCTCCTGCCACTATTACCAATTTTCAATAAATCTCGTAGAGGCTACCCAATCGAGCAACTCGCGGCCCGCTCCAACTTCCTCGAGGTCTCTTACCTCCTTATATATGGCGCGCTCCCTAGCGCGTCCCAATTGTCCCATTTCACAAGCGAGGTCCTCCTCCACGGACCAATACATTCTGACGCAGAAGGGTTCTTCCGCGCTTTTAGGTACGATGCTCACCCCATGTCAATGCTTACAAGTGCATTTGCATACCTGGGAAGCTACTATGGGGAAGCAAATCCGAGTCTGCAGGGTAAGTTGGTAGGCCTGGAGCATTTTCTCATTTTCATAACTTTTCGTAGGGCAAGATTTGTTCACCAAAGCTGCCAAGGGTGATGCCGCTGCACTCCAGAACATGGACAGGCAAATATTCAGGCTGATTGGTAAGGCCACCACATTGGCTGCGTGCGTACTTGTTGTTGCCCACTTGTTCGCTCACTGACAACAGTACATGTAGCATGGCATATCGTATCCGCCAGGGCCGTGATTTTGTCGTGCCTCCGACAGGAATGAGCTATACGGAGTCGTAGGTCACCGTTTTACCAGTTCTGCACCATTATCTCTCAAACTCTTCCCGTCAAGGTTCCTCTATCAGCTCGACCATCTCTCACCTACAGACCTATCAGAACTTCACTCACACAAGCCACATCCTGTTCTCGCAAAGGCACTCGACATCCTCTTCATCCTCCATGCCGACCATGAGATGAACGCGAGTTCGACGACAGTACTTCAGACTGGGTCGTCGTTACCTGATCCATTCAGCGCCGTTGCAGCAGGATGTGCGTCGCTGTAGTGAGTATTGTTCTCCGTCCTACTATACCCAATCTGTACGACATGACCGAGTCGAGCTCGAGGCATGCATACGTGCTGGATTGCATAGAGCTACCCTTGGCGCACTTCCACGTATCTTTCCACACAATTTAGATGCATATTTATGTTCATTCTCTCTTCATTTCGGTGCTGACGAACTTAACTCTCAGCGGCCCACTCCACGGAGGTGCGAACGAAGCTGTTATTCGGATGCTTGTTTCAATTGGCAGGTCCGTTATTTATTACAACTATTCCCATCGTCTCCTCACATCTTTCCCTAAGTCCCAAGAACGTCCCCGCCTTTTTAGAAGCAGTAAAAAAGCGCCAAAAGGTGCTAAGTGGATTTGGCCACAGAGTATACAAGACTGTGCGTAGTCATTCTCACACTGTTTCCTGTCCTGATGGTCGTTGGCAATCCACAGTCTGATCCGCGGTCGTTCATCATTCGCAAGGTGGCTGATGAGGTGTTTGCTGTGTAAGTGTTCATCATTGTGGCGTGGTCGTGGGATTGACCTTGGGATTAAGGACGGGTCCTGATCCATTGCTTGATACCGCAATGGCTCTGCATGATGCAGCACTAAAGGATGATTACTTCGTATCCAGAAAGTTAGCTCCGAACGTTGATTTCTGGAGGTAAATTTGTCTTTGTCCAATCATCGACATCAACTGACCAGATCTCATCTATCAGTGGGCTGATCTACCGTGCAATGGGTAAGTGCCAGTATTGTACGAAGACGGAAAAACGATGACACAGTAACGGTAGGCTTCCCGATGGACTTCTTCCCAGTCCTGTTCGTCGTGCCCAGAGTCGTGGGCTGGGTCGCACATTGGCGACAGGTGCGTCTTCCAATCTCCTTCCACTCCACCGAATCACTGAGCGTCTCCCGTGTGCAGATGATGCTTTCTCCATCCGGAGTCAAGATCTGGCGCCCTCGGCAACTCTACCTCGGCCCGTCCACACGTGACTACGTGACTCTCGAGGAGCGCACGGGTGCTGTTCAAGTTGGCGTTGGCATGGAGCCGAGTGTGATTGAGCATTCGGGGTATGTGTGATCTTTGATGGTGGAACAAGAAACTGATTCACTGAGCAGGATGACGAAGAGGCGGAAGTTGGCAGAGGCTGCTGGTACGGTCAAGAGTAAGCTTTGAGGTCGAAGGTGTAATATTCGTTTGCTTTTCATTATTCATATACCGTTGAATGCCAACGATGCCGCCCGAATGTCGAGTCTCTCCACAGTGTTCCGCGCGTAAGTCGTCAAGGAGGTTTCCTTCATTGTCGGTGAGTTTTTGTCTCTGTTTTTGGAACGTGATCTAGTAACGTTGAGAGGTCAACGTGTCACAGCTTTTCATTCTGCAGGACCGCAGCCATGGCCTCATGGAAGTGGTACCGTATTTTCATAGTCACGCCAGCTTCGACTCCAGTCACACTAGATCTTTCAGGATCACTCTCAGGCTGTCAGTCGCCAGATCCCCGCTTTAGAATGTGATTCAAGACACTAAGCCGACACACGTACTGAAAAGATTGGACTATCTACTATTGCCCTATCGAAAATTATAAGTTAGAATTGAGCAGCCCTTTATACTAATCCAACGTGCGGGTTGATGATGACTAAGCCAGCCACTAATGACGATGACGATAACGTCATGATGGCCGTTGCGTGTCCAAACTGCTGGCTACAGTAAGATAGCCTCAATAAAGTTGTGCACGAAGTCCAGATGGCTATCGTATAAGTATCATTAATAAAGATTAGTCGCGTTCCACGTCATCTTGGGAAGGTTTTCGACATCGATCAATGACATTTGAGACGCATTTGGTCTCCCATACACACTATACTTTTCCGAAGACAGTAGCTTCTGCTGTGCCGTGACAATAGTCGCAGAAGGCGTTGATGTCGGACTTGCGAATGAAAGACACTGAGCACTATTGGTCGGGGTGGATGTCGGAGTCTGAGAAATTTGTGCCTGCGTGCGGTTGGCACCTGTAGCAAAAGCAAAACCGTAGTACCCTGGGCAGTTGTCCGTAGGGAAACGGTAAGCGCTAAATAACAAGTGAGACATATTTATATAAGACACAATTCTCGCTACTTACACGTAGACGCTCCGCAGGAAAGGTTGCCCGAGGATAAAGTTGGGTGGTAGGGTGTCGGAGCGATTCGCCATGCCGAGAGTGCACAACCCTGTTTCAGTTTCTTGAGAGTAAAGCAGGTTGTTGTTGGAATCAACCTGATAATCGACGCCATTGATAGACACCGTCAAGGGAACATAAGGGTAGGTTTCGTTGCAGAGCAAGGATACGACGTTAGTCCGGTGGTCCATGGTAACGCCGGTGCCGGCTGGACCAATGTATCCATTGTTAGTGGCGTACGTAGACAGATTTCGGATAGCTATTGATTGAAGCACTGAAATGTACGCGATGAGTGAGACGGAGAACAACTCAAGTGAGAGTCTTACAAGAGTCGATGCTAGCAAATAGATCACCTGAACCCTGTGGGACAAATGACCCATTATATCCTTTGAGGCCGTCGACTTGGAACGTATTAAATGTATCCCACGATGCATTAGCCTCCAACTGAACCCAATTGATGGTCCCTTCATAATCATTCGGGTCGAGAGCACCGATTGTTAGTTTTGGGCTTCGCGGGTCAAATCGTATACCGATAACGGGATTCAACAACTGCTTTGACTGGTAGAGTTGTGAAAATACGTTATTCGTGACTGTAGTGCTGTTAAGTGGATTCAGAAACGCCCCGAGAAATCCATTGTGCATCATTTGTCTTGCGAATGAGTATGAACCGGTGTCAATCAGCACTGTCAACGCGGTGAATTAAAAATTATACTCTAAAATCCATCATGAACCTACCAAATTGCGCATCTAACACAGTGAGGATCCCGCCAAAACTCACGGTATCACTGGACTCTGAACCGTTGAAGTCAGGTCGTGCCTGAGCCCAAGGAAAATTAAGATGCTGCACATTTTTACTGTCAGCGTTACAATATGGTATGACTGTGGGGCCATACTTGGAACGTCGAGGACAATGAAGTATCGAAGAATGTTTCGCCACTGCAAAACACGCAGTCCACTGAATATGCGGCCATTACGCCAGTAGAAACGTCAATTGTAAGATTAATTTGTTGAGGTGGTGTGCCAAAGTAGGTGGTCACAGTGGCATAGTTGAAACTCGAGTCTGTGAGCTGAGAAGGGACATTCATTGCAATGCTAGCCCATGCTGTTGTGTAATTTTATCTTCAAAGGGTCATACGTTACAGAATGGCACAAACGTACTTGGATCTGTGGCCCGCGCTGAATACAGCAGTGACCCATACAGCAGCGATGAAAGGAGCATATCGCAGATCTAGTGTCCTCAACAACGCTGCAGTCGAATGCTCGGCGTGCCGTCTGCGACTCGCGAGAGATTGCTTCGGAAGTTTGTATCAAGGCAAAATACACCTGATGAACATGATGGGAAACAGTGCGCGGCGGTTACTATTAATCATTAGAATCCACGTTCATCGGTGTTCATTTGATTTTCAGGCGATTCAGCGCGCGATTAGAAGACGATTCAAAATGCGAAAATCGTGTGAAAATCACCGGTTACTTGAACACCCAAACTTTACATTCGAATATATGTAATCGATAATAATCCTCCTTTCGGAATCTAATAATGTTTGCATTGCAGATATAAAGAAACGAGTGCAAGCTTCACGAGGTAAGTATACTACTAGTACTTATCCAACGACACATCCAAGGCGGCCACATCTCGCTCGAAGCGGCTCGATGCCCTAGCCTCGAAAACTTATTGCTATCGTGACGTATGATGTCAATCCACCAGTGCTCGAATTTGGCTTGAGTCGTCCAGCAAGCCGCTATCGATTTAACAGCCGCCCAAGCTGCCATGTATATCCGAAATGACTTCTTCCGGTTGGGGAGTTATGGTGACCCCGTTACGGCTGCCTTTGCCACTCTCTGGGCGACTTGTATACTGTCTTGCCTGTGGGCGAGCAACTTGCCCAAGCCCATCATGCCTGAATATTCGTACATTCCAACGGATGACTTGAAAAACGGGCTGCGATCACCTCGTGCATCTTCTCCCATGAAGACCGCTATTTTAGAGTCTGCGGAGTTCTCACTCGAACACAATGACTCTTCCGATGTGAGGATAACTGAATCCCTCACCCCTCTACGCCATCAGATTTATCACCAGCAACACTCTCCGAATGTAACCAAGGCGTTTTGGCTGAACTTCTATCATGCTTGCAAGATCTTGCTCTTCCCAATGACAGCCATAGGATATCTGGCATTTTGTTACACTGTTCATAATCACCGTGTGCCATTGAACACCTACGGTTTCATAGACATTACACCTGGCAATCTTGGTAAGATGGCTTCTCCTTGCGGACACCGCGCATCTTGCTGAAAGGTTCCACGATTAGCTGCCATAAAGAGTGCAATCACCTCTATCAGCATCATTATCGTCACGATTGCATTGTACCCCACCAATGGTATGCTGTCAGACTTGAGGGTATGTGCTGATGTTCCTCTATCTACATCTATCAACATCGAGATCGCAGAGTGAAGAATTTTTTCGAGTTCTCTCGTCTAGGTCTCACGGTGTTCCCCTATCTACTGTGAACAGCATATCTAGTCCATCATTTGGATACATTGACGCCATCAAAGCGATGATACGATGCAATTGCTCGCCGTACTTTGTCGCTTGCGTAACAGCGTCAATTATGGTTCTAGTCGTCTCGACTTTGGCTCCTGCTATGCGTGGGTGCAATTTTGTCAAAACTCGGCGCGTTCTTTAACCTTTTTGTTTCAGTGTCAATCCAAAGTGTTCTTGCGGATGGCGATATCATGGCATTTGCTGTTGCAGCTGTCCCAGCGCAAAGCATCTACAAGTACGTGAATCAACTGAAGCGCGCAGTTTGTCTTCATTTTAACTATCCTTCGTACTTTGCAGTAGTTCGGGCTACTACTTGAATGATAGTAATGCAATTGAAAACGCGGATATTGCTGCATCGGTGCTTTGGGCGGAAATGGAACTTGATGCACAGTACTCTTTCTCCACGGCCGACAGCCCTGACTCGGATATCGCAGCATACATCGTGCCAGCTCCCCTTGACCTTGCAACGACAACAAGTTCAAGGTGGCTTACTGACGTCATCGGTATTAACCCGTCTTGCGTATGGTCATCAACAAACATAACAGGAATAGCTATGGATAACACGTGGTACCTGGGCGTCAATCTTCAGGATGCGGATTTAGATGTGACTGTCGGTTTTCTGTGTAAGTCGAAAAACCTTCTGTAGTTTACACAATGCTGACTTCTCCTAGCAATTATATCGTTTGTTGATACAATGGAAGACTTGAATGTCTTAAATCATACCACGCAGGCGCCACCAAGCGATGGGTCCACTGTGTTGCTGCTCGGCCAATGCGTGGCAGGCTGTGACATGTCACTTTTGACAGCCAGCTATGCCTGGTTAAATTTCACTAGTTTGCCGACGTTCCAGTGGAACAGAACTGATGGTCTGTATGAGCTAGCGTTCCTTGTATGCAAGCCAAACGTACAGATCAGTACGCGGGAAGTCCGCAATAACGGATTTGGCATGCTTAGCGTTCAGCCCAGCCCGAATGGCGTTAACCTCAAGACACAAGGGAATCTTCATCCCCGACAAACACCTGCTCTATTTTCGTTTGCGATGATGCACGCAGGACCTTCCACCCTCCAAGGGGCATACTATGTCGATCTAGGGGCGGATGTCCAGCAAGATTTTCTCTTCGGTAGAGAGCAAGTCAACAATCTCCCTACAAGTCCAGGTTCAATCGTGAACCTCACGGTACTGCCAACTGCAAATTTATCATTGACCTTCACTTCGATGCTGAAGTCATCGTCAAAAGGTGCAGTCCATCCATTTTTGGAAATAATCTATTCTGAATTTCTCCTCCTCGCAGCATATTTAACAGGATCCCTAGGTACTGCATACGTACCTGGAAGATTGTTGACATTTGAGGTTGTCTTTGCGACATCTTTGCCTCAGCTTGCTGTGTCTACCGCAATATTTATTCTCCTATTCATCTTGACCATCGTCGCCCATTTTAGGCGAGGCAAAGGTGGAGATTGGACACTTATCAACATTGCTGCCGCAATGCACGACTCGGAAGTTCCAGCGCAGTTTTCCCAGATGAAAGCTGATTTATGCCAAGGGTCACGTTTGTGGTGGGACAGGAAGAGTGTGCAGGAAGATGTGGCGGAGATAATCGGCGACCGGAACATCGTATTGGAAAAGCAAGCCGGTGGCTCTGATATTCTACGCATTACTTGAGAGCGTGTCTTGTTTATACGAGTTTAATGTTACTGTCGAGGCGAGTGGTAAACTTGGTTCCCAAACTCTAGAGGGCCGTAGTGGGCTATTATTCGCGGTGGTGGTGAGTACATACTAGCAGGGTGTGAAGTTATGGAGATATCGTGCTGATTAGCTTGACAAATAACTGTGGTTCAACGGTATAACCCGGGAACCCCCAAGCTAGCGTGAGGCCTTGAGGTGCGCGAGAGCGTGTGTTATGTTACATCAATCTAAAAATATCCGAAATAACTTCTTCTGCCAGTGGGTTATGATGACCCGTTTTCACCTCTGCCTTCGCCACTCTCTGACCCGTGACTTGTATACTGTCTTGCCTGTGGGCGAGCAAGGCCAAGCAGCATGACGGAATATTCGTACATTCCAATGGATGACTTGAAAAACGGACTGCAATCAGCTCGGACATCTCATCCTATGAAGACCGCTCTGTTAGATTCAGAGTTCTCACCTGAATACGATGACTCTGGGCCCGATGGCAGGGTAGCTGAATCGCTCGACCATCTACGCCCTCAGATTTATCACCAGCACCACTCTCCAAGTGTAACCAAGGCAGTTTGGCAGAACTTCTATCATGCTTGCAAGATCTTGCTCTTCCCAATGACAGCCATAGGATATCTGGCATTTTGTTACACTGTTCATAATCACCGTGTGCCATTGAATACCTACGGTTTCATAGACACCACACCTGTCAATCTTGGTAAGATGGTTTCTCCTTGCGGACACCGCGCATCTTGCTGAAAGGTTCCACGATTAGTTGCCATAAAGGGTGCGATCACCTCTATTAGCATCATTATCGTCACGATTGCATTGTACCCCCTCAATGGTATGCTGTCAGACTTGAGGGTATGTGCTTGCGTTCCTCTATCTACATCTATCAACATCGAGATCGCAGAGTGAAGAATTTTTTCGAGTTCTCTCGTCTAGGCCTCACGGTGTTCCCCTATCTACTGTGAACAGCATATCTAGTCCATCATTTGGATACATTGACGCCATCAAAGCGATGATACGATGCAATTGCTCGCCGTACTTTGTCGCTTGCGTAACAGCGTCAATTATGGTTCTAGTCGTCTCGACTTTGGCTCCTGCTACGCGTGGGTGCAATTTTGTCAAAACTCGGCGCGTTCTTTAACCTTTTTGTTTCAGTGTCAATCCAAAGTGTTCTTGCGGATGGCGATATCATGGCATTTGCTGTTGCAGCTGTCCCAGCGCAAAGCTTCTGGAAGTGCGTGAATCAACTGAAGCATGCATTTTTTCTTTATTTTAGTAACTATCCTTCGTATTTTTCAGTGGTTCATCTGTCTATGCAAGTCAAAACAAGGAATTTGCTGGATATCTGCTTTGGGCGGAAATGGAACTTGACATACGGTACTCTTTCTCCACGGCCGACAGCCCTGACTCGGACATCGCAGCATACATCGTGCCAGCTCCCCTTGACCTTGCAACGACAACAAGTTCAAGGTGGCTTACTGACGTCATCGGTATTAACCCGTCTTGCGCATGGTCATCAACAAACATAACAGAGACATTAATTTTTAACTCCACGAATGCCTCGGAAGTTTTATTGAATCTACAGGACGCAGATTTAGATGTATCTATCAGTCATATGACGGGTAAGTCGAATAAACCTTCTATAGTCTACATATTGTTGACTTCTCCAAGGGCATTTCTCATCTGCGTGGATTCTTGAGCCATCAGATCCCTTAAATCATAGTACGCAGGAGCCACAAACCGAAGGTTCCACTGTGTTTCAGTTCGACCAATGCGTGGCAGGCTGTGACATGACACTTCCGGGAGCCAGTTATACCTGGTTGAACTTCACTGGTTTGCCGACTTTCCAATATCTGTCGGCTTTCGAAGATCAGTCGGAAGAGGAATTTCACGAAGTAGCCTTCCTCGTATGCAAGCCAAATGTACAGATTATGACGCGGGAAGTCCGCAATAACGGATTCGGCATGCTTAGCGTTCAGCCCATCCCGAGTGGCGTTAACTACAAGACACAAGGGAATCTTCATCCCCGACAAACACCTGCTCTATTTTCGTTTGCGATGATGGGCATCGCTATAGGACCTGTCAGCCGAAATAGACTATACTATGTCGAACTAGGGACGGATGTCCAGCTAGATTTTCTCTTCGGTAGAGAGCAACTCAACAATCTCCCCACACGTCCAAGTTCAACCGTGAACCTCACGGTACTGCCAACTGCAGATTTATCATTGACCTTCACTTCGATGCTGCAGTCATCGTCAAAAGGTGCGCTCCATTGGTTTTGAAAAAAAAATAATCTAACTTTCTTCTTTCGCAGGGTATCTGTCAAGTTTCCTAGGTACTGCATACGTACCTGGAAGATTATCGATTCCCGAGGTCGTCTTTGCAACATCTACGCCTCATCTTGCCATATCTACCGCCATGTTCACGCTACTTTTTGTCCTGACCATTGTCAGCCATGTCAGGCGAGGCAAAGGTGGAAAATTGACGCTAATCAATATCGGTGCCGCTATGTGTGGCTCGGAACTCCCGGCACAAATTTCCCAGATAAAAGCTGATTTATTCGAAGGGTCACGTCCATTGCTGAACGGGAAGAGCGTACAGGGGGATGTAGCGGAGATGATCGGCAACCGGAACATAATCATGCGAAAGCATGCTGATGGCTCTGGTGTTCTGCACATTAGTTGAGAGCGTGTCCTTTGTATTTATCAAGTACTAGGAACATGAAATTGATCATGTTGGAGAATGACAAGGTCCAATTGGCCATGTTTGATGATTACATTTTTTTTAAATTAATTAAAGGTTTTTGTCCATTGAGAGTGATACTCTCATTGCAGGCATCTATCAATTTTCCCTGGCCAAACATTGAAAAAATATTGTACAAAAGATAGATATTTCCATTTATCTTTATGCCAGGAAGATTGAAGAAATATAATTCATGTTTCTGCACACATTACCTAGTTAGTCAACTGGCCCCCTATGGTAATCTTAGTATGTGAGGGTCAATATTCAAATTGCCTAGGGGCTTGCAGTAGTCGTCCTAAGGAGGTTACCTTCATTGTCGGTGAGTTTTTGTCTCTGTTTTTGGAACGTGATCTAGCAACGTTGAGAGGTCAATGTGTCACAGCTTTTCATTCTGCAGGACCGCAGCCATGGAAGTGGTACCGTATTATAGTCGCACCAGCTTCGACCCCAGTCACACTAGATCCTTCAGGACCACAGCATCAGGTGTAAATCAACGGCCAGTGCACCACGGTGGTACCACAGGCAAATGGAATATCTCTGGTAATTTAGACCAAATATCTTCCCTTTGTATTATCGCGCGAGTCGTCAAAGACTCGCGGCAAGCCTCACACAACTCATATCGTCCAATAAAGCGCATCAGCACCTTCAAAGGATCGCGGGCATAGTTCATCATATAACACACTTCATCCAATGTATGTTCGCAGATGTGGCAACACCTGAAGATCGTCTCGTCGACAAAATTTTTCATGATGCTTTCTATTTCCTCCTTGCCATGCATGAGACAGTTCATGTCCTCCCGCGTGAGCATGCCCCAACGAGCAGCGTGCTCACTATTAGGACAGCGTTTCTGGCGGACTTCATCATACTCGCATGATATTTTGATGCGGGCAAGGTGGTAAAACGCAGCGGGCAGAATTTCTGGAATGTCAAACTCGCGGGCGATGCGAATCGCTGCGGCAGGCTCTGACATTTTCTGTTCGTCATCGAGTTCCGGGTCCCACGGCAGGGTTGTCTTGGGCTCGAATATCCTTTGTGAATCGATGTCGTCCAGAAAATCCCATCTCGGGAGTGTCTGCGGCCAATCTGCCTTGATGGACGTCACAATGTGCTCGTAAAGCTGGTTGACCTGGTATTTCTGAGCAATGTTAAGGAGACCCCTTAGTCTGATGGGTGTATCAGAAGCGCGTGGGGGAATGATTATAGCGGATGAACTTTCCAGGTATTGGCAGTTGTTCAAAGCTTTCAATTTGATAGTCGGGCTCACCAGGGGTAATAAAATGTTTGAAGAAGGTCTGTCACATCCTTTAGCTCGTCGAACATGCGAAACATTAAGAGGCCGTCATGTATTTTCTGGGAATGGCTGCCAACAGGCGGTATGGGTACCAGAAACATGCTCCCGAATGCAGGTGAATGAAGGGATAAAATTGCCTTGTGGACACGGAACAAGTAATTCACCGTGGTATGATCCTCTGGGTTGTCTTGTTGCACGTAGAGGATAATGTCTGCGGCGTTGAAGCTGAATTTCTCGACATCTTTGTACACAACAACAGGATTTTCCATGATGTGAGGGTCAATTATATTCAAATTGCCTAGGGGCTTGCAGTATAGTCGTTGGCTTTTGTTTACGTGTCTTTATCACGGTAGAGATGAAATTCAACTCCATGCCATTATGCATCATGAATGTATGTATTATTGAATTGATCGAGTTAGAGTGCATAGCAGGTTACATAGTAAACAAATGATTCGTGACTCGCGGGCCCTACAAAGTCAAAAGACAAAATCATAACAGTACACGTCGATACGTAGAAAGAAGGCTGGGATCAAAAAAAAAAAAAAAACATCGTCGAGTGTAGAAAGTCACCGTTGCACGTATCTGCCCGGTTCCTGAATGTACAACTCAACTAATCTAGATGAAACCGAAGGAGTTCATTCTCCCCTGCTTCATTTTCCAGATGAGACCTTGACCCAAGCATCATAAGGTGGATGATGTTTGTGGGGTTAAAGTCTTCTGAGTCTGCGATGCTATTGTGCGGCGCAAGATTGCCAGGGCTGTCCATCTTTTCTTCTATCCTCTCGTCCTTGATGATAGATACACGACCAGGCCCTTGCGGCTTTGACGCAGGTGTGTAGACCGCAGCAGTGCAGGTGATAATCACCACGACAGCCAGAGGCACAAGGAGCAAAAGATATGTTGACCGATGGTATTCATATCCCAGTGTCTGCACGTGAACTGCCGCAGGGTACTGGGTCATGGAGGTATTACTCAACGACTGGAGTTCTCTTTGCCACACCTATAAATGAAAGTATGTAGGCAACTGCTGAATAAAAGCAGTGACAACTTGCCGTTCCAAGGAATTCGACACCCCCTCTCAGGTAGTTTTCCTACTCCGTATTAGCGATGAAAGTTCCTGCACTGATGTATGCCTGAACACTCACCAACAGGGAGTTCAATGAATCACTGTTCCATGTATGAGAGTTGGCACCGATCATTTGAATACCAGTCGCCATGGAATTTCCGGAAAGACTCTGCGTATCAAACATCATCATCCAGATGAGATCTGAGATCTGGTCTATATAGGGTGCTTGTTGGCCTCCAGGATCCAATGGCTCATAATCTGTGGTACCGTTCATGTTCACGGTAGTCCCGTCAAATCCGACATTGACAGATGTAATAAGAGGGGAAACTTGACAGATAGTGGGTGTGATGAAGGAGTACGAAGGAGCAAAGCCTTGTAAAAGAACAACTTCTCAAACTTCAGGATCAGAACGTCATGCCACATGGTTCAGGACCGCGATTCACTCACGGAAAGACTGGTTTGTTGCCTTCTCGAAGTCCTGGTATTTGCAGACCGAGCCTATTAAAACACCATCTCCCAGACGGGTATTGGTGTATATATCAACCAATGCCAGGATATCGCTGGTGTCTAGGGAGAGTTGGCAACAAATTCCGCCAATTGCAATGAATCCACTCACATGCGACCGAATCACTTGAACAATTCGTTATCGTGACAAAACTCTGTATATAATAGTCTGCGGTGAAGACCTGATTTGGCGCAGTGATCGAACTTCCTGGTGATGTATTCTCATATACACCCACATTTGGATAGGTGTCGGCTGCGTTGAGGAATGCCTGTTGTCGACATTGGACGTCCGCGCTGAGGCCCTGCTGGGCTGTCGTATAGCTTCGGGTCCATCCTGTAGTATATTGTAACGGGATGCTTGAACTGGCATTTTGCGTCATAGTTGAGGCATTTATGAGTATCCCCCCTAAGCATCGTGTCACACAGTGACCTTTAAATTAGGCACACACGATGATGGCCATACCTGTTGAACCATTATACAATACACCCTGATAGGGGATGTAGTACGGTGAACCTAGTTCAGTCGAGGCTGCCGCATTTCCGGCTTGAGTATACAGAGTCACATCAGTAAGACCGAAACCTTGCATGCCTGTCAGTAGAGATGTCGTTCAGTTTTAATATGATTGATAAGTGAAGGAAGATAATACCTCTTGTTACGTTCATGTAGGTGGCAAGTGGGGAACTCTCACTAGGATACGGAGCAACGTATCCCTTCCACGTAGCTTGAAGTTGGGCGGCGGCTACGGAGTAATCCACCGCTGTGCCCGTAAAATGAAACTGGAGATCCACAGGTGTCGGGGCCAAAAAACTAGTCCAACTGCCAAATTTGCGAGTCAGTAATGACAAATATCTCGTAAAGACCTATCGTAGGTTACCTCGATGTGAGCTGTCCGCATAAAATGCTATACATCAATGTATATTTCAGCCACGTCCAGTACTGCACGTCGCCGGGTGCGATATCCCTTCTTCCATCGCGCATACATGCCAAAGATTTTACCCAGGCCCAGGCGATCTTGAGTCCACGTACACCGACGAGTGGTTGTGCTGTTATTAATGAAATACTTCCTCGCAAAGTTTGCAACGACAAGGGATGACTCAGTCGTGCTGTCAGAGCTGCTTGAAGTACAAGACCCAGGAGACTGAAGCAATGTATGAGTATTTAGCACGTTTAAATTGTGATGACAGAAGAACGCACAATGTATTAAGGAAAGCAATAACTGTCGCAACAAGCGTTACCACGTAGCTCGTTATGCGTGGGTTATCAATCGCAGCTCTGGCAGCACTACTGGGCAGATTGACGTAGCCTTTAAAATGAACATGGATCGCAAACCACAAAGCGACAGCGAAGATGGAAACTTGAAGGAAAACACAGCATGCCAGCTTCCCGTCCAAAAGATTCTGGATTGTACAGTGGCGCTTGATCCGAGAAAGAGAGGGCATTGGTGATGGGCGATCACTATTGAATACCCCAATCCCAGGAGGCCTGCTTTATAAACCGGAAGACCTTTTCTGGAACAAAACTTGGATTCATCCGGGTAAAATTCTGCTAGTACGCGGAGTATGGGCAACTACTTCAACGCGGGTGAAACGTGCTTCTGTTCGAACATCGGGAGGCGAGTAGTCATATACCACGTTGTCTTTAACTGGATACTCTGGGGCAGGACGCACCAGCTTCGGATCATTGCAAAACTACCAATCCTCATCCCCTGACAATTTCGGCTGCATATCGCCATATTTCGACACAGGTGTTGCGGTATCGCTTCTCCATCAGAGAACCAATGAGTCCTTTAGGGTGCGTTACGTCGACTGCAGGGTGCCTACGGCTCCTACATAACCACCCTAGTACGTACTGATTAGACTTGACAGCTGGGTGTAGTGTTTACGTCAACGTGAAAGTGAAGTGACCTCGAGGTAGTGTTGCCGTCGAAGTGAAGTGACCTCGAGCCTGAGTGTAATGCCCAGCCAGAACTCACGAGGCTGTAAGAACTTAGAACATCAATCTATAGTTCAGGGTTTTTGACCGATTCCTCACCGAAAGATAACCCCCACAAGGCTGTGCCCACGAGAAAGAAAAATAAGATTGTACCATGCAGGCAAATTGGCGGTGTGCTTGTCGTGAGGGATCAGAGTTGAATGTCCCGATTCAGTAAGCTTGCTTGCTTTAAAAAGCGGGATACCTTTTCTGCAAGACTAAAATCGGATTCCTCCATGAAAAACTTGAAGCTCTACGCAAAATACTTAAACGTGCGCTCCATTTGTTCCAACATCAGGAGGCGAGCATTCATATACCACCTAGGTGGTAAATTTGTCTTTGGCTGTATACTCCGGGGCAGGACGCACCAAATTTGGGATCATTGCATTACCAACCCTCCTCCCCTAAACCGCGTTGTGTTCTACCGCTTTTCTGAACCATCAATTCTTTGGCGTCAGAGCCTGAGGTTGTTCTAATGACAGATCGTTAGGAGCGCCAATCTAAATCTCACCGCGCTCATATCCAGTCTTTCGGACTCGTTCTTTGAATGTTCCGAAGAACATTAATATTAATGCAGCGCGGCTGGCAGCAAAGTAGTAGGGTGGACGCTGGTGGACGTTGGTCAGCAACCTGTTGCACCCTGAGCTGAGCTTTCTGCGTACACAAACAGTAAGCTTACGTACATGCGGGCGCTACGAACCAACATGTGCCCACTTGCAATTGCAGTGTGTGGGATGATACGTGTCTCTCTTTGGAAACGCTTTTGAGTCTTCGACATGAATCATTTATGATTTCTCCTAAAGCGCAAATACACGATGCCTACCAAGGTATGGAGCCTGTAATTTTAAATCTGCTTGCCTATCTTCTATATACTGATCTTCATTTTGGATGACACATGTAAGGGAGTGAATGAGGTATCCCATGCGCTCCTCAGCTATTATCTCCACTACACAGCTTGTAATCAGGGTCTCTAGGGGGCATTTTGATTGTGACAAAAATGCCTTGAACTCCTCACGAGAGCAGATAGCCAACTACAAGCATGCGTTAGCTATGATAGCATGATAGCATTGAACAAGTCAGGGGGCGGATCACGTCAGGTTAGGGAATCCTTGGTGCACAAAGAATTAGAAGTTCATGTGGATCAATGGCTTCAAGGGCAGTATGGCGCGGACACGGAGGTCCACGGTGATCCTTCAGGAGGAGAGGTTGGGACATAACTGCAGGAAGCGGTCCGGGTCGACGCACAGAGATCGAGACACTGAAAGAGGGGGAAACTGGGATGAGTGGGCCGGACGTGAACGCATGCATAGGGTGGATGGCCGTCGCGAGATGGATCAAGTAACAGGTGTACCATCAATGTAAGCGCCGCCCTGCACATATACATATAGGGGCCCAGGGCAGGCTCGTGAAGCGCTGGGAGGCCTTGGATCCGAAGTTCGGGTTCAATTACCACATCTTCATGTGTGTATATAGGGAGAGCGACGATTTGGGAGTTGTAAGGTGTTCATGTCACCTGAGAGGCCCAAGGAGCTAACGAGAGCGGACATAAAAGAAGGCTGCCTGCCGCCAGCGCTCTCTATGGGAGTGTCTGCAGCAACCTCCGAGAGACAGCTGATACAAATTTGAGATAGCAGCTTATTTTACAAGCGCGAGAAAGGCGATAGAAGTGACCGGTGTAAAAGCTATTGACTGAATGATCTTGTCCTGCAGCCTGCTTGCGATGAGCTGCTGGCGAAGGTTTTATCCACGACAATTTCCAGGCCTGAGATCTCATGCAAAACTGCATCCAATTTGCTGTTCGCGTTCGATGGTGACGATGGTGTTTTCGCTCGATGGCAGAGCAGTAGCTATTATGGACTCAGGCTGGATTATGAAGTTCAAAGTCTAAAATCTGGTCACATCGTCAATATGGCGTTAGATAAATTATGGTAGACATACGATCACTCGTTAACGCGCCAGCCGAAACAATCGCAGACATGGCTGGTCCATGAGTCTGAGTCAATACTTACATTTTTGTTTATCCGAGAGTCCTTAACTGACCTTCTCGAAGAGACTTCTGAGTCGGCAACTTTCCCCAGTTTAGCGTATCCGAGCCTGAGAAAGGCTCGATGTCATGACAATGTCAATAAATAAAGGTTAATAAAATTAAATAGTGTGGAGAATTCGGCCTCAAAGTTTAACAACGAACAGATACAGATACTCACTAACAGCGGCAGGGCCTACCTGCAGTGTTCCCGCTTACCTGGCTTGACTAGAGTTGTGAATGAGAACAAGGTTACTTACTCATTGTGAACAATGATTGACAACCGTGGTGAATGCAGTCGGGGTTCTAAATTTTATTGATTGTTTGTTCCAGGCGTGCCGCGAATCCCCATCTTACTCTTCCCTTTCTACTTTCACCGTATCCTGCAGGCTTCCTCATCCGCGTATACCCCGACTCTCCTTGAAAACGACGCTCACACAACACGCGAAATCACACCATGTTCGCTACACTCTTTTCAGTCGCTCTCTTTATCACGCTTGCCGTCCAAGGCGTATTTGCTGATGATTTCACAATCACCACCCCTAGCCTCGTTGAGGTAAATTCACCTGAGCATAAATGGTCTCTGAGGGTGCTGACTTACCTGTGTCAAATTAGTGCCAGAATGTCCAAATCACATGGACGGCGTCAGGCGCTGGACCTCCCTACAATCTTCTTGTAGTTCCCGCAGATGACGTCTGTGGCGAGGCTATGTGCGTTTCTTTGAACTCCCTCTGACTCATGTAATCTTACATTCTTGGTATGCAGTGTTGATCTTGGTGACCAGACTGGCCTTTCATTGAACTGGACTGTCAATCTGGCTCCTAACACTCAGGCTGTATTTTCGCTCGAGGATTCTCAAGGAAATGAAGCCTGGAGTGGAACTGTAAGCGAATTGTCTACCTTTGTTCAATGAGGGATTTTTAACGCAGATGCCAGATGACTGTGGCGGCTAGCGGTAACTCGTCATGCCTGACCAGCACCACCCCGACCACTTCATCTTCCAGTGCTTCCTCAACTGGCACTACGTAAGTTCTTATGCCCACAATTTATATTCAAGCTCACATCTGCGTTGATAGCCTCACGGTTCCTGCCTCACACACGTCATCGGCGACGGGATCTACATACTCTCCCGCTGGCGCTGCTAACGCGGGTGAAGTTCCCGCTTCCGGCGCCTTGTCAATCCGCCCTCTCAGTGCATTGACCTCCGTTGGCTCTGTACTTTTGGCACTTATTGCCTTTGCTCTTTAACGGCCTCGATACCCACACCTTTACGACGGGTGATACCCCGCTGGCCGAACTTTTCAAATTTAAAATTATCCTGGTGATCGTACGAATACCTTTATCTTATACACGTCCTTCCACGCACGGAGCTGGGTTTCCTTTCCTTTCTTTTTTATATGTGATTTATGGCAGGTGTGCGAGGTGATGCTACTATTTCACTAGATGTGATGGGTCACATATCTTGGTCAACTGTAATTTGGAATCATATTTGTAGCATGTGACTGTGGGTCATTTGAGGTCTTGGGGTAGATACTGACTGTTTCGAGGTCCCGAGCTGGTATGCTCAGCGACTCTATCGGACATCATGTTGCAATGTAGTACACACAAATCACACGTTTTTTCTTTCACGTTCAACCTGCAACATCCCTGCGAGAAAACGTGGTACTGTTACGACACGCACGAGGTCGGTTGTATGGTCCACTACCGTCACTGGATGTGTTATACACCGTCCGCGGAAACGGAAATAATTCACCCGCCCAGCGCTCCGCTGCCCTACTTCCAGTTTCATCGATGCATCCTTGAATGTTGTCAATATCGCTATCCGGTCCGATTCATTCATTCTCGTAAATAGTTATGGAGATATGTCAAACTTTGCAAGCGGACTGACAGAGACTGACAGGTATACATTTAAACTCGTACTACAGATACAGGCACGTCGTGAATAACTTATCAGAATAAAGTAAGTAACCATCGAAAGTAATAAAGTAGCGGAATATAGGTACAGCATATCATAGGCTATAAAGTGGCAATCAGCTAAAAACAATTATACGAAGTATGTATGTAAGTAATGCCAAGATAGGCCCGACTTTGCTGTATACGCCCGCGTACACAGCGAGAGCGCGGAGATCCTCGCTCATGCGCATGATTGATCAATACTAATCTCCGCATGACGCAATATGGCTGTATGCGGTGCGTCAGGACCAGAACTAGGTTCGTGAGTCACATACAGGAACTGACCTCAAGCATCAGGAGACGCGGAAACCTCCTCGTGTTCAAGTCCACGCCAGAGTTCGCCGGATCGGCGAGAGGAAGCGCCATCTCGTGCTACTTCGTGCACAAATGACTCCCAGAGTTCGCCTGATCGGCGAGAGGAAGCGCCATCTCGTGCTACCTCTTGGTGTTCCCTCCCCTTCCAGAGCTCGCCGGATCGGCGGGAAGGATTAAGTCTGCCTGCTGCGATAGAGTATGTCAGTACAAGATCGCGACTCGATGTATCTGGGGGATCACCTTCTGTAATTGCAGTTGCTACGGGTGCTTCAGAGGTCTGAATCCTATCATGAACGTTGTTCTTAAACAGGGCACCAACAGGACCCTTGTGGTAAGCAACCGAAGTAGCAGGTACAACCGAAGTGGCAGGTACAACCGAAGTAGCAGGTGCAACCGAAGTAGCAGGTACAACCGAAGTAGCAGTTGCAGTCGCGGTAGTGTCAGGGGCCACTGTCGTTACAGGGATAGCAGCACCGAGAACAGAAGATGCGAGGGCAAGAGCAAGTGTGAAGCGAGCTAATGAAGTAAACATGATGATAATGAAATTAGGTTAAAGAGATGTGTTAATGTGGATGATGTTGGGATTCAAGGACTATGGAGATCGGAATGCTTGAAGCCTTCATTTATACGAATGACTTTGCTACTTGGCAAGCGCATGCAGTGCGAGAGGCTCCGTTGACGACCAGTACGAGTCATATCGGGTTTATTCTACGGTGAAAGCACTGTTCATGCCGAGCAATGATCACTCTTGTGAGGGGGCGGGCAGTGAGTTGCGAACGGTAGTTGTTCCGGGAGGCGCTAGCATCTCCGTTTCAAAGAACGAGGCGATCCGACAGCATCAGCGACGAACTTTGCAAGGTTTAATTTATGGAGGCAGCACGGAACCGAGACTCGGCCAGCAGAAATAGTACTCAGGGCATCGGTGTGACCGCCCGGAGCTCTGACTCGTACAGGATATAACGCCTCAATTGCGGTAGTCAGGAGACGATAAGCCGTGCACGGGCGAAGAGGCCCTAACGGGTGCAGAAACTGTGTTCCGTGTCCTGACTCCCGAGATAGCAGCCTCAGGTTGCGAAAGGAGCTAGTTGACCGAGCGGTGTGGCTAGAGGGTGATGGTATTAATTATGATACCATCTGATAGTATTAAGCTATGAGAATGGTTGAGATTGAGGTACGGGTACACTGCCTGCCCAGTATCCTGTGTCTAGCTCACCATGAGCACGAAACCAGTGCTGATGTTTGAGTTTCCTAGCAGTTAGTTGTGATCATTGTGAAGACCAAGAACGGAATATCGAAAGAGAGGGCGTACTTTGAAAAAGCTTCAGTACTGTTGGGTACAAGAGCTGAGCGCTGAGCAGCTGATTGTCAACAGTGGATTGTGTAAAGAGCACTTTGTATTTTCCATTTTTGGGTGTGTGAAGGTTGAGCGGAGTTCTAATGGAATGCGAAAGTTGGCGGCACGCTAGCGGCTTTCATGGAATAGATTTGGACACAACTGCTTCAACTTTCTCAAAACAGCCTGACGATGGCGGTTGCAATTGGGTTCTTGTCGCTCCCGACAGAGTTGATATGTTTTATTTTATCCCTCCTTCCTCCCAGGGACCTTTGTCGCTGTGCAATAGTCTGTTCTTTCCAGTGATTCCACGTTTCATATTATGCTAACTTCCGCTTTACGCTAGACATGCAAAGCCGTACGGGATGCAGCCCAGAATTCCATCCATGTCCAATACAAGCTTGAGCTACATGCTCAGGGCTTCACTGAGACCGCTGCCCTAGACTCGATCGATGTCAACAGAAAGATGTCCTCACTCAAGAGATTGGCATCCTTGTGGCGATCTGGTTTCCACACCAACACTATTTTCCAAGATACAAATACAACGTCCCCTGTCAGCGTCAATCTCCCAGGGAGGCAATACGTGAAGTGTGGGATTTGGTGGATGTGGGAGAACGAAAATATCTTTATTCGGGATTGTAACACAGATAGAAAACTATCCCATCCGTTCCCCAGACACGAACGTTTGTCCCAGGATCGGTTTTCGGGATCGGTGAGAACAGTTGTCCTCGATCCCATTCAGGATCTTGTGGTCGTAATCCCCATGCCTGGTTTATGCACTGTGACCGGTACCGAGCAAGATCATCACATCTTTACGGTGGAGGTTCGAATGACTTCATCCCTGCTTCCGCATCCGGATTCTGTGGACGCTTCCTTGAAGTGCAAACATTCTTTTGATGCATCTGGCCAATACCGTGCTGCTTTCTTGCACGATCCTGCGATTTGTGGGGATCGTGTAGTCGTCCTCTATAGAATGCTCAAACTCAACTCGCCGGCCAACATGGCGCAGTCCGACATGTTCATACAAGTGATAAATTGGAGGAAAGGGTATGCGGAGGCTGTAAGTTCATTCTATCTTTGAAACTCTGCCGCTCAGCATAAGCAGTATCATTTGTGTACAAATATTGCAGGTTTCCTCCTAGTTGATGAACAGAAGGTTATTGTCATTGACCCTCAAGGCATTATAACCTTGTATGCATTACAAGACCATGGCTCGCCTCAGCGCCTAATCATGTATCGTCTTCACAAATCCTTATGTGCGCCGTTCTACCTATTTCATGCCACCCCACCGTTCCATGGTGCAACGACTTTCCCGGACCTTATGCCCGGCTACGTGCCCTCTCCGGAGTCACAAGTCATTGTTTTAGAGGCTCACAACGCATGGCCCGCTTCTATAGTTATCGATATGGTCATCTTCTCAGGAAAAACCTTGCCCTCAGAGACGCCTATCGAGATTCCCTGGTCGAAGTGGGGGCCCCAGTATACGTACCGCTTTGACTTTCCACATCATTTAGTCCACCAAATCAGCGTGTTCGGTAGTAAAATAGCCTGTGTTCTTCCTGGGCATCTCACCCCTGAACTCGCACGAACGCTGGAAGGACAACCTTGCTTCTACGTGCACATCTGGGACTTTAATAAGCGAGTTATCGCTCGCGCGGAAAATATTCACGACCCCGACTCACCCATCCATCTTATCCACAAATCTGATGATCCCGATGGATCCCCTCCTTACATTGCCACAGTCTATCGTACGCCTCATCCGAATCACGTCTTTAGAAAGTTATTCTTGGAACACGATCGACTTACTTTAACATGGGTAGGTGTTCTTAATTATGGATTTAGCGATGGTTTAATGGGACCAAATTGTAGTTGCAAAATAACACGGTTTATATTCAAGTCGTTTCCCCTATACAGGAGGTCGGCTCGGACCCCACGCACTAGAATAAACATCAGCAGTCGAGGGTGGCAGGGATTATGATGAACGTTGCTATTGTTAATTTCCAGGCCAACCATTCTTCAGGCCTCCAGTCTCGTGTACTTAAAATTAATCCGGACATTCTAACGGAGACGGTTCGCATTTTGGGCGATGCGGGGTCCTGCGTAAAAATGGCAAGTGATTGAATTCCTGTAGTTGAACGTCATCCTCATTCAAAAAAAATATATTCTCTATTAAACCAGGTGTGGGAATGTTTCAATAATGCTTTTCAATCCCTCGATACAGTGCCCTCCTTGAATGAATGCTTCTTTCATTGTCTATCGCGCAGGGCACGTGAGATTCGTGCCCAATCATCACTGCTTTAAGAATCGGCGATCGTGTCGTGAACGGCGCTCTCAAACAAAAATCCTCCAACAGGACTATCAGCACGTTCAATAACAGCTGTGCCTTGGTGAGCACCGATCAACCAACCAACCACGCTGACTCACGTTGCCTTGAAGCTACGTCCTCATGGACGGTAGGTTGCCAAAGAGCCCCGATCAGTTCTCGTGGTTCGTTTGCCCTACGATCAACCGCGCGAACTGTGGTAAAAGCAGAAATGGTAGCTTGCCCCAAGGACAAGTGGAGTGATTATGTTTTACCTCGGCTGGGCGATGCTTTCTCATGGATACTCAGTTGCCGCAAAGCGCCATCAACTGGCATTGATCGCGCCTCGGCCGCATTTAGAACAACAGCTCGAACTGTGAGTGGTCAGCTCAAGCAGTGAGCGACGAGCGATGACTTCTTACCTTCATTTGGAACAACCTCTTCATGCACGCTTGGTGCCCATAGCGCTCCTGACATCGAATTGGCTATCGTAACGTTCACATATAGCTGCATGAGACATTCGGAGATCCTCACCTTCTATAACAGGGGCAATACAGGTTATTGATATTCATCTGAGCCAGAGCACAGTACTAACCTGTGTCTCTAACAACAGCCCGGGCGGCACAGGAAATAAGAAGTATCGATACAGTGCAGATCAGAGAGAGAATGTTGGTGTACATCATGATGACGGTAGCAAGAGGTATGGCCCTACGATCTTGATGGAAACTTCTTCTACAACCAAGCTTGATCTTATAGGAGAACGAGAACCCATGACTCGTGGGCGTGGGGTGGGGCCTATGCAGCCTTGAGAGAAATTAGGCTCGGTTGCCATTGAAGAACTTCTTCCAAGGGTCTCTTCGTAAATCTGCTCCGAACTCCATATTAGCGGCGCTTCGACGATGAAGCGGCATCAGCGCGCAGGAAGTGCGCTCGATGTATCGGAAGCTCAACTGGCTTCGGCAGATTTGTTCTGAGGCACTCCGGTCATGCTACCACAGGGACCTAAAAAGTCTGGCATGTCCCCGTTATCTATTCACACTGTACCGTAAGGTTTCCATTCCACATAGGTAATCGAGCCAATCACTGAACTGATACTTGTTGTCTTATTGTGAATTAAATAGATCCTCTGACATTCGTCCCCGCTTCGAAAGGCGGCCCTGTGTGAGCCTCTCCCATTCCACATCTAGACGAAAAATTTGATCACAGCCCATCGTATTGATCGGGGCGAGGCAAATGCCGGGTATCCGTGAAGTCGAGCAGTGGGACTAGCGCCTTTGATGCAGCTCGGAGCCGGCTGTTCATAATTATGAGGCAAAGCCCGTTGATCGCAAGGAATGCAACCAGGGCAATAGCAATCCACCACGGTGAGGCGAAACGTTTTGTGCCTTGGGGGCACGCCCCATCCGCTTCAAGCGGAAGTTTTCTTTGCAGCACTTGCTCCTCCTCTTCTTCTTGTGCGAGCTGGGTATATTCTTTGTTGTTCATCTGATTGAATGTTGCAATCCCAATGCTGCGACAATCGCGTGTACATGTCAGTCACGAGATATGACAATTTTTTTCTCGGACTTACCTAGTACTCTCGCCAAGTGACAGTTCCAGGGATTGAATGAAGATGGACTGGGTATTTATGCGGCTGAGAAGGAGTCACATTATATTCAAAACCTTGAATCAAAAAAGGTTCATTATTACTCACAGCTTACAATAAGTGCGCCGACATACTGCCATCGTGCCATCTGATATCGTGCCTTCCTGGGAGTTGCCATGCTTGATTGCCGCGCCAGTTTAACTAAACGCGTGTGGCAGCACAGCATGGTACTGCATGTTCATTTCGCACGGAAAATTAATATTTGGGCTCTGCTAGGACGACTGACGTTAACTTATCAGGGGAATATGTTACTCCTGGGTGAGATCATTTGGTTTCTTAACTTGGAAGATGTTTATCTGGTCATAGGTTTATCCTGGGAGTTCAGTTCGGTGACTCTTGTGCACAGTATCCATGATGGCGGCACTGCTCCACACTGTGTACCCGGATCAGTCCCCCCATCTGGGAATTGACAATAACACTGACACTGGGTCGTTCAGATATAGCAATGAACGCACAGGACTGGCGTTCTCGGCACCGCACGATGCGGCTATATGTGTATCGAGTTCACAGAAGCCCGTTTTGCATATGAACTGTTTCTACCATCTAGAATCATAATGGCTTACCACCGACGTCTCACTTCCCCACTATCCAAGTGGTCTTTGCGGGACCCCTCTAATGTCCTTTCTGCTTGCATTTCCCTTCTGGTGCTCGTCACGATAGCCAACGTGATGTTTACCGTACACAGCATTTCTGTTCTCAGTGAGCTCCTCCCCCCGGCGCCTCACGTCCACAGTACGTCAACTGTGTACTTTACCATTTCAGGCATGAAATTGACATGACCCCATAGCGTATGTGGGTGATGACCACCCCTCCCAACTCCCACTGGAGCTCCCACTCGTCGGTCTCGAACTCGAGAGCGGCGAAGGCCACTTTTCATTATACGACGACGATGACTGGGGCACTATATTCCCCTCGGACGGGTTCGTCGCTCTAGGCCCAAACAACCGCACCTTTTTGGTTTCGCTGTACCATCAGTTTCATTGTTTGGACATCATCCGTGTAGGCTATGTCGTGAACCGGACGCATGCTGCGGAGCACATCCAGCACTGCTTGCGCTATCTGCGGCAGGCGCTGCTCTGTGCTGCTGATACCACTCTAGAAGTGGATATTCCGCAGATATCCACAGACGATGGGAAGTTGTATCATACTGCGAACGGGGTGGGTTCTGTGCACAAGTGTAGGGATTGGACGGTGCTGCGGCAGTACATGCTAGAACACCCAAGCATACCATTCGAATAAGGGGGTACGCGCGATGCTTCTTGTTTATGCCAAATTGATACTTCTATTAGCTAGATACGTCAAAGATACACCACATCGTAATTGTAATTAATTTCAGGTGTGCGCATGTCCAAATGCGCACACTACAACAAAAACCTAACCTTCAACCTTCAAGATTCTTTCTTTCTTTCGTTTCGATGCCAAAAGGTTTTGGTTTGTCATACAGGCGAAGCACTCTCAAGAGTGCTAACAGGCGGCAACTCGATCTCTGCGATCTCGATCTCATCATCGTCTCCCTTCATATCGGTTTGGGTCATGTTGCGCTCAACGGTGAACTGAGTGCCCGAAGTGCCCGTGTCTTCCCCACGGCGCGCCATCCATTCGATACGGGTGGACGTTATTGCCCTGGTCGTCTGTTCTGATGAAATTCCCAAACCGACCCGAATAATAATGAGGGTAGGTGCGATGCCCTGATGGCGTGTGAGCGGAAATTAGAAAAAAAAAGTAAAAAAGGACGGATTTGGGAGGGTACTGACGTATATTTGGGTGGCAATCACCGCCACGATGCCTTGTGCGGGGTGTTGGATCGCGAAGAGTACGACGAAGACGAATTGTGTGATGAGATAGAGGGCGCCGCTTTCGATGATGAACACCATGGCGCGATAGGAGGCGCCTTGGCTGATGACGACTTGGTTTTCGTTGACGACGCGGGAGGAGAACCAGATGCGGTAGACTATGAGGGAGGTTACGATGACGTTGGTGGCAAGGGGGAGGACATATCCTGCGAGGCCTAGGGGGACTACAGCGGCTGGAGGAGCGGGGGAGGAGGGGTCGATGAGGAGGAGGAGGTGGAGTACCTCCATTATACAAGCTATTGAAGTTGGTCAGAGACTGGTTGATTACTGAAAGTGGGAGAGACGTACCGAAGCCACCAAAGGCAGAAAGAAGGGGAAGTATGACTACGTAGTAGTTCTTACCCCAAAGCATCCAGCAGCGGTAGACGAGAACCAGGTCACCGACGAGATCTGTGAACGAGATAAGGAAATCTGCGCCCATTAGACCTGGAGTCTCCGCGGAATAATTAAGGACGCCTGTTGACTCCTATCGAGGTATGAGGATATGTATTTTTTAATGATTTGATAGGGAAACGCACAAGAGTCGTATAAAAATGATTGAATTCGAGGGCAAAATGTGCAGTGCAGCAGAAAAAAAGCAAACAGTTGGCAAAAACGACAGGGCTACTAAGGTTTGGTGCACGTTGTTTTTGAAACAAGACTACCCATGAGATGAGGAAAAGAATGCAGTAACTGCCTGGAGTTGTATTGTGAGTGGTTGAGGGATTTAAAAAGACGACGGTTCTTACCATACAAGACTGCTTCACAACCAAAGCCAATCAAAGCTGCTAGATCACTTGAGAGCATTGGATGGAACAGCTCTGATAGGGATGGGACAGGTATTGTGTTGGTATGATGATGCTGGCGGTAGTCAACAAAGAGAGCGCGCAGCCGCAGCCTTTGGGCACGGAGAGAATATTTGTTTTTTCATTCTGATGATCACGCCGGGAACCTCGTGAGATGCGGCCTGCCGGTCGTGTGGAGCACACACTGAATGAATTATTAAGGCTAAAATTGAAGCGCACGCACCTACTTGAAAAGGCTAAGAAGGCAGCTAACGAGGGTACAAATCGACGCTTTAGTGAGTGTACCACGCTGTTACATCCATTCAAACTCCGCGGCGTTGTTCATTAAGAACACCGTACCCAACCTGCCTGGTCCTCACCGCAAGAACCAGCCAGGAAAAACACTGCAGAAACACGTCTGCTGACCATCCAAACTAGATGCGATTCGCAATTTCGCGGGAGACCCGCACCGAGCACTGGGCGCCAATCCTTGCGCAGTCTTCCTTCTCACATTATTGTCATCAATGTTTGATGGCCATTCCTCAGCCTTTTTTGGTCCATCCTCCTTCATCCTCTCATGCCTCTTCTGAGAGTCTGCGGGTCCACAATCTTCGCTTTCATATTATGGAGCCTCATTAGACGCCTTCGTGCACAAAAGTCTCCTCTAGCTCACATCCGAGGACCAATCAAAGACCATTGGCTCAAAGGTACATCCGCTTCTATTGCGATACCTCGCATTAATCTTAATACGTCTCAGGCAATTATCACCGTATATTCCAAGATGGTCGACGCTATAACCTTGATTTGGTACACCAATACGGTGGGGTAGTCAAGATTTATGCCCTTCTTGGGGTGAACGCCCTTATTTTGGTTCTCGAGTCTCCACTTAACCTGAAACTTATAGCAAGAGCAACTATACATATCAGATCCACTTGCTTTGCATCACATCGTCGTCAAAGAGCAAAATGTCTACGAGGAGACAGATATGTTCATCATGTGAGTCCACAACTCTTTCCGCAGCAGCACTCCATAATCACACCTGATAGGGGCAATCGACTCATCTTTGGCGAAGGCCTTATAGCTACTCTTGGTGAGTACACAGAAGAGTTTCAACGAAGCGCGTTCATCCTATTTCAAAGGCGAACAACACAGGAAGCAGCGCAAGATGCTAAATCCAGTCTTCTCTCTCGCAAATATGCGTGAACTGCTTCCTGTAATTCAGCCTATCGCTGATCAATTACGCACCATCTTGACTGCAAAACTTCCAGCTGATGGCTGTAAGTTTGTCACAATTCCATTCAAGTATCGTTTGTTCATATTGTTTGCAGCGGTTGTGGAGGTCAACTTACTTCCGTGGTTGTCGCGAGGCGCACTGGAATACATATGTCAAGCAGCACTCGGACACTCATTCAATACACTTGACCCCACAAAAGACAACGAGTACATGGAAGCTATCAGAACACTTGCGTGCGTAATTTCTTGGTTCCCGCGAACAAATCCTGAAAATGAGCCCTGACAGACCATCCACGCTTCGCTTAATCTTCCTCCGCCCATTTATTCCAATGATTGTGCGAAGATTTTCCTTGTATTGGAGGAACAAGATGATGGATTGGATGCCGAGTGACGCACTAAAAAATCTTCGACATGTAGTAAGCGTGATGGACAGCGCAAGCAAGAAGATCTTCGCAGACAAAAGAGCAGCCTTGGAGAACGAAGGCTTCGTCGGCAATGCGGGGAATCGCATGCAAGGTAAAGATATCATGAGCATCATGCGTCAGTCAACCTTCTTTTCACACGTAAACCCTTCTACTAAGCTACTACCAGTGCGAGCCAACGCGTCTTCTTCCAATGACGATCGATTAACAGACTCGGAATTGCTGGGACAAATGAAGTGCGCCGTTATTTACATACACCTGCCAGCGTGAATCCCTAAACTCGGTATCCCTTTTAGCACGATCATCTTTGCGGGCTTTGAAACGACTACCTCTGCTATATGCCGCATTCTTTGGATCCTGGCCGAAAGGCAAGACGTTCAGGCACGACTACGAAGCGCAATCCGCAAGGCTAAACGAGACTATGCGGATGCGCAGAACCTGTCCGGTCCTTGGGAAGACGTAGAATTACCCTACGACACGCTTATGGGGCTGCCTTATCTAGATGCCATAGTTCGTGAAACACTTCGAGTTTATCCACCGACTTCTCTTCTCAGCCGAACGTAAGGTTTTATCTCGCCTCAAACGAACGCTCACCCGACCCATTTTCAAGTGCTCGTCAGTCTTCTGTTCTTCCATTACACCAGCCAATCAGGTCTGCATCTGGCGAAATGATTTCTTCGGTTCATGTTCCAGAAAATACGACGCTTATTATTTCTATCCTGGCTTCGAATCACAACAAGGAGATCTGGGGCGAGGACGCCTCGGAATGGCGTCCCGAGCGGTGGCTGTCGCCTTCTGGTGAGCGCCTTCACCTTGGAGATGGTGAAGGCAACTCTATGAGCGGTGCGAGTCTGGGGGTCAAGAATGGCATAAAATATCCTGGCGTGTATGGTTTGATGTAAGTAACATAAAACCTCCCGTGTTTCAGAAGGGCTGAAACCCGTGGTGAACGCAGGATGACGTTCCTCGGAGGCGGTCGTGCATGCATGTGCGTGATAGTTTCATTTTGCTATGCTATTCATGCACAGCCATTGATATTCATTGATCTAGCGGCTTTAAATTCGCAGAGATGGAAATCAGTGCGCTTTATGGTTCTTGTTTCTTTCCGCATGCAGAGATGAACTGAATGATTACAGAACAAGTCCTCACGACTCTCGTTCCCCGAATACATTTTGCGCTGCCTGCATCGAGGGATGAATATGGACACGTCAAGGAGATCTACTGGAAGATGAACGGGCTGCAGGTTCCGGTCGTACGTCCACCAGCTGGGGACAACGTGACGGCGCAAGTCCCGTTGGACCTGAGAAGGGTATGCGAGCAAGACTTTTTAGTGAATCAGCCAAACTAGCTCGAGCAGGGGGTAAAGACGTACACATTTGAGTGCACACACACCGCAATCTAATGTACATGTCGAGAAGCACGAGAACTTCCTTGCTAGTAAGTAGGACTAGGGTTTAGGCTACCGCTGTTCCTCGTTTGTAATAGGGTCGTCCCGATTCCGTTTTGTGAGCTCGCGGAGACCGCGAACGTGAGCTTCGTCTTCGTCGGGCGCGATGCCGCTCAACATCACGCTCGACGTCCTTCGAGCGGCTTCTGGACTTTAGTTGTTTTCTATCCTCGACTTGTTCACTTTCGCCCGTCTTAGCCTCCACCGCACCACCCTCGTCTTCCCTTCTCTTTTCGTGTTTCCTCTTCCACATGATCTTGCGCACGCATTTCGAACACAGAACGACTTTCACGAGCGCTTCTTTCCGTTGTCCGTGCTCTTCATATGTAAATGGTAGCTCGAGAGTCGTAAGTGGTGTAGAAGATGCGGTGTGGTCGGGACAGCGCGCGTTTGCGCATGTCGTGTCGCCTGTTCCGGAGAGAACTTCTGTTTCTGTGCGCCATCGGAGGGTGAACTAGATGGGTTTTTAGCCACCGTACTAGAGAGAGAGGCGACGCGTGCTAGAGGGAGAGACGTACGTTTCCTGACTTGTAATGCTTGAGATCACAAATCGCGAATTCGCGGTAGAGGCTGTCGTAGTATTTCTGTGCGAGCTGGTCGTTCCATGATGTACTGGCTTCACCGTCTGTGCCGTCTCGCAGGAACCTTGAAAGATATGATGAAAGAGGCAGAACTTGGAAATGTGGGCGCTGCTTACTTGTGCGAGGCTTTTAGGATGTCGAATTCCGTGACTGGAGTTGAGGCAGCGACAGTTGTCTTTGGGACATATGGTTTGTATAATGACATATGGGCAGATGGGAGACGGTAAGAGTGTTGGTTGGGTGATGAAGCTGGTTAATTATAACTGCTTCCAGCAAGCTCCCGAGAACTTGGCGTTGCTACAACATTTTGTAGAAGTCGATTTCAGCTTAAGCTACGTACGACGAATACACTATCATTAGTACTTATGACATGGTATATAAAATATCCCTGTTCCACCCAAGTTCCATCCCACAGCAAAATCCATGTCCGTACTATACAGTGTACATGCCATACTGGCAGAAACTTTAATCAGATACTTTGATCAAATGATGCAAGGCTGCGATATCCATTCCTGCATTCCGCGGAGTGATACTACAAGGGAATGGCACGGGTCGTCTACGGTGATACATCAGTATATCTCCAACGAAATCCTGCTCAGGACCACGCACACAGTAATTCCTCCATCCCATCGTGGCTTAAACTTGATCTCATTACCACTCTCGTCTTTAGCGATTGAAAGTTTGAATATCGCGAGGATATGGACCATCGCGGACCATACAGATGATTCAGCCAGATGCCGACCAGGACATATCCTCCGTCCGAATCCCCAGACGATACTGACAGTATCATCTGTCAGCGTACCGTCTGCATTGAGGAAACGGTCAGGGTTGAATTCATCTGGATTGGGGTATTTCGCTTCGTTGTGACACATTGCCCTGTGGAGGAGTAAGTTGGGATCCCGAGACTGCTTATCGTCCGTACCAGACGTTTGGGGTTATCGTAGCACCTGCACTATAAATCAACATGAACTTGATCAGATCAGGGGGAACTCGCATACCTTTGGGGATGTAATAACCCTCATAAACGTCGCTCTCGACAGCAGCATGCATGATTGCTATAATTGATCAATGATATTTTTATGTCGCGCTAGGTGAGCAACGCACCTAGAGGGAACACTGGGCGCCACCGAAGGCACTCGCGCAAAATGGCGTCAATGTAGGGCAAGGATGGACGATCCTCGAACGTTGGCAGTCTCTTTGTGCCGACTACGCTCTCGATAAGTTTGCGTGCCTTCTCTTGCATGTCTGGATAAAGAATCATCACAAGGATGAAGTTCATTATTACAGCCGCTGTCTAGGAATGGTCAGCATTGGACTAATCGCCAACCGTTTCCTACCTACCGTCTCAGTGCCAGCTGTTCGCGAGACAATTCGATCAATCTAACAAAACCGCAACGAGTTATTGCACGTTCTCACCCCCAGTCGCAGTTGCTGCAGAATCCTTTATCGCTTTCTTCTGCCATTCTGAATCGCCGTCGCTTTCATCAAGCTTCAGCAAATGGTCAACGACCATGCAAGAAGAGGCCGTTCCTGCAGCCTGAAAAACTGACTGTTAATGAAATGCCTCATCTAACGTTGCGCTTACAAGACGATGCTCCGCGTGCGCGAATGGGTTTTCTAAATTTTCAACTGCTAGCTGCTTGGCTAGGGGTGAAACTCTCTTGAGGCGCATGCCAGGCAGCCAAGACGGGAGGCGGAGAACTAAAGAATAGACAATGAGAAATTGCGTGATATGATTGCGACGGTGGCCTACGGGAGGGGAATGCGCTGAAAATTGCAGCTACCTCCGGTCTCATTTCTTGCAGTATGACCTCCAGGGCTAATGCCATACGCTCAATCTCGTGGTCATTACGGCGCGCTGCGTCATATGAATACACGGCAGACATGATTATCGAACCCGCATGTCTGGAGAACTTGTCAATGCCAACAGTGAGTGGAAGCACATAGAAATTTGCTCACACTTCAAGATGTTTCGGGTAGCCCGAAGGATCCTCTAGTAAGTTCATTAAAAGTTCGTGAGTTTTTGCCAATTGCATGGGCCGAAAATTGGATGTAACATCATGTCGGAATGACTGGTGATAAATTTTACGATGAAGCCGCCATCTGCTATTATATCGCATGAACGCAGTAGTGTGGTCAACGCCAAATCTGGTTCAGGACTACTAGTAAGTGACAAAGGACACTCAATCATTCAATCATTCATACAATTCATTGGTTGCAATCTCTGGTCTGTCAGAGTAGTTTTGCGACCGATTTTCGAGGAGATCTCTTGCGATTTCCTCAGAGTTGATGACAATGTTATCTTGACCGAAAAGCGTGGTATAGACCACGTCGCCTACATAAGGAACGTGAATTAGTACTGCACAGTGCAGGGCGTCGGCATTTTGCGAGATCACTTGCCGTATTGACTGCCCCATGCCTTGTAGGTAATCCAAGGCGCGTTTACATCGATTGCCAGTGCGCTGCCTAAAATTGGGAGTGAAACCGGACCTGGTGGAAACCGAACACCGCGAGGCAGCTTTGGTTTGGCGAAGTAGTTTCTTATTGCAACGCCGATCACAGCGGCAGCAAGAAGTCCTACAAGCCCACCCGTCACATTGCGGTCTGGCATAGCAAGGATAAATCCTGAAGAGTGCACACTGGAGTGAGTGCTAGTCAGTTGATCAAGAGTAGTTGAAAATTACAGTTCCTTCTCACTATAACTTATGACATTGAGCAATTGCAATATTTTACGTACGTCAGTCCGCTTAATGCCCTACCGCGGGTGAATTGCGTGGCAACCTGTTGGCAGCTTGATAATGCATCCGCGAGCCTAGTACGCTGGCGAAGAGTCACAATTGGAATTGGAGCGCTCCAAGGTGCCTGTGGCCTTGAGCGTGTGTGTATGGATGCTTTATCTGGATCCAATGGAAGTCGTTCGCCGGAGAAAAGAATAAGACCTAACTAAGTTTGCAGTCAGACTCCTCAGCGTGCCAAGAATCTGGGTCCCAGCCGTGTCTGAGCAAATCCCACCTGATGGGCAGAATTTCCAACCGTCCCTGACGACAGACTCGGGACATGTATGGTCGAAGAGCCAGCTGACTAGAAAGCTGAGAGAGTTGATGTTCTTTTGCTTTGGGCTGCCTTGAACTGAATAGTGAATTCAACTGCTTGAATGTCATCGGAGACGACTACGAGGGGTCATACGGCCCATGATGTCCTTCGTAGAAAGCCGTCGGGTTCGTAATACGCCACAGAGGCCGGAAGTGGAACGAGCCAGCATTGCACCACAAACGTCATCCCTGCAGGAATGACGTTTGTGGTGGAAGCAAGCCGCGGTTGACAAGGACGCGCCGCAAGTGACTGATGCTATCTAAGTGGCCACTGAGGTAGTAGCCTTTAAATTCTCAGCTGATATACACACTCGGTTGCGCAATGATCCGATGATACTATAGGGAGATTTGCTTTGCTTCCTTTATAAGTTGGCAATACAAAGGCTTAGGGATACTGTCATTCAATGTCAGCGTTCTCCGTCTTTCAAACTACAATGTCTCTAGCGTCCCGGCGGTGTTTACCATGGTCATGGCCAGAAGCTGGCATGTGCTTGACCCGTGGTGATGTGAACGCGTAGTCGGAGTCGAACTTCAATATGACCACCGCATCAGATTGATCAATGGTCCACAACATTTACGATTTACGCCACATCGGTCGACCAGATACATGGGAAGCAGGAATTGGTCGTTCCTCCTTGTCCTCTTAGTCTTCCCCACTTCACCAGCTCTGCTCACAATACCCAGTCAGCCGCAGTGAGCACAACATCAACACCTGGTGACATGTCACCTGCCGGCGGCGCAGGCACGTTGTCTACTCCGCAGCACGAAAAGGCAGCAGCTCATCCTGCTGGCAAAATAGAATACACGTCAAATAGCTGTGGAACCGCCGTAGTCAGCGAGCACATCAGCCTGGTTGGTGTCAAGTGAGCACCTTTCCAGTTTTTATTGAGCAGCACCCAACGTTTTGAAGCGTCGACCAAATTCACCCATGGACTCAGCACAACATCCAGGAGGCCAAGACATGCAAGGCAGATGCCATGCCCCGAGTCCAAGCTCTCCTGCAAAAATGCCTCAAGGCACTTCCACCGGTTTGCAATGAGCGGGCAGCGGGGTCTGCTACAAAGGGCAAACGAAAGGCTCAGGGACAATTGTCACCTGAAGCCAAGCGAAGGAAGCCTGACAACAACCTGCTAGATGTAACCGTCCAGACGGGTCTCTACGCCGCCGAAATGTTTGCGGCCAGTCTTGCTGTCAATAATGTACTCAACCTTATCGTCGTCGGTGAGTTCGTTCGTCTCTCGACATGGGTCGCGCTCTTACCGCTGCTTTTGTAGACGACGTGATCTATATCTGGTATTATGATCGGCAAGGGATCATTCAATGCTCGGGCATCAACTTCATTCAAGATCCCCCACGATTCATGGTCCTGTTGTATGCTTTACAACGATTCGAGCTTCGCGATCGGGGCCGAAACACGCGCTTTCTCCCAGTTCAAGATGGAGAGATCCAATGTCACGAAATCACAATTGAGGATGCAGACCTGGGACCCGTGGATCTCCTGCTTTACACCAGCCACGAAGAAAGAGTGACGGACAAAGGACTACAAGGACGCGCTGTAGCTGTGGTCCCTGTCACCAGCAAAGCGCTCGAGAAGAAATTCAACCACATCGAGGATGGGGTGGTTGCCGAGATCTTTTGGGGAGAGCAGTCGCGCACTTGCGAGCCAGAAATCTTGGAAAAGGTGAAGGAGATCGCTAAGGTGAACCAATCCGTAGAAGGCGATATTCCTGTGCTGCTCTGTCACGAAAAGTTGACGAATCCCACGTCCTCAATCCGAGAAGCGCTTGACTTTCTGGAACCTACCAAAGGCAGTCGCGTGCTCAACATCCTCGTATTCCCCAAGCTCAACCCCATCACGGAGCTACATGGCAAAGAACTATTTGAAGTGTGGCGCCAATGTATCCTATGTACGTGTTTCATGGCATTTATGTCGCTCTTCGTTAACATTACGTGCAGGCCACATTGCTTTGTGGAAGGCAGGAGTCTATCATCGAGATGTCAGCCCTGGAAACATGATGTGGTACCGTGACAAACTGGGGAAGCTTATGGGTGTGTTGAACGACTACGATCTATCGTTGTTGGCAAGTGTGCCGGGTCCTCATGGCAACGAGCGCACGGGCACGGTGCCGTTCATGGCACTCGATCTTTTCACCGAAGAGGCTCAACGAGGCGAAGTCAAACATTTGTATCGCCATGATCTGGAGTCGTTCATGTGGATTTTAACCTGGATTTTCTTGCGTTATAGGAATGGAGACCTCCTACCACCGGCATCACGCCCCTTGGATATATGGGCAACTTCAGACGCCTGGACATGTTATGAGGAGAAGTTAAACTTTCAACGTTATGTCCAAAAATATCAGCCCTCGGACATCGACCGTTCGGACCCCAATTTTTCAGACATCAATTTGCGTATGTGGGCTCTCCTCATGGACTGTTTTCTTGTGCTCAAAACAGCCGACCACACTCGCTGGATGGACGATCATCGTTGTGCTCAAGAGATATTGTGGGGAGGAGCAGGCCAGCTGACACACGCCGAAGAATCACACTCATTTACTCGAGTTTACCACTTCCAAGAATTGGATCAAGTTCAGCGCGCTGTCACAGTGATTTTCATTACTTCTTACCCTATATACGGTGTTCTGCGTATCGATACTTGTAAATTTCAGTTGTACATTCACAATACACGCTATCACTCCCGATAGTGAATATTAATGCAATGAGTCATATAAGTTCAGGTCGTTATCGTCATGAAGACGGATAAGTTCAAGGCAGCCTGATCACTTGCCGCACACCGAAATAGTAATTCGTGCTTGAACGCTTCAAGGACCTGTATCGAACCACACGTATCTAGGACTTAGCTGGAGCTCAGAGTTCAACGTTCAACGTTCAATACACATACTATATTGGGCTATCTACGCGCATTCTACACCTTGCAAGTCGGCATCACGTGCGCGCGTTTGATGGAGCGCGACTCAGCGCGTCGTCGGAGTCGAACTGGACATCAAACACCCACTTCAGAATTGATCAATGGTCACCAAATTTGCGCCATATCGGTCGACCGGATATAAAGCAGGAATAGGTCGTTCTCTCTTGTCCTCTTGGTCTTGGGATGGTGGCCAAGGTCTTTTTGGGAGAGGAGGATCGCCCTAGCGAGCCGGAAACTTTATACAAGGTCAAGGAGGTCTCTGATGTGCACGATACAGTAGAAGACCACATTCCTGTGCTGCTCTGTCACCAAACGGTCACGAATCCCACGTCCTCAATCCGAGAAGCTCTTGACTTTCTGGAACCTACCAAAGGCAGTCGCGTCTACATCCTCGTGTTCCCCAAGCTCTCCCCCATAACAAAGCTCCACGGAGACGACCTGTTTAATGTATGGCGTCGATGTATGCTGGGTATGTGTTTCATGGCATTTATGTCGCTCTTCGTTAACATAGCGTGCAGGCCACATTATTCTGTGGAAGGTGGGGGTCTATCATCAAGATGTCAGCCCTGGAAACATGATGTGGTACTATGACAAGCTCGGAAAGCTTATGGGTGTGTTGAACGACTACGATCTATCGTCGTTGGCGGATGAGTCGGGTCCTCAGGGCAACGAGCGCACAGGAACGGTGCCGTTCATGGCAATCGATCTTCTCACCGAAAGGGCTCAACGAGGCGAAGTCAAACACCTATATCGTCATGATATGGAGTCGTTCGTGTGGGTCTTCATCTGGATTTGCTTCCGTTACGACAGCAAAGGAGCCCTCCTATCACCGTCATCGCGCCGCTTCGATGAATGGGCAACTTTAGGCGCCTTCCAATGTCGCAAGGACAAGCGAGATTTCCTGCATGATATAACAGATTTTCCCCGCCCGAACGTAGGGCGACGGACGTGGCGTCTCCTTACGCAGTGTGCCTGGGTGCTTAAAAAAGATCTTGATCGTCTATCTGATCAGAAATACGATCAGCTCATAGAAGCATACGATCAGTCAGACGACGATGAAGAGGAGAAGGACGAGCATGAGAATGCGAATGAGGATGAGGTAAAGGTTGAGGAATCGGTGGACGGACTTCCAGGAGCGGTCAAGCAGCCAGAGGATGAGACATCTATAGCGGCTATCGAAGCCTTCCTACGCATGTTTACCGAGACCAAGGGCTGGAAAGAGCTAGAGCGCCGCATCCGTTCACGGTGACTTTCCTACTCATGACTTTCTGAATATAAATCGGTGTAACTTTCAGTTGTTCAAACATTTATGTAGATAGATATATAGGATATTACGAGCCGCCACTTTCCAATGCGGATATCCGACTTGATCATGAAATTCCGAAGACGAGTTCAAGTTGAAAACTTAAAAGCTCGTAGTCTGGTTGCTTTCCTCATTATCATCTAAGGCCTAGACTCACAAGACTTGTTCAGCCGTCTATGACCCGATCTGTAAAACTTCTCCATCGATGCATTAATAGGGTCACAGATAATCGATAACCATCAAACTGTGGATCGCCGTATCACTGCTCGGGATCACGGTCCGCATCGCCCAATCTGTTTACTCCCATTGAACAAAGGCTTAAGAAGGTGAGACTCCTTACGTAGAACTAGCTGCAGCTCCCCTGATGAGAGGCTCGAAACCGCTGCCAATCCGCTTTACTAGCCGCTCCCTCCCCATGTTGGCCTCAGTTGCTTTGGCACCACAATTGAGCTTGGCAGGAATCCCACCTTCGCGTGCCAGAACCAACCAAGGGTAGTAGTCGCATCCTCTCATCCTTGTATTAGTATTCTGCAAACTCCGACCCATCACTGAGCTACATCATGATCTACCAAGTTATGTGTTTTGATTGCTGCATCTATACGACTCTCAGTTGAACACGTGTGTTGCAGGCCACCATGATCTCTGGAATGGCCCAGGGGTGTACCATCAAGATGTCAGCCCTGATGGCAACAAGATATATTGCTGGCTTGATGGGTATCTTCAGCGACTACCATGACCTGTCGGCTGCAGCGCCGGCGGGTCCTGCCAGTGAGGGCAAAAAGTGCGCGGGAAAAGATCGAGTGCCATAAATGGCACCGTGCCCGTGACATTCATGGCACTCAGTCTTCTCGCTGTTCACAGTCCTCGCTTGCGTTACAAGCATGGAGTCGTCCGACCATCGCAATCATCGAGGCTCTTCGATTCCTGGGAAACTCCAGACGCCGCGGCATGTGGCAAGGAGGAGGAGTCATGGCAGAGTGACTCATGGCACAATAAGTAGCGAACAGCTCGTGGCCCAAAGAAATACCGTCGGACATCATGATGAAGGAAGAGTCGCGGGATTTCGGACAACAAAATTTCGGCAAAAGAACAGCACGCTCTGAGTGAGCCGGAAATCCTAGCAAGGTTTCCATGAGACCATGAATCTAAACGGCCATTTTCCTCAGCTAGTTTGGCACAACAAGTTCACAAATCCCACGTCTGCAGTCCAAAGAGCCTCGCTTTGCGTTCCAGCACCGACCAGGGGCACTCGTGTACTCTACATCCATGTATTTAACAAGCTGCAGCCCATCACAGAGCTCGATGGCGAAGACCTTTTCAACGTGTGGCATCAATGCATCTTGTGTACGTGGTTAACTTCTATTGTATCTATGCAGTTCTCTGTTGACATGTCACGTGGGTCACCTTGATCTATGGAAGGGAGGGGTCCATCACCGAGATGCCAGCCCTAGCAATATGATGTATTACAAGTCTGAAGGCGCCCTGATGGGTATCTTTTACAGCTATGATCTATCATCGCTGTCGACTCCGGCGGGCCCTGGGGGCAACGAACGCATGGGTACAATACCGTTCATGGCGCTCGACCTCCTACCTAACACGTGGGGTCAACGAGGCGAAGTCAAACATTTGTATCGCCATGATCTGGAGTCATTTATTTGGGTTTTCTTCTGGACTCGCTTTCATTACAGGAATGGAACCCTCCTACCACCAGCATCGCGCCCATTCGATGCATGGGCAACTTCAGGCACTACGAGATGTCGCGGGGAGAGGCTAGATTTCCTGGATAGTCTCAAAGTATTCTCCCGCCGGGACATACAACGAGATGTGTTGCTTTTCCTTGTGCAGTGTGTCCGGTTCCTGAAAATCGGTGCCGCCGAGCGATACGACCTTGTCCTCGAACAGCTTATGGATCCAGAAAAAGTCGTACAGTCAATTGATGAGGAATCTGAATCAGCTATCGAAGATTACCTATCCAAATTTACCACCACGGACCCCTGGCTTGTGCTCCAGGGCCGCATCCTTTCACAGTGATTTTCCTACATACGGTTTTCTGCACATAAATTCCGAGCCACCACTTTCCAATGCGAATATCTATGTATGTGTGACGCTATTCTACATGGATGAAATTCCAAAGACTAGTTGAAAACTCAAAAGCTTGTAGTCTGGTCGCTTTCCTTAGCTTATCGTGCGGTAATTGCCGCGATGTTCTGCAGTATTAGGACTACTTGCTTGTCGATGGCCACATGCTCTGGAGTCTGCATGGTGCATCCATCCGTGCACAGAAGAACTTCGCATGATAAATATAAGCTCACTCAGTACTTGGTGTCTTGAACTGTAATGAACGCCAAATTGTAGTTCGTTTTGCTGTTCCAGATTTCCGGAGATATCATACGAAAATCCACCACTGAAAAGTATAAGTGTATTACAATGTGAGTTCGAGTCTGAAATATGATGCGAAAAAATGGGTCTGAAGGATATGCTACCCGCACAATTGTCCAGTGAAGTTGTTGGGTAGACGGGGGTCATTCCGGACCTACGCATCAAACACCCCTAACATGTCCTGCAACCAGATACATCCTTTGCGATGCACCCCGCTTCAGCACGAGATCAGAGGGCCTAGATAGTATCGATGGAATGTTACGTGTCGGGCGTGTCACCAATGTCCCCTGATTTGCCTGATTGCCAGCATGATTGTCCGTCAAGTCGTGTAAGTAACAGCGTGCAACCTGATTGCGAGAAACTTGTATGTTGGTCGAATAGCCGTAAGTCATGAGTACATACCTGACCTCCAGAAGGATATCAAGTCAAGTCGCCCGTTTTCTCCGACATGAGGTAGTCAGTTCCCAGGTCCTCATACGTGCGCAAGGCTGATGGCGGGTCTTTCAACCGAGGACAACTCTCCTCGAGTGACAAATCTTGGCTAAAGTTCTGCATCTTTGAAACCAAGTATGTGGAGGACCCAACTGGCCCTACCGTTGAGAGCCATCCATAACAAGATTGATTCGAGAAAACTCAGCCACTGGCTGTGTTTTCTCGAATCAAAGTGGTGACTGTGGCTGTCGGAGCTATGGATGGGTCGCAGCATTGTGATGAATAAAATTAATGCGATGATGATACAATCGAGGGTGTCGTCAAGCTGTGTGGTACGAGCTGACACATGTAGCAATCCATGGAGACTCTTACCACACAGTGTGATGACCGGGACGACAACAGCTTTTGTAGACAATGCAAGAAGCTGCAGTGGGTTGGGCACAGTTTTGTTGGTAGGTACTAGGTGGACGATGCTAAGGATGCCATTGTGGGGGATGGAAGAGAGTTGAGGGTAAAAGAGTGGGTATATATATGATAAATGAGTGGCTTCTCCGTGGTGATGGACACATTACACACGCCTGAATTGGGTTCACTGACAGAACAATATTAATGGCGGCTCAATGCAAAACGCTGCGGCAGTTCCCGAGAGCGTCTTCCTGGTCGCCATTCCGTGGCACTCATACCTTGGAACAGACAAACCATGTATATAGTAGGGCAACGAACAATGACATTCAATAACGCAACGGGAGGATGCTATTACACCCTTCCCTCGTGCTCATCTAAATAAAGCCGGGCAAGTTAAACAGATACTCGGATCAAATGCTGCAAAGCCGAGACATCCATGCTCGCATCACGAGGAGTGATACTGCAAGGGAATCGATTGGGCCTCCTAAAGCGATAAATAAAAATTAGTATCTCTCCACAGAAATACCGAAAACCACGTACACACTAAGCCCTCCATGCCAACCCGGAATAACCTCGATCTCTCTCCCATTCTCATCTTTGGCCTTTTCGAATTTGAACACCGAGAGCAAGCCGACAGCTGCAGACCATAAAGAAACTTCGGCAAGGAAGCGACCAGGGCATATACGTCGTCCGAATCCCCAGACGAAACTCACGGCATCGTCTGTCAGAGTACCGTCCGCATTGAGGAACCGATCAGGGTTGAATTCATCCGGATTGGGGTATTTCGCTTCGTTGTGACACATTGCCCTGAGAGGGATTAGGTTCAGGAACACCGAGAACTAGCGATTCATTCATGCGTACCAAATATTCGGAGTGATCGTAGCGCCTGTGCTACAGATTAACATGGACCCTATACAGATCAGGAGAAACTGGCGTACCTTTGGGTATATAGAAACCATTGTAAATGTCGCTGTCGACGGTAGCATGCATGATCGCTATAATCGATCAATAATCTGTTTATGATATACTGGGTGAGCAACGCACCTAGGGGGAACACTGGGCGCCACCGCTGGCACTCGCGCAAAATGGCATCGATGTAGGATAACGATGGACGATCCTGGAACGTCGGCAGTCTCTTTGAGCCAACCACGTTCTCAATAAGTTTTTGTGCTTTCTCTTGGATGTCTGGATAGAGAATCATCACAAGGATGAAGTTCATCAACACAGCCGCTGTCTAGGAATGGTCAGCGTTGGATGAAACCACCGACCGCTTCCTGCCTACCGTCTCAGTTCCAGCTGTCGGCGAGAAAAAATCTCTCAGTTTCATACAAAATACATTGGACTATATGCTCACCCCCAAAAACGGTTGCTGCAGATTCCTTTAGCGCTTCCTTCTGCGAGGTTATATCGGTGTTGCTTTCATCGAGCTTCTGCAAATGGTCAACGACCATGCAAGAAGACACGGATCCTGTAGCCTGAAAAGTGCTTGTAAAATAAAGTTCCTCGGCGCCATGATACACTTACCAGGCCACGCTCGGTGAACGCAAATGGAAACTCCAAGCTTTCCCTCATCAATCTCTTGATCAAAGGCGCAACTCTCTTGAGGTGCATGCCAGGTAGCCAAGACGGGAGGCGTAGAACTACGGATTAAACGGTAAGAAATTGCTGAACGTAATGGGAAATATAGCCTACGGGACGGGAAAGCACAGAATACCGCAACTACCTCAGGTCTCATCTCTTTCATTGAGAGTTCAAGGGCGTGTGTTGCACGCTCAATCATGTCATCATCATGGCGTGCTGCTTCATACGAGTACACAGTAGACATGATGACTGAACCCGCCAACCTGAAAACCTATTCAATACCAACGGCAAGTAGCTCAAAAGAAATCCACTCACACGTCAAGGTGTTTGGGGTAGTTCGAAGGATCCTCAAGCATGTTTAATAGCAGTTCGTGAGATTTTGCAACTTGTATAGGCCGGAATTCAGGTACTACATCTTGGCGGAAGGACTGCTGGATGATTTTTCGCTGAATCCGCCATCTGCTGCTGTACCGCATGAATGCAGTAGTCCAGTCAACGCCAAATCTAAGAATTGAGGTCTATCATAATGACGAATGCCGAATAATTCGATAAACCGCACAGTTCACTGGTTGCCAACTCTGGCCGGTCAGAGTAGTTGTGTGACCTATTTTCGAGGAGTTCTCTTGCAATTTCTTCAGAGTTGATAATAATGTTATCCTGGCCAAAAAGCCGGGTATAGATCAAATCGCCTAAGGAACTTCAGTCAGCTGGTGGTGGACATTGTGCGGAATGAGGATGACTTGCCGTATTGATTGCCCCATGTCTTGTAAGTAACCCAAGGCGTACTCACATCGATTGCTAGAACATTGCCCAGGAACGGAAGCGGAGCCGGACCTGGTGGAAGTCGCACACCACGAGGCAGCTTCGGCTTCGCAAAGTAACTTCTGAGTGCAAAACCGATAACGACAGCAGCAAGGAGTGCGTCAAAGCCGCCTATGATGCGGTCTGGCATAGCAAGAAGAGATCTTGGAGGTCAGTGGTAACAAAGACTAGTGGGAAGGGTGTCGGGATATCACAATTGGCACGCTAAAAATTTTCATTTATTACCGAGGTTCAAGTGTCTCCCGGTCAGACCCATCCCCAATGCCCGACTCGATCTGGCCATTTTTTGTAGGGCCGATATACTAGTGAAACTTGTCAAAAGGTAGCGCCAGCGAACCCCTTGAGAAATATTTGAACCTGGGAGGGCTGCGTCGCAGTGTATAGTGGTGACGTGGCAATCGTTCCGTGACACGGACCCGACCGATCTTATGATTCTGATCAGCAATCAATATTAGTAGTTTAAGACTAAAAAAGCGTGTCAGACTAGCCTTGCTAGCCCTGCCAAATCCCCCAGTCACCTCGTTGAATGGATTCGATCATGCAATGTCTTGAAGTGATCAGACAAAGTTGACATGGTATAACAGGTGTCAAAATGAAGGGGCCAAAATTTTTGGTCTTGTGGACGCCAAGCAGTGATGAGTCCGTCTGACCGCGCTCTCAGAGTCTCAGGTGTGACTCGGAAAACATGCTGGAAACGCTGCATCATGGGCCCATACATATCACTGTGAAGTATTACTAAAAGAGTGTTTCCTTTAGTCCGAGCTCGTGGAGTGCGACATTAATATTGCTAGGCGGGTCTCGCCGCACCCGCACCCGCCCGCCGTCATTATTTCAAATCCCCGAACATACACGGCAAAATTTCTTTCCTAAAAGGCAATCATGCGCTCGGCAAATCAGTTGGCTGAGCAGCAAGCTCCCTCGCGCGCCGAGTTCGCGGCTTTGGTTAGTTGCTATCCCACTCACTCCCTCCCCACCATGACCAGATTGTTAGCACCTTGAGGATTCCAAGTAGGAGTTCAAAACGTTGTGGTCCAATAGTTCTTCCATCTATCTTGCTAGCCGCAATGGGAACCTACAGAGTCTCCTGAAGGAATTCACACTCATTGTGGCGATCTGTTGGATGGATGGCAAGGAACCGGGGTGGTGGGTTGATTATAAGCCCCATGGCGATTGCAAATGAACTTCGGAAATTTCCGACATGGGCACTAGGTAGTCCCCTAGCAGCGCGCCCTGGTCTCTATGCTTGGTCGATCATCGTCAGTTTCCCTTACATGAATGCTAAACCAATGACAGTGTGTTAAGGCCCGTAGTAGTAGTGTCACGGCTCGGTTTTGGCCGGTCCGGTCTCGGCTGTTACCGACTTCCCAGCAGTTCGGCTTTTCCCATGAACCAAGTCACTCACGTGTGACTCGGTCTGGTCCGCAAGGCACCTAAACCGGCACCAGATAGCACAAGCCAAGAATGTGGGAACAACGGCTTGAGCCGGCCTCAAGCCAGCTGAAGGGGGTTGTGTGGCGAACTCGTTTTCAGGATTTCTCCAACTTCATACTCCCCATTGTCCCCACTATTCAGTTGGATTCACTGTAAGTTACTATGAATAAGGTCCCGGTTCGAGTAGATGGTAGATTTAGGCTGGGAGAAGTTTTAGGATCTGGCTCCTATGGTATGTAGTAAAATTTATTCAAATTTATTGTTCACAACATATAGTACGCCTTAGCTGTCGTGTATTCTGCACGGAATATCATCAATGATGATAATGTTGCCCTCAAACTCGAAACCGTTGTCAACCACTCATCTTCTGTGGAGCGTGAATACTGGATCTTGAAACAACTTGAAGGCGGAGTTGGCATCCCCCGCACCCTCTGGTTCGGTAGAGAGTCAGCGTATCATGCTCTTGTTCTCGAACTCCTTGGGCCATCGCTCCACCAACTCTTCCTCGCGAACAATCGAAGATTCAGCCTTCTCAACGTTGTGAATCTAGGAGTCCAGTTGGTCAGTCGTTCCGTTTGAAGTCTTTGTAGATAGGTCGACTGACTTTCCTAGCTCTCACGTCTTGAATATATTCACTCGCACAACTACGTTCACGGCGACATCAAACCACAGAACATATTAGTCGGTCTTGGAAATCTGAGGCACACCGCCTTCATCATCGATTTTGGTATCACGAAGATGTACTGGAACACCGCAACCAGTGACCATGTGCCATTTCGCCATGGCCGAAGTCTCTCTGGTACTCCTGCGTTCGCCTCGATCAACAACCACTTAGGAGTTGAGCCAGGTCGTCGTGACGATCTTGAGTCGCTCACATACATGTTAATCTATTTCTTACGTGGCTCCCTTCCATGGTTAACAAGCGACGACGAGAAGTTGTCCAACTCTACCATACTCGAGCGCAAAGCACGTGCTACCATTGCAGATATATGTCATGACATCCCCGTTGAGTTCGCCAACATTCTTATTTACACCCGCTCTCTCGCATTCGCAGAAGATCCTGATTACGATCATCTCCGCTCATTACTTAACGGTCTTCGTGCCACATTGCCTGCACCAGCTACGTGCATGTTGGATTTCAGCCAACCTGACGGTCCTGCCATACCTCCCCTTCTATCACCTGACGGTCCTTCCATACCTCCCCCTCTATCACCTGACCAGTGCTGTGTGGCCAAAGCAATCTCACCATGTCCGCCAAAGGTAGTGCGCAGATCGAACTCGTGTGTGAGTAACGTTTGTTCTATATCTTCGAACCGAACTTAAACTTATTTACAAGGTTACGCCCGCGGAATGGCTCCACATGGTGTGCTGCGTCAACTCCACAGCGGAAATCGCGACCGGTTACTGAATAACGCTGTTGTAGACTACTGTACATACTACATAGTACATACTACTACATAGTACATAGTACATACGGTGTATATGTTATGAATAGCTCAGCCTCAAATGCATCATCATGTGTAATTGTGCATCGCTTTCAGCGTGGTGATTAGTAATTACTAATCGGTCTAGGTCAGGCCATTTTCCCTTCAACATGCTGCGCAGTGCACAGCCTTCAATCTTTGCGCCATACCATCATCTCAATCACCCAGAATGCTATATATCTTGCTATCGCATTTGCGCGTGCTGATCAAACAATGATCGATGATCGCCAAGGTGAGGGTCTCTGCACTTGTGGTTATTCACCACCAAAGTTTTGACTTTCACACAGGCAGCCACTGATCAGGCGACTATCACAATTCTACTTCTTGTGCAAGGTAATTGATTCATCCAACCAATTCTGATTGTATTGATCGTTAAATCGTACTCTGCGCTGTGCGGTGATTAAAATTTAGGAGTGGTAGTCACATCTGCACCTACATTGCCTTGCGATCTGGCTTCGCAATTGAAACCCTGAAGATGAAGGTAAGCTGTTTGTTACTCAAGCTATCTATCCGATCACAGTGATATAGAAAACCACACGGAACCAATTCACTTCAGGTATGTCCTTCATTGAGCGAGATTTCCCCCACCCTCACCTCCACCAAATTATAGCGGTTTGCAAGCATTCATTGACGGAAATAAGACGAAGAAGACCAATTGAGCCCACACCCTGTCACTGGCCAGTCATTTGGCGCCAAACTTGTGCGTCGCACTTTTACTGTTCGCTTCTCGCTCTCACATGTAAATGACTCAATTCTCGCATCGGCTTTGGCCTATACGACTTCTCGTGCACATTGTCGTTTTCTGGGGTTTCCCAGCAATTGGTTCAACACACCTATATAGACAGACGGTTCTGTCATTCGAATGTCACCACTACTACCACAAATGCCACCTCGTCGACGTGGGCAGAACAAGGCCCGGGCAGCTGATGTTGATATTACTCTTCCCGCTGCCTCTGCTGCCATCCCCCCTGCGTCCCCTGTCCCCGCTGCGTCCGCTATTTTAGCTGCCGTCCCCACTCCCGTTGCCGTCCCCGCGGCTATCCCTGCTGCTGCTGCAGCAGCAAACGCTGCTACTCTTCATAATCCGCGTCGTCGACAACTTCCTGTTAGATACAGAACCGATGCAGCTCCTGCTGGTCCAGACGAGGGTGAAGTATTCAACCTGGACAATATTTCAGGGGATGAAGAGGAACCGGGCAATATTCCTGCACCCACCGCTGTGGCACCTGCAGGCTCTAATTCAAGCCCACTCCAGACTGTCAACAGTACCGCTCGCACGGACCCTTTGGCGACCGGCAACCTCAAGCAGCCTAAAGGGCCGACCGATATCAGTCACTTCTACCAGATTGATAGCGACACCAAGAGCAAAACCTGTGTTGCTTGCGAGTAAGTATCTTATCTGCAATTTCTTGTTGTTTCTCACGCCCTTCACCAGAAAACTTCATGAATCCGACGCAACATTCAAGGTTATGGTTTATGCAGGCTCAACGTCCAGTTCAGCTCCCCGTATGCATGCCTTTACCCACCACACAGAGCTTTACCTCGAAGCAGCCGAGCGTTATGGCTGGCGCATACAGATCAAGGATCTGAATGAACGCCTTGCTGAAGGGTGGTCGTTGGCGACGATTCGCGAACGGCTCAAGAAATCCCCCTGCACCATGCAGTCACTTGGTCCTCCCCCTAACCAGGGGTCTGGTGCCTTGCTGGCAGGAACGAGCTCGTTAGAAGACAGAATTCCAGACTTCACGCTTGACGAAATGCATCGTCAAATTGTGAAATTCATTGTGGCTGATGATCAAGTGAGTCGCAGTTCATGCCTACAGCCACCATTAATAGTCGCCCCCAGGCGATAAACGTGATCGAATGCCCTGAATTCAGGCGCCTCATCCGTCTCCTCCGCCCGGAAATTGGTGAATCTGGTTTATGTCACCGCACGAAGGCTCGCGAAATGGTTATCGAGCAATGGCAGGAATACTTCCTGGTCTTGAAGCGAGATCTCGCAGTAAGTGCATAGTTGCCAAGCCTCATACGAAGTACCTGATTCCTTTTAGAATGCTCAAGGAAAAGTCTGCTTTTCATCTGACCTGTGGTCAGATATAAAGCTCCGGCCGTTCATGGCCGTCACGGCTCATTGGATTGCGAGGGCTAACAAAGACTCGATGCTGGTGCTGAATTCGGCGTTAATCGCTTTTCATCATATTCCCGGCAATCATGACGGGCAATCTTTGGGTTCTATGATCCTATATCTCCTCGATCGTGCAGAGACTGCGGCCAAGGTCGGTACTTATCTCTATCGTGTTGCATGCTCTGACGTTGTCCAGACTGGACATTTTACTCTCGACAACGCGGGCAACAACCACACCGCAATGCAGGAGCTTTCCAGCCTGCTTGGGGAACGCGGGATCGAGTTTGATCCTATTGAACACAGGATACCGTGTTTCCCGCACGTGATAAACATATGCGTGAAGCATATTCTTGACGAATATTCCACCATCGACTATTCCACTGTGGACGATACATGGATAGTTGAAGACCAGATCATCAATAAAGTCGATTACGTCCAGGCTGTGGAGGGAAAACCTCTTGAGCGAGCCAGGCACATCGTGCGATTGGTCCGCGCATCAAACCAGCGGCGCGACAGGTTTCGTGAGACCATCGTTAGGGGTAATGACGAAGGGTGGTTTCGAGATGACAATGGTGAGCTTACACAGCTCCCAGTCGTAGAGCTCCTCCTCGATGAGCCCACCAGATGGGATTCAACCTATGTCATGATAAACCGTTTGCGGACACTTCGCCAGGTAAGATTTCGCACCGTTAAACATATGTCGTAGACTAATACTGGCCCAGGCCATAACCGCCTTTTTTGATGCTTATCCTCAACGTAACATATCCGATAAAAAACTGTGTGAGATGGATTGGCAATTCCTCCAGGACCTGGAAGTGATCTTGGAGGTAAGTACTAATGCATTCGAACTTCGAAGCCTGTGATCTAATTTACCATTTCATACCAGGCACCCCACGCCGCCCAGCAAAAACTCTCCAGTGAAAGCACTCCCGTGCTTAGCCATGCTGTTCCAACTTTTGAAGAGTTGGTTGATGCCTGGGAGTCTATTGGCCTGCACGCACCTCACTGTAAGCCTATCGTTGACATAGGCTTACTCTGGGCGAGCAAATACACCGACCGGATGGGCGCAACCCATGCATATGCGGTCGCTATGTGTCAGTCCCGTCTTTTGTCCTAATAAATGCTGATTTCATGATCACTTTTGTAGTCATTGATCCTGCGACGCGGATGTCTTGGATGGACAATCGATGGGAGAAGGACCGTGTCGATGAAGCAAAGGAGTTTATATTGAAGCTGGTACGTCTCTGTAGTAAACAAAAGCGCGACATTGGATTGACTCGTTCCGCAGATGCAGAGTAAGAGAGCGGAAAACTCTACGCATTCTCAACCTGTACTGGTTCCACGAACGGTGGCACGCACACTAGGCTCACGTCGCTATGGACTTCCCGGGGCGCATGCACATGCGCATCACCACGACGGCGGCCAAACGATAGAGCAAGAATTCACAGCATATGCTACGGCTACACTTAGTCCTCATGGAACGGATATACTTTCATTTTGGAATGTGAGTCCGTTCCTTCAAGTCACACCCTATGTTATTAACCACGAGCTGTTGACTAGGCTTCACAGTCCATGTTCCCAACAATATTCTCGATTGCTATGGACTACGCCCCGATACAAGCCTCTGCGGTGCCGTGTGAACGGGTATTTTCGTCGAGTAGCGAAACCCATACGAAAAAAAGGAATCGCATCAGCCCCGTTTTGATGGAAGCTTTACAGATGGTTAAGTTTTTCCTGAAGAAAGAACGCCTTAATTTTACGAGAGGTTGGGCAGCCTCCCAATGGGACATGGAACGTGGGGTGGTACACGACCAAGGTTCTAACGAGCAGTTGACAGCCACCGCCAGCGCAAATGACGCTCTTCTCAGAGCCATTGCTGAGGAGGAGTGTGACAATATCGAGGACACCGCTACCATTTACGACAAGTGACGCTTACTTCTTTACTGACTTTTTCATCTGTCATTTGCTATTTCGCCTCTCGCCTTTTGTTCACACTATGTTGCTCTTTGTTGTGCTGGTTTTGATTTCAATTGTTTATTTATTTTTCACCAGCCGCAGTGTGCGCCTCTGACTTCAACCCTCCAGCAAGGAGTTTTAGGACGTGCTCTTGAGTCTTGACCCTTGAGACCATGGGCGGTGTTTTCACCAAGCTCATTCCCCGCAACACAGACTCGCTGAAAATCGAGCTGTACGTCGCCTGTGGGATTTGGAATCCTGCGACACCATTTGTTACAGGAAAAATGCTCCTTGCCCGTGCTCTTGCCGCGAGCTGTCGGGCTAATGGCAAGGGAGTCTGTAAGTTGCACTCCTTTCCGTCAGCACGCCACCTCTCATCATTTTCTAGCCTTCTTCATGCGCAAGGGCGCTGACTGCCTGTCGAAATGGGTCGGTGAGGCTGAACGCCAACTTCGTCTTCTGTTCGAGGAGGTGCGTGACTGCCAACCGAGCATCATCTTCTTTGATGAAATTGATGGTTTGGCACCCGTCCGGTCATCGAAGCAAGACCTTACGGGTCTATCGACCACGACTTGTGCTCCATGGGTCTGCTGGTATGGGACAAGGCTATTTAGGAGCCGCCGCCCTCCATCATTTGGAGGGATATCATGTTCAAACTCTCGATCTGGGGACACTTATGGGTGATTCAACACGGGTAAGCTTATCTCATCCTCCTGACAAACGTGTCCTCTTCATGGTATCATTAGACTGTGGAAGCCGCTGTAGTTCAACTATTCATCGAGGCTAAAAGACACCAGCCCTCGGTTATCTACCTTCCTTCTCTCGATGGGTGGTCAGCAGCAGTTTCCGAGACTGCACGATCCACTGTCAGATCCATGCTTGACTCGCTTGCGCCTACGGACCCCGTCCTCATACTTGCCATTGTAGACGGTCCGTTTTCCTCACTACCCCATGACGTCCGTTCGTGGTTTGGTATGACCCGCGAGAATCGCCTCACACTACCGAGTCCCACCGAAGCCCAGCGAGACGCGTTCTTCTCAAGTATCATCGCGGACATCCGTCGACCGCCGAATCAGTTCGCAGATGGCATCAAACGACGAAAACGAATTCTTGAGGAGTTACCGATTGCGCCTCCGCTTGAGCCCCGTCAACCGACGGCTGCTGAACTTGCTATTCAGGAAGAGAATGACCAGCGTGTCATCACGCTACTGAAGTACCGACTCGGCCCTATACTGACGGAGCTGAAACGCAAGTTCAAACGATTTACCAAGAAAGCTAGGGTGAGTGTGGACTAGCGACTACACTTGCAATGATTAACATCCTTGCTAGACTTCGATCCAATTCCTGTGGCCAATGAAGTGGAAATCAGTTGCTACCACTACCACCATAGCCATACAAGGCGAAAACGATGTAATCGACGCAGGTCACCCAGGAGCAGCCAAACGGCATCATCAACGGCATCCATCCTGATCCTCAGCCAACTGAACATCCAGCTCCACTACCGCCTTCTGTCTGCGTCTCTTCTACCCCCTACATCAAAAATATTAGCACCCGGTTCTACCACCTGCAACGATCCCCATACCCTTCATCTTCAAGATCCAACGCCGCCACCTCGTCCTCCACGATACCCGTGCTCTTTTGCTGCGTTTCTTCGTCGCGCGTGGCTCATGTAGCTGCCGTGGGGGAGAAACGCAGCACATTTCCTACTTTTCATTAGTTTTTGATCACACGCTAACGAAATAACGACTCACTGGATCTTGGGGGGCCATTTAGCGCTTATCGATCGTGCGTAGATAGTTTGATCTTCGATAATCTCACATTGTAATCTATTTTTAATTAATTGTAAATTTGTATTTCTAAATTTAAATCAAGCTAAAATTATCAGTCTGAGCCAGTTTAAAGCCGCTTACCGTGGTTGCATCAGCCGGACCGAGTCGATATTATGTAAGCAGCCTGACTTTGAAGTTCCGGTTAAACCGGTGAATCAGAACCGGCTTTAGCCGGCGCTAGCCAAACCTGCGGCAACACTAGCCCGTAGTAAGTATTCGTGTGGTACACCTATTATAATTAGACTCAGTTATAGTTTGAACGGCCGGGAACTTCCGAGACTGCTTCAACGTTTCATCCGAGAAACTCTTCGCGGGAATTGTTTAAGGTTGACCAGCGCACCATGTGGGATAATATCAACGGCCGTCTTCAGTTTTATCGACAGCAGCATTGCCACAACGCCCAATGGTGTTTCCCGACAGGCCGCATCACCGCCTACCTGGTATTTCCCGACATGACCGCCGAATGACGAAACGATTCGTGATCGATTGATCGTTGAGCAGTTCAGAACGTTCAAACGTTCAAAAGTCAATGATTTGTATGTAAGTGATAGCGTCCATGTCGACGTATGCTCATCGCCACTAATATTGCTATGCTACGACAGAGCACGGATTCTACAGTTCATAACAGACTTGAGTCACTTGAACCGTTTTGACTTTGAACATCCATTGCATAACGGCGCGATATGCACGGAGTGACAAAGCAAAGGCATCTCAACCAAGGCCGAGATATCACTTTCAGCTTACAGCTTACTCCTTGCTTACCTGCATCGCAACCCATCCGGGGTTTCCTCGCCCGGCATCTGAAAATGTAAGTCTGCATTGTTGAGTAACCGAAATGGCTGATCTTCGTTGTTCATCATACGTCTTATCGGCATGGTTAGGTCCCCGTGATGTTGCGAGTCAGTGCAAATTTGCATTAACAGCGCGTCCGAATGAATGCAGTATTTGCACAGTCCCAGCGCAGCCTCCGTGCTTGTCGCCCCCTCTGGAGTACATAAGGCGGGGGGAAAACAGCAATATTCCATCATTACCAACATCTCTACTATCATGTCCGCACTCGTCCTCCCCACATTGACCGCATTCACTTCTGGGCGTCTTAGGGCCATTCTGACGGCTAAGAGCCAAGCGGATTTCACCACGGCGTTTGATGCGCTTTTCGCGCGCAATGTTAATGTTGTGTACAATGGAAAACATCTTACAAGGGAGCAGTATCAGGCACAGCTGCTCAGTCAAAGCAGCGCTGCTTTTGGAGAGCAAGGTGCAAGCGTCAGCGTTCAAGGTCAACTAGAAGTCCCTGGCGACCAAGGCCAAATCGTAAGTAATCACCTTTTGTTGTGCTCTGCAAGTCCATTGAAGGAATGTTGTAGTCTGGGCTTGTCGGTCTCTTTTACACTTCCCTTGTTGACTCGAGGTTCCTAGTCATGGGAGCTCCCGCTGAGAGCAAAGTGGTTTCCTCATTCAATGTTATGTAAATATTAATTCTTCATTTTGATTGCTCAGCCATCTGATCAATCTTATGCTGCGCAGCATTCAGGCCACAGAGCCTCGACCCCAGACTAACCCTCTCATCCGCGGGTATTTTGACCCCCGTCGCGTAGTGACGGTGAACCAGATTGCCACCGACCAAGCCCTGCATGTCACTATCCCTGCTGCGTCCATCAATTCAAGCTCACCCGGTGTCACGGAGAACGTAGCGTTGGGCCCTGGCCCAAGGAAGCTTCCGCCGGGACCGTTTGGTTCACATTTTGGGCCCAGACCGGTACATCTGGATCCTATAGAGACGAATGCTCACCCGGAGACGTTCCCAGGGGACGGGGAGTTTGGCGCTCCTCCTGTCCTAATCCCTGGAGAAACTATCGGTGAAGACACTAATACTAAGGCATGAGTGTCCCGAATGCCCTCTTATTCTGCACGATTATCCATCATACGGACAGTTCTTGACCTATGTATCACTACTTGTACATTAAGGGACCTTTCGCAGTCGAAGTAATCTTTCTGGAGGCAGTTGTGGTGATATAATATAAACTTTGGAGAAAATGGTGTGATGGAGTACATGGAATAAGGTTGAGAAGTTGAGAATTATATCAATCGCGCAGGATCAACAGGCATGATTCATTCAAGAATATTCCCCGCGGTCGGCCTTTACCTGATCGCGTGTCAATGAAGATGCAGGATCCGCATTCACAACACCTACATCAGCCTCGCTCTCCGTCGGACAGGGTTCTCTCACAACTTCCGTTATCTCCTCATAGACGATGTGCCGCTCGACGGTGCGCCCGCCGGACTGTGTGTCTGTGCCTTCCTGATCTATGCCAAGATCACCGGCACCGACGACGCCCTCGAACTCACCCACTCTCGCATTGCCGAGAGGGCCAATCACTTCGTCTTTAAGGTAGGTTGCCTCTCTGTGATCAATCTGCTCAGGCTCGTCTGGTTGGTGCCTCGCATTGACATAATCAACCGTCTTTTGCTGAAGATCATGGATCGTGACAGTAGAACGATCAGCCTTTAAGAATGATGGTCAATGTCGTTTTCCCCCAAGTCTCGATATTTGTACTACGCACCTTCACGTGTGCTTCAGATGTAGATGCCAGGTCTTCGTTCCACCCTGGTGCGTCATCGATTGGGGTCGAGGTTTTATGCTGGATACCGGACAAGTTCCTTCGTTTCTCTCTGTCCAGCGTCTGCAGTGAAAGAATTTATGCTGCATCAGGGGTAAGCGGTCACGAGCAGACATACCTCTGGATCATTGTCATGCATCGTACTTTTGCAAGAAAGTCATGATGAGCAGAGTAGTACGTGGAGTTGAACCTGCAACCAAATACCTAGTATACCGTCTTCCATACTGTCAGCCTTTTAGAAAGGGTGTCTGCTTAATTAGTGGGCGCACCTCGCACTTGCATATCGTGAGGAAACTCCGAGAGTCCCGGAAACTCTCTTTATTGAGCAGCGTAATGTAGGAAGATAGCTCATTTTGATATTGAACTAGGCGAAGGGGATGGACTTTGAGTGCAAGAGTCGTACACCTAGCTGAAGTAGTGACCATGTGCCACTGACGTCATTGGTAAACCTGGTCCAGAAGGGTGTGATGTCATGAGCGTGGGAGATGGCTCCCTTTTTTGGGCATCGTTGTGTATGGCTTGAACGCTGCCAACTCATCTTTCTCCACCGTCCAGGATTTAGAACTAGCGAACGAACTTCATAAGATAGCACCTGCCTTGAAAAGGGCCATCTGGTGAGTGCACGCGATTTAATCTTCATGCTAGCCGCGGGAGCGCTGAGATCCCAGATCATGTACATAATATAGGCATTGAACAGAGGCAGGTCCTCTGTTTCGGTAAGGATTTAATTATGTTCTTTCTCCATTGTATCTTGGTGGCCTATCTAGATGTGAGCGCCTTCTGATCCACGCGTTCCAGCAAGGACCCGGGAAACAATTTCGCACCCATGTCATGATGTTGCAAGACTAGACTCTGACTAAATCTTTGCACGGTGCTGGCAGCCTGTCACAGTGATTTCTTCAACACGTCATGTGCTGGGAGCTGCGCGTTTCTCAGCGGGTGGTTGTGCTGGCTTTGAGAACTTATTCCTCAGCGAAGTAAGTTCCCGATCTTTAAATTTCATTTTAGGTGACTTGCCCATGCGACAGTGTCGAAATGAGACCCGTTTAAACATTGGCCCGAATGCGCTTTCTCAGGGTTCCCCTAGTCTGGTTCACTAAGCATTATCTTTGGCGCTACTTGAAGACACGTATACTAGTACGTGCAATGCCTTCGTTGGTTACTCTGGTGTGTTCGTGATGATATTACAACTTGAAATACTTCGTCACTTTTGGCTCAACCGCCTCTGATAACCTCATCTCCCAGCCACCAATACCGCTCGATATCTGACTTTTCCAACCTCGAGTTTAGCCATAGCTTCTTCAATTCCCTCGGCCGTTAGCGGGAACTCTTGAGTGATGGGTTTGATGCCATTGACAGCAGCAAATCTCAGCATCTTGACGTGGACCCCACGCGATGCACAAAAGCTTCCCTGTATTGTCAACCCCTTTGACACGAGAGGTATATGGGGTATGGCCAAATTCCCCTCAGACACTGTGATAGGATATATAGTGGCATTGGGCGCCAGAACCGGGAGAAACCTATGAATTACAAAAGTCAATCCAAAAAAAAAACGTTTCATGCTCGAGATAAGAACTCACAGATTCCAATCAGGGATCTGCGAAGTAGTAACGAATAGGTGCTTAACCGGCTTCCCAATCTCCAGCTTGCTCGCACCTTTCGTGGCGTAAAACTCGCTTGCGCCTAGACTCTTCGCTTCTTCCTTCTTACTTTCGCTCCCAGAAAAAACCACAACTTCGCATCCCATTTTCGCTGCAAATTGGATGGCAATGTGACCAAGACCACCAACACCTACAATTGCCACTCGGTCTGTAGGTCGGACATTATACAAATACATCGCGTTGAATACCGTTGCTCCGGCACACATCAATGGCGCTGCGTCCGAGGAAGTGATAGAATCGGGGATATGGAAGAGGAAGGCTGCCTTCCACACCGCATGGGAAGCGAATGCGCCTTGGTCAGTGTTGGCAGTTGCGTACATGGCTCTCTCTGGGCAAAACATCTCGTTTGCGTTGAGGCATTCATCACAGTGCCCACATGAATTGTGGAGGTAACCCCAGCCAGCGCGATCGCCACTGTCAAAACGCGTCGATCAGCTAGAGAACATCGCGAACGATAAACGTATATACACTTTGAATGAGGTGACTTGCGATCCGACTTGCTGTACGAGGCCAACGCCTTCGTGGCCGAGGACCATGTCCGATGTCTTGTGATGCATGTCCGTACCGCACAGGCCGGCATGGGTGATTTTGAGCAGAACTTCGTCTGGTTTGATGCTTTCCTTGTGAGTTTTCGACTCGACTATCTGTCCAGTGGAGGAGCCTTTGAAAACGGTGAAGTCAATTCCAGTCATGTTAGACGCTGCTCGTGGGGAATACGCGACGGAATAGATGTCAGGGGCAATGTGAGCAGATGATTGAAGACTAGGGCCTTTTATATTGAACGGAGTGATGCGAAGCTTTACCAACCTAGTGTGGGACCTCGAAGAAGCGCTGAATTCGTTATCCGGATCCTGCGAGGGGTAATAGCTTAGACCATCGAAGCCACGCTGCACGCAGGAGGTGTACGAGAGAAATCAGAGTTCGCATACTTTATGGAGTTGACTTAAGGTGGCACCTGATGATCGCTAGAAGCGCCATGACATGCTTCCAGTGGATACTTCGCTATCGACCTTCCCGGCGTCTGAAGCTGGACAAGGGGCCAAGGGTAACCATTTTTAACACCTTCGACCACTGGCACGTGTAACCGAAACGTCGAAAGAGCGCTTGTGTTCCTATAATTATGTTGACTGGAGACTTTGTTCATCCAGATTCAGCGCCTGATCAGCGTCAAGTTCATGGCATGTCCCGACTTTGAGCTGAAGGCGCTCAGTGCCCACCCCTACATAAAATTAGTTAGCGCCATGGAGCCATTTGATTCGTATCTGTCCAGTCATATGTGTTTCACAGTGGCTCGACACCAACACTGTGGCACAGGCGTTTCATATCTCTACGGCGCATGGCAGCCCCTGTTCGAGGAGAGCGGCTGCCGTTGTGTCTGGCCGTTCTTAGCCATGCTTCCTAAATCTCCAACTGAGGGGGATCTCGCAACGCACCGAATTACTACGAAGAGTTCAACTGGATCAGCCCACATCGTGTACTGTTACTGCCGACATTCATGGGCATTGGGCAGACATAATTACCCACCGGCGTTGTTTGACGGCCCCTGGGATTAGGATGTGAGTCGATGGCGGCCCGAGCAGAAGCGCGACTTGTTTTAACGACTCGTACAAGTGGGTTGCCCACGCAAGTTTATAGAGACCACTGAGGTCTGAAGGTGTACATTAAAGTATCTGGATCACGAGAAGCGCCATGCAATGATTTTAGCTATGCCAATTTAAGGACCTACAGATGAAACCTAAAATCAAGCCAAGAGTCCGATTATACTTCAACCGATCCAATGCCAACGCCGCAGAAGCCTACGCCCCTCAAGTTCCAGCGGCAATCGGTGTCCTGTGCATCTCCAGAATGGTCAAACGCTCGGCTTATCACCGTGAGCTTGGTCTTCGAGCGCCCATTCCTCTGACCGTTGTTAGCCCACTCGAGAGCATCGACGTCGATGTCTACTACGACTTCGCCTTCCCACAGTGACCAACTCCAGTTACCTTCTTGGTATGTGATTCGTGCTTCGTGCCATGTCTCACCACCATCTCCGCTGATTTCCACACGGGAGATAGGGGAGTGGGAGTAGGCGTAGCCTGTGACTTTGAGCGTCTTCTGGTCAGGACAGTTAAATGTCAGACACTGGACGCGGGCAACGACCGAGTTGCAGTTAAGTCGTTGCATCGCAGGTGTACGACCCCACCAATCCTCTTTAATGGCCTTCTCTGGGGAGGTGACCTATTTTGAGCAAAGATGTTGGACGTAAGCGTACATCACGATTAGATATGGATGACCTACGCATTCAGGCAACATCTTGTAATCGCGCTGCTGATAGAAATTGGGCGATTCATTCCTGGAAATAGTGATACGGTCCACCCATTTAACCCATCGCATGCCAAAGTAACCTGGCACAACGACGCGCAGAGGGTATCCATGATCTGGCGTGAGGGGTGCGTCATTCATCTAGTGGGAATCGTGAATATATGCTGACTCCTTGAATCGATAATCTGACCTCGTATGCGAGCATAGCAGCACCGTCCTTGGCCATGATCTCCTCAAGTGGAATAGACCCTCCATAAGTCGCGTCATCCTCGCACGGCGCAACGTTCGAAGAAAAGCAGACGTGGAAACCTTTTTGGGCGTCTTCCTGTTCAGGGATTCCTGCGCTGAGCAATATGTCACGCAGAAGTACACCGCCCCAGCGTGCATTCGCGATGGTACCCTCGGACCACTTGATACCTCGCACTTCTTTCCCAGTCTTTTCTTGCATCTTGGCACGACGGTTACCAGCGCACTAGATTGAGTGGTGGGTATGTTCGTTCCTGAGATGGCAGAGATGACGTACGATGAGAGCAGCTACGGCGACCTTTCTTGGAAAAGATGCAATCATGTCCTTGACGTTCAGCACCTTCTCCTCCACCCCTTCCATTTCGCCGTCTATCTTGACAGTATAACTGTCAAATTCGGATGCTAGATCCTTTATCACAGCTGGGGATGCCACAAATGCCATGTCATCAGCAGCGTCCGAGGTAGAGCCAGGCAGTGCAGAACGAAAGTCGGACGGATTGGTATATCCAGGATTAGATTTGATCGCAGATCAAAGGATTGAGAACCAGAGTCAGGTGAGATACAGAAAAGGCATAGTTTGGAAGAAACATACAGTGGTTACGGGCATATGCCAGGTGCAACGGTGTAATAGGGTGCTTCGTGAGCTCTACGAGGCATGGTGGTTCGGCATTGAGTGGCATCTGGCCGAGCACCCGCAAATCGGTCTTGCCCATGTTGGTATTGTCTAGGCCTAGGATATCTATTTACGAGAGGAATGGTAAAGACTAGAAAAGCAAGGTGTCAGTGCAATGAAACACACTAGCCAGGAAGTAGTCACCGAGGCAAGAAGTGTATACCTCACTGGAGAAGAAATTGAACGATGAGGCTTGGGGAAAGTGGGCTGATTTTATAGAAAAAACATGTATACGGGAGCTTAGATCCGCACATTGATGGAGCTCAAGAGCTCGAGCCCTAAGACCTGGGTATAATATCTGTCGATTGATCCGTAACAAATTTAAACTCCCAACAAAAGATTCGTTTGTTCCGAAATCATCACGTGCAAGGAAGACAACTCAACACTGTGATATCGAGCAAAACGCTTCAAATTACATGAGGATGTTAACTAAATGTCAGTGTGCTGCTTCCTGTGTTTACTTCTAGACATAGGTAGTCTATTCGTCTGCTTCCCCTGATACGATAACATCGTCTGGGGGAACAGTTAGCGTTTCGCAGGGAAGAAACAACATCGACTTGCCTATTTTCAGAACTGCTCGAACCAGCTGCAATTGGGAAAAGGCATTGAACATATTGGATCACAGTGGCAAGCAAAAGGGTTCGTACCTGGGTGGCGAGTAGATATTGTTGTCGCTTCGAAATCAGAGGGTCATAAACGAACTGCTTCTTCATGTCTAGAATCCGGAGTTTGATTCAAGTGTTTCAAGTATGCAACGCGGTACAACGCACCATTCTCCCCCTTTCCAGAACAGTCAATTCCAAGCCTGGAGTTCTTCTCTGTGACCTGTCGACTCTTGACTTCTGTCAATGTCTCGATTGGCGAGAGACCGCTGTTCTCTGCAAGTGCAAGGGGGATTGCGTCGAGAGCAGCTGCAAAGGAGCGCATCGCATATTGCTCAATGGATGGGATCTCATCAGCGGCTTTCGACACGGCGATGGAGCAACTGATATCCGCAGCACCACCCCCATAGACCACGCGGTTGTCCACGACAAGATTGCGGACTGCGCAAATAGCATCGTGCAGGGCACGTTTTGCCTCATCGACGATCTACGTGCCTTGATGTCAGATAATGCGTGGAGCGAAGGTGAATAGAAGGCAGACCATTTTATTGCTTCCGCGTACAAATATTGTGACGGCGCGGGAGTTGGCACACTCTTCAATAACGAGCATCTTGTCGCGGGTTGTGCCAAACGTGACCTCCCGCACGATACCTGCCTTCCCAAGTTTTTGCGCCGTAAGATCCTCGAATCGGGGGACGATTCGACCTTGTGTGGCTATGGCGATCAGCTAAGAACAGAATATTAACGATACTTTTAGGGTAGGGAGAATTTGTGAAACTCACCTCAATTTCTGGCCCACCAACCCATCGAACGGCAGGCAGCTCATTCTGCATTAATAAGTGATTGGCTTCGTCATCAAAGCCCCACTGGCAAATGACCAAATTCGCCCCAGTGTCCTTCACCATCTTGATCATGTCCTCAAACTTCCCCTTTTCATATTCCCGGAGTTGCTTAAACTCCTCTACAGACGTGATGTCGAGCTTATGCTTAGTCTTGGGTCGTGGAGGCTCAAAGGGACAGGTGAGAATCGCGAGGCGTGCATCGCGCACGCAAGAGGGCATTTGTGGGTGCGACATATCCTTGTCAATGAGAACGCCCTTGATTAGCGTCGTGTCGGCAAGGGAGCCGCCAACTTTGCCATCAACCTTGATAAGATCAAAGGGAACATCACGGCGTTCAAGGTCTGCAACTGTTAGAACAGCATCAACCGCAATCTGAGCGAACTGCTGCAACTCCTTCGACACGCTGGGCCAAATTTAAAAGTGTATTCAAAGAAAGAAAGAATAGACCGGCGCACATTTTGCTGCCTAGACTGGTCGTCGCGGTCTTGATAAGATTTTCTTTGTTTTCAGGTGAGAATCCGACACGATCTGAGATGCTGTCGAGCTTCTCGCAGGCAACACTACAGGCCCGGTCAAAGCCGTCTGCTATACGGATGGGATGAATACCGCGGTCTAGCAGATCTTCGCTCTGCTCCAAAAGTGCACCAGCCAGTACTTCAAATGGATTTCAATAAGAGGAAATAGATGGACGCAAGTGAAGATCGTACCGACAACACCAGTGGTCCCGTCCCCGATCTCATCGTCCTGGCTTTTGGACAGCTGTACGAGGAGCTTTGCAATTTGATGCTCGACCTCCATCTGTCCCAAAATAGTTGCACCATCATTCGTCACAGTGATCTCGCCGTCAGGCGATATAAGGATTTTATCCAAGCCTGTGCGATTGATCATTGAAACTCCTGTAATGCAATAGCTTAACGGTGCTCACCTCGAGGTCCTAGTGAAGTCCGGATGATGTTTGCCACTGTCCGTGCCGCAAGAATGTGCGACTTGGGATATAATTCGTGAACACAGTACTGTTGATCGGAAAGAAAATCGCTCACCTTGATTGCCTCTACACCATGAGTTCTTGTTTTCTTTCCCTGCTCCCTGAGGATGATGAACGGTCGGCCATACTGGAATAATTGAGCACCAGGTACGGAGTGATTTAGCTATGCGATTCACCTCATCGGTTGCATATACAGCGTCTTGTTGAGCCATGATTTTGTTGCTGCACGCGTCGCGTTTTGGAGGCTAAACGTGACACGATTATTGCGTGACAATAACCCTGATAGCGTGATGACGTGACATGGGGGGAAATTACAACCGTTAGACACCTTCATACTCTAAGCTCTTCTTCTGTTATAAACTCCCACCACAACCCAAACTTATGATGGAGCACGAGATCGATGGCTGGATTGAACAACTCAGTCAGTGCAAACAACTAACAGAAGCAGACGTGAAGAAATTATGCGACAAGGTTCGTTGGCTCCGATAAAGACGCCACCTGAGCTCGATCTGACTGAAACCACAACAGACGAGAGAGATCCTTATGGAGGAGTCAAACGTACAGCCCGTGCGATGCCCAGTTACTGTGTGCGGTGACATCCACGGTCAATTTGTGCGTTCCTGTTTATTCTTGTAATCTGGACCGCTGATCTTGTCTCGTGCGCGTATCGTGCTTCTCGTGCCTCGTTTGCTCTACGCGCAGCATGATCTTTCTGAGCTGTTTCGCATTGGGGGAAACTCACCAGACACCAATTACCTCTTCATGGGCGATTACGTGGATCGAGGGTACTACTCCGTTGAAACAGTGACTCTGCTTGTGGCGCTCAAGTTACGGTATCGCGACCGCGTTACAATCCTTCGGGGAAACCACGAGTCACGACAAATCACGCAGGTGTATGGCTTCTATGACGAGTGTTTGCGGAAATATGGAAACGCTAACGTCTGGCGGTTCTTCACTGATTTGTTCGACTACCTTCCCCTCACTGCCCTCATCGATAACCAAGTGAGTCCCTTATTCTCATACTTATATGCCGTGCAAATTATCTTTCTGCCATTTCTGATCGCTAACCTCATGATTTCAAGATATTCTGCTTACACGGCGGTCTCTCACCTTCTATCGACACATTAGATCACGTTCGCTCCATCGACCGTGTGCAAGAAGTTCCTCACGAAGGTCCCATGTGCGACCTTTTGTGGTCTGACCCCGACGACCGGTGTGGTTGGGGTATTTCACCCCGCGGGGCGGGGTACACCTTCGGGCAGGATATATCCGAGGCTTTCAACCATAATAATGGGCTGACCCTTGTCGCACGAGCACATCAACTCGTCATGGAGGGTATGTATATATTCGATACGACGCTAGCTTTGTGCTCACGCGTGAATGATGTTCAGGTTATAGTTGGGGCCAAGATCGGAACGTCGTGACGATCTTCAGCGCACCGAATTACTGTTACAGATGCGGCAACCAGGCTGCGATCATGGAGATAGATGAAAAATTATCATACAGCTTGTAGGTGTTTTGACTTGGTTGTTGATTATTGCTTTTGAACGCTATCCGCAGCCTACAATTTGACCCTGCCCCGCGAGCGGGGGAGCCGCTGGTGTCACGGCGTGTTCCGGATTATTTCCTGGTATGTCATTGGCTCCTAGAAATGCGGAATGACGTATGGCTAACCCGTCCTCACCAGTGATTTCGGCTGTCGATATTGTACATAGTGCCTACGTCGTGTATCCTACTTTGGGGCTGCGCCAGTCTCGACAACGAACATTATATACCACGTTACACGACTGAGTAATCGTTACTCATCCCTTGACGTCATTTTCGACGTTCTTCAAGATCATTTCCCCTCGCAGTTAACATGTTCCAGAAGATGTTCATTGCTCACTATATTGTCTCTCATGTGGACTGTGTATTGTAGGAGGACAAAAGAATAGAGAATTGTGACTGAGTCGTGCTGTTCTTCGTGTATTGTGGTGTGGTGTGTCAGCCAGCCATGGCGCGATGTGCCCAGTCCGAAGAATATATAGTCTATAACGCAGTCCCTCTCGACGCGAAAATCATCAATTGCGCTGGTACGTATCTAGGCCTAGGACTTAGCTGGATCTCAGTTCAAACGTTCAATTACTGGGCCATCTATGAACAATCTACGATGCAAGTCAGCATCACGTGCGCGCGTTTGATGAAGCGCGACTCAGCGCGTCGTCGGAGTCGAACTGGACATCAAACCCACTTCAGATTGATCAATGGTCACCAAATTTGCGCCATATCGGTCGGCCGGATATAAAGCAGGAATAGGTCGTTCTCTCTTGTCCTCTTAGTCTTGGGATGGTGGCCAAGGTCTTTGGGGGAGAGGCCCGGGAGAATCGCACTAGCGAGCCGGAAATCTTGGAAAAGGTGAAGGAGATCGCTAAGGTGAACCAATCCGTAGAAGGCCATATTTCTGTGCTGCTCTGTCACGAAAAGTTCACGAATCCCACGTCCTCAATCCGAGAAGCGCTTGGCTTTCTGGAACCTACCATAGGCAGTCGCGTGCTCTACATCCTCGTATTCCCCAAGCTCTCCCCCATCACGAAACTCCGCGGAGACGACCTTTTTAATGTGTGGCGGCAATATATCCTATGTTCGTGTTTCATGGCATTTATCTCGCTCTTCGTTAACATTACGTGCAGGCCACATTGCTTTGTGGAAAGAAGGGGTCTTTCATCGAGATATCAGCCCTGGAAACATGATGTGGTACCGTGACAAGCTCGGGAAGCTTATGGGTGTGTTGAACGACTACGATCTATCGTCGTTGAAGAAGGCGCTGGGTCCTCAGGGCAACGAGCGCACGGGAACGGTGCCGTTCATGGCGCTCGATCTTCTCACCGCAAGGGCACAACGAGGCGAAGTCACACACCGATATCGTCATGATATGGAGTCGTTCGTGTGGGTTTTCATCTGGATTTGCTTCCGTTATGACAGCAAAGGAGACCTCCTACCACCGGCAGCGCGCCGCTTCGATGCATGGGCAACTTTAGGCGCCTTCCAATGTCGCAAGGACAAGCGAGATTTCCTGGCTGATATAGGCTCCCGCCCAAACCACATAGGGCGTCTGACGTGGTTTTTCCTTCTGAAGTGTGCCCGGGAGCTTAAACAAGATCACGATCGTCGGTCTGGTCAGAAAGTTGATCTGAAACTTAGTCGGCTCGCAGGAGTAATCCTGGTCGACGGACTTCCAGGAGTGGTCGAGCAGTCAGAGCCTGAGGAAGATGAAACTGAGGAAGATGAAACTGAACGGGATATGGATATTTTCCTAGGCATGTTTACCGCGACCACGGGCTGGCAAGAGCTCGAGCGCCGCATCCGTTCACAGTGATTTTCCTACTCATGACATTCTGAATATAAATCGGTGTAACTTTTAGTTGTTCAAACATTCATGTAGATAGATGTAGAATATTACGAGCTGCCACTTTCCAATGCGGATATCCGACTTGATCATGAAATTCCGAAGACGAGTTCAAGTTGAAAACTTAAGAGCAAGGTCGTAGTCTGGTCGCTTTCCTTATCATTTAAGGCCTAGACTCACAAGACTCGTTCGTGTATGATAAGACTGACTCGATCTGTATCACTTCTCCATCGATGCATCGATGGGTCATAGATAAACCGTGGATCGTCGTATCACTGCATGGATCACCGGTGCCACAATCTGATTTTTAAAGACGTGTGAATGGTGATCGAGCCTGGAATAGTGGAAAAAACCATTTCCGAGATCGCCGCGAAGCAAGCATGCTTTGGTACCATGATTGAGCTTGGCTGGAATCCCACCCTTCGCGTTCCAGAACCAACGAAGGGTAGTCGCATATTTTCATCCTTATATTAGGGGTCGTCGTTGTCGACTTCTTACCTTGCTACGGTTAAGATAGTTGAATGTCGCAATTTGCCCATTTTATTCTGCAGTCAAACAGTTGGACAAGTCCACTATCAGGCGATTAGGAAACATTGAGTGCGCCAGAAAATGCAAACGATGATTGAGGTACAAGTACAAGTGCATACACGCCACTGAGCGGCCGCTTTACCTATTTTTATGCTTTCCACGATGAATCTTGTTATTATCTGGTCCTCCATTGACACTCATGTGGGTGTTTGTAGTCAGTGCTGCGGTGCACTGCGCCAAGTCCCAGTATGGTTAAGTTCTCCGCGGTCGCTTGGAAGCTATCATGATCTTATATTTTCCAGTGACGAACGCTGAACTTTATCTCGGCGATGGAAGCCGTTGAGTGCGGTATTAGTGTCGATGGGGTAGACTTAGGTTGTCTTCGTAGAAGACAGGAAGTGGTGCAGCTTGGGGATGATGGGCCAGTTTGATCCGATATCCGTGAAACATTTATGATACGACTGCTTGTCCGTGAGGGGAGTCAGGTACCTTCCTGCATGTTCTCCTATCGTGTTTTAGTTGATAGATGTGGGTGAGAGTGTACATACACGCACCCTCAAAGTGAGCACTTTCTCTACGCAAATCGTGCCATCTTTCCTGTAGTGCCGTCGACGATCATATTGAAGGTAGCTGAGACCCGAGGCCTGAGGACTCTACAGCGAGGATTAGGTCTTAGGACGAGCCCCGTATTTTCAGACAGTATGATTCATGCATAAGGTTGCAACTGGTACACTTTGATTTCGGTTTCGGTTTATGCTGACTGTTGCTTACGTTAGCACATACGAACCAACTTGAACATACGAACCAACATACGACCTTGCGGAGCTCCATCATGATTTTATGTGTGTTAATTGCTACATCTTTGTGACTCTCAGTTGAACAAGTGCGTTGCAGGTACCATGATCTCTGGAATGGCCCAGTGGCGTACCATCAAAATGTCCGAGTCAGTCCTGATGGCAACAAGATATATTTTTGGATTGACTACTATGACCTGTCGACTGCAGCGGGTTCTGAGGGCAATGAATGCGCGCGCACAGCGCCGTTCATGGCGCTCGATCTTCTTGTTACTCACAGGGTCAACGATACGAAGTCGAATATTTGTATCTTTTAGATGAGTCGCGTCCCTGATATGGGTTTTCTCTTGAATTCGCTTGCATTACAAGCATGGAGTCATCCGGCGGCCATCGCAATCATCGAGCCTTTTCGATTCATGGGAAACTCCAGGCGCCGCGGTACGTACTAGCAAGGAAGAGTCATGGCAAAGTGACTCATGGCACAATACGGACTTTGAAAAGGCAGTTCCCTATCACTAGAGTCTAGCGAAGCAGCTCGCCAAAAAATACTGTCAGCCATCATGATGAAGGAAGATCCGCGGGATGTCGGACAACAAAAATTTGAGCAAAAGAAAAGCACGCTCTGAGCGAGCCGGAAATCTTAGCAAGGTTTCCATGAGACCATTAAATCTAAACGGCCATTTTCCTCAGCTGGTTTGGCACCACAAGTTCACAAATCCCACGTCTGCAGTCCAAAGAACCTCGCTCTGCATTCCAGCACCGACAAGGGACACTCGCGTACTCTACATCCTCGTATTTCACAAACTGCAGCCCATCACAGAGCTCGATGGCAAAGACCTTTTCAACGTGTGGCATCAATGCATCATGTGTACGTAGTTAACTTCATTGTATATATGCGGTTCTCTGTTGACATATTGCACAGGTCACCTTGATCTATGAAAGGGAGGGGTCCATCACCGAGATGCCAGCCCTAGCAATATGACGTATTACAAGTCTGAAGGCGCCCTGATGGGTATCTTCTACAACTATGATTTTTCATCATCACTGTCGACTCCGGCGGGCTCTCGAGGCAACGAACGCATGGGCACAATACCGTTCATGGCGCTCGACCTCCTATCTACCGCGTGGGGTCAACGAGGCGAAGTCAAACATTTGTATCGCCATGATCCGAAGTCGTTTATGTGGGTTTTCATCTGGATTTGCTTTCGTTACAGGGAGGGAGTCCTCTTACCACCGGCATCGCGCCCCTTCGATGTATGGGCGGCTTCAGGCGCCATCACCTGTCGCAGAGCCAAGCTAGGTTTCCTGGATAGTCTCGAAGAGTTTCACCGCTCTGACATAGAGGAAGATGTGTGGCAATTCCTTGTGGGTTGTATCGTGGAGTTTAAAAGTGATTTCGATCGTCGAGCCATGCTCGGCCTCCGTGCACTCAAGAACCCAGGAGTAGTCCAGCAGTCTATCGATGAGGAATCCGAATCAGCTATTGATAATTACTTACACATGTTTACCAGGACTGATGGCTGGGTTAAGCTCAAGCACCGCATCCTTTCACAATGATTTCCCTACATACGGGTTTCTACACCTCAGGTAGTACTTCTCGGTGGCGATACAACTCTGCCTCGTTGCCCTCATCCTGCGCACCTCGTTACCCTCCTCCTGTCATACTTTATGGCGCACTATCCAAGGACTATTTCGGTGATATGAAACTGGAGGGCGCAGAAGGACAGGATGGATCGCTCTTCCTTAGGACCGCGAGATTGACCGAGTACACAAATTTGAAACAAGGGTACGAGGCCCTGGAGCCAAGCAGGGTTCCTGCGAGGGATTTCGATTAGGCCTTGGGAGTGATCGAGGGATTTGGGACATGTACAAGTAAACATAACGAGTACCACTTAGCCAATGACTGCAGTTCGATTTTTCTTTTCAAATGCATTGATTGCCTGACATTGCGACAGATACACAACGGTGTCCATTAACGGTTCCAGCACCATGCTGATTATACGCCACAGGGATGTAAATAATGATTGTGTATCTTAGTAGGCGACTTTAGAACAAAAGAATACTGATAGAGAATGGTGACTGAGTCGGCATGTATTTGTTCTTTCTGTGGGCCATGGCGCGAGGGTCGGACTCCGTTCCCCTCTGAGACCATAGATTCCGAAATCGAGATCCTTAAAATTCTTAGAAGACCTTCTGTTTGATAGAATCAGATGAACTTCCTAGGGGTGACAGTTTTGGCGTGATTGATCAGTGCCTACGAAACGGGATGTACGCGGTCGATATCCCCCTCAACACAAAAAAACAATAAACTACATTCAAGCTGGCGCGCTCCTATCGATATTATTTTTGCCGAACTAACAGACTGAGTTTTATAGAACGAAATTGATTAATGCAGCTGAGCCACTAGCAGGACTTGCCTGAATCAAATCAGCATCACGTGTGCGTGTTGATGGGAACGCGTCGTCGGAGTCGAACTGCAATTAATACCAGTGGACCCACAACCACCACTTCATCAGATTGTCTACAACATGTACGCCACGTCAATCGACCAGGTATAAAGGAAGCAGGAATCCGTCGTTCTTTCTTATCCTCTAAATCTTCACCACTTCACTAGTTCTGCTCACAACGCCCAGTCAGCACAACAACAACACCTAGTATCATGTCACATGCCGACGGCACAGGCGTAACTACCCCGCCACGCACAAACGCAGCAGCTCCTGTTGATAACACAATAAAATCCACGCCATACAACCGCGGGACCGCTTCAGTCAATGAGCACATCAGCCTGATCGGCGTCCAGTGAGCATCTTTCCTATTTTTATTGAGCAGTACCTAACATTTGATGAAGCGTCAAGAAAATCAGCCCATGGGTTCAGCGCGACATTGAGGAGTCCAAGACGTGCGAGGTAGATGCCATGCTTCAATTCCTCCTGCAACGCGCTTCTTGCAACAAGGAGACTGAGCAGCCTGATCTCCTGAAAAAGTGCATCGCGGCAGTTCTACCAGTTTGCAACGGAGAAGTGAAACCGGCGGACGCTGACAAGGCCAAACGATTTAACTCTTCTGAGATCAGGAATCAATTGGGGAATTTGTGAGTGCTTCTTCGCTGATGGGGCTTTTCATGCTTATAACAATTGCAAGTATACTTGCAGGAAAAGAAGAGGATTATTATGCCGCTTTCATATTAGTCGTCAACATTGCGCTTGCTTGTCTTGAAGAGATCAAGGTTGATGGGATGAGGCCCGCTGCCTCCGACGTGGACATGATCTGTCAGCAAAATGATTTCCCGATGTTCCAGTCCCACCAGAAGGAGCAATCTACTCGGAAGCCCGACATCGTCTTTCTTCCTTTGAAAAGCGCACACGCAGCATTCCCGAATGACTTGAAGTTCATAGGAGGTGATCATGGGGTCACGAATGCGACCGCAAAACCGGACGCTAATCTCCGATGGAAAGATGTGCTAGCTTGTATCGAGTTCAAGCGAAAAAGAATATCGAATCGCACGATCCCAATATCTTATCAATACAAAGACCATGATGCTACCAATCCTGGCTATCTGCCGGTGGATCATCTCACGCTTAACAACCCGACGCCTGCACCGACGCCAGGCGCTTCGCAGCACCAAGCAAATCAATCAGCACCCGAACATGATGGTTGTAGGTGATTGTATTTCGGATTTCGAGCTGAAACTAAATTGTCTACAGCCGTGCGCCGTTCGGCCCGACTTGCTAGTCAGCTGCAAGCTCCCCCGTCTTCCACGGACCTCAAGCGCAAGGCCCAGGCACAGCAGGGATCTAATCCCAAGCGAGTCAGGTCCGACACCAAGCCAGACAACACCAAGCCCGGCACCAAGCCAGGCACCCAGCCCGACATCAAGACGGCAGATGTAACCGTCCAGGCGGGTCTCTACGCTGCCGAAATGTTTGCGGCCAATCTTGCAGTCAGTCATTTGCTCAATTTCATCGTCATTGGTGAGTTCGTTCGTTTGTCGACATTGGTCGCATTCTTACCACCGCTTTTGTAGACGATGTAATCTGGATCTGGTATTATGATCGGCAAGGGATCATTCAATGCTCGGGCATCAATTTCATTCAAGATCTCCCACGATTCATGGTCTTGTTGTATGCTTTACAACGATTCGAGTTTGGCGACTGGGGCCGAAACACGCGCATTCTTACACATACAAAGAAATGCCAGAAAATCACAATTCAGGATGCAGACCTGGGATCTGTAACTCTCCTGCTTCACACCAGCGACGAAGAAACAGTGACCCACTACGGGTTACAAGGCCGCGCCACGAATGTGGTCCCTGTCACCAGCAAAAACAAAAAGCTCGACAAGAAATTCAACCACAAGAACGAGAAAAAGGGAAAAAGTTGGATGGTTGCCAAGATCTTTTGGGGAGAGGAGTTGCGCGATAGCGAGCCGGCAATCTTGAAAGACGCGAAGGAAAAAACTAAGGGGAACAAACTCGTAGAAGGCCATATTCCCGTGCTGCTCTGTCACGAAAAGTTCACGAATCCCACGTCCTCAATCCGAGCAGCGCTTAAGTTTCCGGAACCTACCAAAGGCAGTCGCGTGCTCTACATCCTCGTATTCCCCAAGCTCTTCCCCATCACGAAACTCTGCGGAGACAACCTTTTTGATGTGTGGCGGCAATGTATCCTATGTTCGTGTTTCATGGCATTTATCTCGCTCTTCGTTAACATAACGTGCAGGCCACGTTGAGCTGTGGATAGTAGGGGTCTTTCATCGAGATATCAGCCCTGGAAACATGATGTGGTACCGTGACAAGCTCGGGAAGCTTATGGGTGTGTTGAACGACTACGATCTATCGTCGTTGAAGGAGACGCTGGGTCCTCAGGGCAACGAGCGCACGGGAACAGTGCCGTTCATGGCGCTCGATCTTCTCACCGAAGAGGCTCAACGAGGCCAAGTCATACACCTATATCGTCATGATATGGAGTCGTTCGTGTGGGTTCTCATATGGATTTGCTTTCGTTACAGCAATGGAGCCCTCCTACCACCGGCATCGCGCCGCTTGGATGAATGGGCAACTTCAGGCGCCTCGACATGTCGCGAGAAGAAGCGAGATTTCCTGGCTGATATTGGAAGGTGCTCCCGCCCGGACGTAGAGCGACGGACGTGGCGTCTCCTTACGCAATGTGCCCGGGTGCTTAAAAAAGATGTTGATCGTCGAGATGATCAGGCGATTGATCAGCTCATAGAAGCAGACGATCAGTCAGACGACGATGATCACAGCGACGACGACAATAAAGAGGAGAAGAACCCGGATGAGGATGAGGGCGAGGATGACGATGAGAATGACGATGACGATGACGATGACGATGATGATGAAGATGGAGATGAAGTTGGAGATGAAGTTGAAGTTGAGGATAAGGACGAGAATGCGAATGAGGATGAGGTAATGGTTGAGGATGAGGTAATGGTTGAGGATGAGGATGAGGTAATGGTTGAGGATGAGGATGAGGTAGTAAAGGTTGAGGAATCGGTGGACCGACTTCCAGGAGTGGTCAAGCAGCCAGAGGATGAGACATCTATAGCGGCTATCGAAGCCTTCCTACGCATGTTTACCGAGACCAAGGGCTGGAAAGTGCTAGAGCGCCGCATCAGTTCACGGTGATTTTCCTACTTATGACATTCTGAATATAAATCGGTGTAACTTTTAGTTGTTCAAACATTTATGTAGATAGATATGTAGAATATTACGAGCCGCCACTTTCCAATGCGGATATCCGACTTGATCATGAAATTTGAAATTCCGAAGACGAGTTCAAGTTGAAAACTAAAAAGCTCGTAGTCTGGTCGCTTTCCTCAGTATCATCTAAGGCCTAGACTCACAAGATTTGTTCAACCGTCTATGACCCGATCTGTAAAACTTCTCCATCGATGCAATGATAGGTCACAGAAATATCAAAGTATAGATCGCCGTATCACTGCACGGGATCACGGTCCGCATCGCCCAATCTGTTTACTCCCATTGAACAAAGGCTTAAGAAGGTGAGACTCCTTACGTAGAACTAGTAGCTGCAGCTCCCCTGATGAGAGGCTCGAAACCGCTGCCAATCCGCTTTACTAGCCGCTCCCTCCCCATGTTGGCCTCAGTTTCTTTGGCACCACGATTGAGCTTGGCAGGAATCCCACCTTCGCGTGCCAGAACCAACCAAGGGTAGTAGTCGCATACTCTCATCCTTGTATTAGTATTCTGCAAGTTCTGACCCATCGCTGAGCTACATCATGATCTACCAAGTTATGTGTTTTGATTGCTGCATCTATACGACTCTCAGTTGAACACGTGTGTTGCAGGCCACCATGATCTCTGGAATGGCCCAGGGGTCTATCATCAAGATGTCAGCCCTGATGGCAACAAGATACATTGCTGGCTTGATGGGAAAAGATCGGGCGCCATGAATGGCACCGTGTCCGTGACATTCATGGCGCTCGGTCTTCTCGCTGTTCACAGGGTCAACAATACCAAGTCGAATACCTGTATCTTTGTGTTGTCGAGTCCCTAATATTGGTCCCCTCTTGAATTCGCTTGCGTTACAAGCATGGAGTCATCCGACCATCGCAATGATCGAGCCTCTTCGATCCTTGGGAAACTCCAGACGCCGCAGCATGTAGCAAGGAGGAGGAGTCATGGCACAATACGGACTTTGAAAAGCAGTTCCCTGTCACTAGCGAACAGCTCGTCAAGAAATACCGTCGTCCATCATGATGAAGGAAGAGCCGCGGGATGTCGGACAACAAAAATTTGAGCAAAAGACAGCATGCTCTGAGTGAGCTGGAAATCTCAGCAAGGTTTCCATGAGACCGTGGATCTAAACGGCCATTTTCCTCAGCTGGTTTTGTACCACAATTTTTTCAGATCCCACGTCCGCAGTCCAAAGAGCCTCACTTTGCGTTCCAGCACCGACCATTGGCACTTGTGTACTCTACATCATCGTATGTCATAAGCTGCAGCCCATCACAGAGCTCGATGGCAAAGACCTTTTCAGCGTGTGGAATCAATGCATCTTATGTACGTGGTTAACTTCATTGTATAGTCACCTTGATCTATGGAAGGGAGGGTCCATCACCGAGATGCCAGTCCTAGCAATATGACGCATTACAAGTCTGAAGGCGCCCTGATGGGTATTTTCTACAACTATGATCTATCATTACTGTTGACTCCGGCGGGCTCTGGACACAACGAACGCATGGGCACAATACCGTTCATGGCGCTCGACCTCCTATCTAACACGTGGTGTCAACGAGGCGAAGTCAAACATGTGTATCGCTATGATCTGGAGTCGTTTATATGGGTATTCATCTGGATTTCCTTGCGTTACAAGAAAGGAGCCCTCTTACTACCACCGGAATCGCGCCCCTTCGATGAACGGGCAACTTCAGCCGCTACGATATGTTTCGAGAAGAAGCTAGCCTTTCAGTATACTATGGAAGAGTTCTACCGCCCGGACATAGAGAAAGCTGTGCGGGCTTTCCTTGTGGAGTGTGTATGACTGGTCCAAAGTGGTCGCCACGATCGACACAAACTCACCCTCTTTCAGTTCATTGACCAGAAGCAGTCGCGCGGTCCATCGATGAGGAATCCGAATCAGCTATTGATAATTACCTACACATGTTTACCAGGATTGATGGCTGGGTTAAGCTCGAGCCTATGTTGACGCGCGCTCATGCCGCTGTACCATAATATAAAATTCACGTCACGCTGTTGGTTTGGCCTGTTCTGAGCAACCTCGATATTCAATGTCATCGAGCGTCAACTGCACCACGTACATGGTCTGTTCGTATGTCCAGCCCTGCGATTGCGGTGTACCCCTGAGCTCTGGCTCCGTACACTGTTAAAATTGAACCAGATATCGATGATCTTGTGCGCAAATATACAAGTACGAAGAGTTGGGTTCGGCTCAGCAATCGTTTACGGTGATTTTTTCCCCCTCGTTACACTACACAAGATTTTCTGCATTTTAATATCCGTAGCTTTCAGTTGTATACAATACAATGTTGGTGGTCACAGCGGTATGTATCTCACCTCATTGCGTCTTCGAGAGCGTGTTTTCGTGCCGTAAGGAATGAACGATTGGCATAGGAGTAGTTGTTGACTCATCATCAGAACCGATCTCTCGAGTGAGCAGCAGTTCAGCAACAGACAAGTCGCCGCATTCATCGCAGACATATAGTGAGGATGATTTGCATGAAGCAATTATGGATCGGAAGAGGGACATACATCGGTAATATTGCGTGGATCATCCTAAATACGGGCATAGAATAATGGAGAGACAGAAAAAATCAACGCAAAATTACCCTGTTCGATACCAGTTCCTGGAGAGCGTCCTCCAGCACAGGGTCTTTGGTACGGCCCATTCTGAGACGTTCCCTGAGCCATAACTGATGATATACTTGCGTGACATGGTACAAGGCGCACGCAAAAATGTTGGAATATGGCGATATTCGTCGACGGCGATGATGCAATAATTGTCTTTTCAAGAATAATCGACCTGTAGCTAGGTCGATGCGTCCTACTCCCGGATGTTGTGAGAACTGGGAAGCCGTGTGCCATCGAGAACGTCCGGGACATGGACAGACTAGGGGCGGTCGTAGACTCTGGGGGTCTGCGTGGGTCCGTTTCGATCAGACGTGGCACCTGTATGCGGATCGAACATGTAGACAGAGCAGATGCAGCACGAACGAGAAGGACCGTATTGATTTCATTGCATGTATTCCAATACGTTACAATGAAAGTGGGTAGTAATAGGGCCCATCGGTACTTTGTACTCGGCAAGGGCGGGTGTGGGATGCGCGAAAAAGGCAGGCGATGGCGCTGACGCTATCGCGGCGAGTGTTAATTTCCATGGGTTTTGTTGTGCTCGTGGTTGTGATGGTTGAAGCTGACGGTGTGTTGAGGATCGGCGCAGTGAGGCGGGATGGCATAGACAAGAACTAGCGTATTAAATAAAACTCCGACCGCATTAAGCCGAGCGAGCAAGCTTATGGCATGGAACGCACTGCGCAGGGTCGCAGACTGAGATCTAGACAGTTCCAACTTCCAACTTCATACTTGTGATAGACGCGACGCGTCCGCTCGAGTTGTCGCTTTCCGATACGATCGGATCGCACACAGTATGGTGGAGTGGTCTAGGTGGGTGGGCAAGATTCACACGTATGTTAGTCATGGAGGTTCTGTCAGACCCAGACTTTGTCAGCTAGGTCCATTGGCCGCAGAGACGCCTCATCGAAGTCAGAGTGTAAGTCTCCGGATCCTAGTCATGCCGAAGAGCAATAACTGTACATCTGTACAATGGTGCCTAACACAGGATTTCTGGCGTTGGTATGTAATCCGGATCCCAGACAAGCAATACCCAAAATGCACCACCCTACCAGTAGCGCTTTGTAACCATAGAACAGGTATATAAATACATGCTCTCGAGCATTCATCCACTGCAGGCACCATCACGTCCCCTTCTACATTCTTGATCAAGATGACTGCAATTCAACAGACTTGTGACGACAGAGAACTCGATGCCCTGTTTCCCTCCTCATCTTCCCCACCGACCGTGCTTTCCCCTCCACGTTACCCTGGTATTTCCCCAGAAGCAGCTGCAGCTTTGAAATACGTCTTGAAGGATAACCATACCAAGTACCACATTTTCTTCAACGACCTGCTATTTCATAAGTGCGTATGCATCTCAACTAATCTGTGTCCCATTTTACTGATTCGAGCGCCAATGAAGCCATATCACCCATCGCGCTCTGGCACTTTATGTTGTGGGCGCGAGTGGATCTCTGATCGAGCAGTTCTACAAGCAAGACGGCTCTAACCAGCGCCCAGCTATCGTGGCCCCCGAGGCTATCACCGAAGTGAACTTCACAGAACATCTAGGTGACGACAAGTAAGTTCATCATGACGCTTGAAAGGCCCCACTCAATCAATTCCTTGTCAGATTTTACACCGCGTACATAACTTTCTTCAGTAAGGTTGTCAAGGAAAAGGGCGTCAGCGCCACGCTGGAGGAATACATCTTCTGTAAGAAGTACAACTTTGTAGAAGGACGAGATGCGTCTGCCCATCCGGTGATGTTGGCCCGCTTCCTTGGAGCGGTGTTACACGCCTTCATCCATGTGGGATATGGCGCTGAACTTGGCATTCCAGGCATGGTTGTTGAAGGTGAGCGACGCGACAAATAATCTTGAACAGATCCCTGACATAGACATCTTAAGGTCTCGCATTGACCAGTGTGCATGGGCGTGAGTTCTTGCCATCGCATCTTTTTGAGCCTAGCGGCACGACTGCAGTGGAGGAGACAACCACTCGGCTTGCCTCGCTTTTCCTTAATACAAAGACATCTGTTGCACCCTCTCAGCTCGAACAACCGCGAAAAATACATGCATTCTCTATTCTTGCCAAGATCATGGAAGATTCGACATTCGCACCGAAGGAAATCAAGAAGCACTTTAAAGATTTTGACGGCATGATGTCTGAGCACGGTGCTGCTATATGGCGCTACGCTGAACAATGGACAATTGACCCGTCACAGCCAGGGGAAATCGACCGAAAGATGGAGGAATGTATTTGGACGAGCACTCTCATCTACGTTATTGGCGGATGGAGCAAAGACAGAGGCCTAACAGCAGACTTCTTCTTGTAAGTGGCATCACGGTGGTCATTTGCGAGAATAAAAACTAATTTTTGGGACGCTCAGTATGCATCTCGTCACCTCAAGTCTCTTCCTTCCATCCCTGTTGCCTTACCTACCACAAAACTCGCAAGTACTTTTGCTTCGCGGATACTTCGCAACGACTCTTGCGTGGTGGATCACACGCGGCTTACCTCGACTAGACGTTCATAGCTTCCTCAGTGCCACCTCACATCTTTCATCCGAGGGCAAGGTCGCCAACCCATTCCTCGACATTGTCCAGTCTGCAATGATACACCCAAACGATCATATGCTGAAGATTCAGCGTGCCTTTGCGCATTTCTCTTCGATTTATGGTGCACGACCCAAGGGCTACTTTACGGGTACGGAACTGGATGGCGCACAAGGGCTGGATGGATCGCTGTTCCTTAGGGCTGCGAGTTTGACTGAGGATTACTTGAGCAAGGGTACGTGGAGCCAAGCAGGATTTCCTGCGAGGGATTAGGAGTGATCGAGGGATTTGAGATGTAGTGAGTATTAGGAGCACCACTCAGCCAATGACTTGCAGTTCGATTTTTCTTTTCAAGTTTATCAAATGTATTAATCGTCCGACTCATCACTCAATATAAATGTTGCATGTTCATTCACAGTCTAAGTTCCTGGATAATTCATACTATATTATTTGTGCGTGCTAGTCACGTGTTTTCAAGATCAACCTACAATGTCAGTCAAAGCATTAGGTTTAGCACTACTTCATCGATCATCCAGATCCCACCTCATGACAACAACCCAAAAAAATCCATGCAGGCTTGTCACATCGAATTTGTCAATGGTCCACCAAATTTGCGCCACTGTCGTTCTCTGTTGTCCTCTTAGTCTTGGGATGGTGGCCAAGATTTTGTGGGGCGAGGAGAACCAAACTAGCGAGCAGGAAACCTCAGACTTGGTGGTTCACCGGTGAATGTTCACCGACTTTTGTGAACGTTCGGCGACCGGACAAACACTGATATGCTCCATGCGCGCGGGGAGGTTTCACACACGGTAAAAACCGAACGCTTCGACATGACTCTCATAAACAAGCCTGGCCATCCGCAATATCTCAGAAAAGTCCACAAAACTGATCCTGAATTTCCCGCCTTGGGTGGGCGATTCCCCGCTGTCTCCGTCTCATGCGGTGAGCTCTCCTTCCTTCACCGACTTGTGATGCCTTTCCGTTTTCTCCAATATAGCCCCATTGTAATTAACATACACAACTATACGTTGTTTATCATGAAAGACTACGAGTGTAGTTATCCGCGTTTAAACCCTCGATTGTGGATACTAGCAGTGATTGTAACAATGGGTTGCATTGCTTCTTCCCCCATTCTGGTGGACTTTGGTTGTGATGAGCACGGTTGGAGTTGACTTGCTGGGGGGATGATGGGCAGCTTGCTGATGTATAGGTGGGTGTATCCACTTTTACCATGCTTCACAACATTTTTCGTTAAGTACACACCCAAGATACGAGTTCGTTCGGTCCAAACCTTGACTGCAGACAGCGTACTTCTCATTATCACACGCATATGTCTCGACGGTTTATTGACGCCTTGAACCTCTGCACGACAACTCGTGACGTTTTAGCTTTCAAAACGACTCAACTTGTGTTAACCTGTGATAATACAGCGGCTGCTTCTTGACCCGTCGTCGAATCTGACTTGTAGTGCTTGAAAGTTGATACGACCTTTCGAATATACACTGTTTTTCCATGGCGATGCTACTCCAGCATATCAACTGTCCAAATTGTCACGCATGGCGTACGTCATGGTCACCTTCTCCGACAAAACTGCCGCCAACCTCCAAGGTCTGCATATACATTGAAAACCTCACAAGCTCTGTTGCTTCGCAGATACTTTGATTCGACCCTTGTGTGGTGGATCACGCGACGCTTCCTTCGAGTGGACATCCAAGGTTTCTTTAGCGCCACCTCCCATCTTTCCTCAAAGGTAAAGGTCGCTAACCCATTGCTCGACATTGTTCAGTCTGCAATAACGCACCCAAACGAGCATATGTGAAGACTCTGCGCGCCTTCGCGCATTTCTTTATGGTGCACGACCCAAGGACTACTTTAATTGTATGGAACCGGAGGGCGCAAAAGGGCTGGATGGATCGCTATTCCTTAGGACCGTGAGATTGACCGAGGAGTACACGAACAAGGATACGAGGCCCTGGAATGCAGGTTCCTGCGAGTGATTATCGATTATCGATTAGGAGTGATCGAAGGATTTGAGATGTAGTAAGTATTACGAGCACCACTTGGCCAATGACTGCAGTTCGATTTTTCTTTTCAAATGTATTGATTGTCCGACATCACCACAGATAAAATTTACGGTTCTAGTGCCATGCTGATTATACGGCGCAGGAATCTAAAGGGGGTAACGATCGTGTATCTTAGTAGGAGAACAAAGGAATACTTATAGAGAACTGTGGATGAGTCGGCGTGCGTTTGTTCTTTCTGCGGGCTATGGCGCGAGGGTCGGACTCCGTTCCCCTCTGAGAACATAAATTCCGAAATCAAGGTTCTTGAGATTTTTAGAAGAACTTCTGTTTGATAGAATCAGATGAACTTTCTAGGGTGACAGTTTTGGCATGATTGATCAGTGCCTACAGAACGGGATGTACGCGGTCCATATCCCCCTCGACACAAAAAAACATAAACTACATTCAAGCTTGGGCGTTCAGATCGATTTTATTTTGTGGAACTAACAGGTTTAATTTTTAAGAATGAGATTGATCGATGTAGCTACAAGCAGGACTTGACGAGACTCTGAATCAAGTCAGCATCACGTGCGCGTGTTGATGGGAACGCGTCGTCGGAGTCGAACTGCGAATTGTCAATTGCCAGTGGACCCACAACCGCCACATATTGTCCACAACATTTACGACACATCAATCGACCAGGTATAAGGGGAAGCAGGAATCCGTCGTTCTTTCTTATCCTCTAAATCTTCCCCACTTCACTAGTTCTCCTCACAACGCCGAGTCGGCGCAACAACAACACCTAGTGTCATGTCACCTCCCGGCGACAATGGCACATCGTCTACTCCACCACGCGCAAACGCAGTACCTAATCTTGATGGCAAAATAAAATCCACGCCAAACAACCGCGGGACCGCTACCGTCAGTGAGCACATCAGCCTGCTCGGCGTCAAGTGAGCACCTTTCCTTTTTTTTTATTGAGCAGCACCTAACATTTGATGAAGCGTCCCGCAAGTCAGTCCATGGGTTCAGCGCGACATCGAGGAGGCCAAGACGTGTAAGGTAGATGCCATGCTTCAAGTCCTCCTGGAACGCGCTTCTTGCAATAAGGAGAAAGAGCAGCCTGATCTCCTGCAAAAGTGCCTCGAGGCAGTTCTACCAGTTTGCAACGGAGACGTGGCAGCGGCGGACCCTAAAAAGGGCAATGATTTTCACTCTAAAGGCATCAAGGATGAATTGAATGATTAGTGAGTGCTTCTTCGATGCTGGGCTTTTCATGCTTACAACGATTGCAAGTTTACGTCCAGGACACGAAGAAAAATATTACGCCCCTTTCATAAAAGTCACCAACATTGCGCTTGCTTGTCTTGAAGAGATCAAGGTTGACGGGATGAGACCTGTTGTCTCCGCCGTGGACATGATCTGTCAGCAAAATGATATGCCTATGTTCCAGTCCCACCAGAAGGAGGAATCTCTTCGGAAGCCCGACGTCGTCTTTCTTCCTTCACACAGCTCACTCGCAGCATTCCCGCAATACGATGGCCTCATAGGAGGTGAACATGGGGTCACGAATGCGACCGCAAAACCGGAAAAGAATCTCCGATGGGAAGATGTGCTAGCTTGTATCGAGTTCAAGCGAAAACCAAACAAGCTTAACCCGCGCCCCTCTTCGTATAAAGTCGGAGACCATCTTCCTACCAAACCGGAATATCTGCGGGTGGATGATCCTGAGCCTGACAACCCCCCAACGCCTGCACCCGCGGCAGCCCCGAAGAAGACCCGAAGAAAACAACCTGCATCCGACCCTCCACGTAGGTGATTGCATTTCGGATTCCGAGTTGAGGGCTAAATTGGCTGCAGCGCGCCGGTCGCCCCGTATTGCCGCGTTCGGCAATGCCGCAGCACCTGGGCCTGCGTCCGCATCTGCATGTAGGTGATCATATTTCTGATTTCGGGATCACACTAAATTGGCCCCAGCTAAGCCCCAGTCCAGCTCCAAGCGCAAGGGCGGGGAACAATTGGGATCCGCGGCCAAGCGTTTCAAGCCCGGCAACAAGTTTGATTACACGCCCGACTACAAGAAGCCACATGTAACCGTCCAGACGGGTCTCTACGCCGCCGAAATGTTTGCGGCCAATCTGGGAGTCAATCATTTGCTCAATTTCATCGTCATCGGTGAGTTCGTTCGTTTGCCGACATTGGTCGCGCTCTTACCATCGCTTTGTAGACGATGTAATCTGGATCTGGTATTATGATCGGCAAGGGGTCATTCAATGCTCCGGCATTAACTTTATTCAAGATCTCCCACGATTCATGGTCTTGTTGTATGCTTTACAACGATTCGAGCTTGACGACTGGGGCCGAAACACGCGCTTTCTTCCACATACAAAGACATGCCAGAAAATCACAATTCAGGATGCAGACCTGGGACCTGTGGATCTCCTGCTTCACACCAGCCACGAAGAAAGAGTTACCCATTACGGACTGCAAGGACGTGCCACCAATGTGGTTCCTGTCACCAGCACAGCGCTCACCAAGAAACACGGACTCACCGAGATGGTGGCCAAGATCTATTGGGGAGAAGAGAATCGCACCAGCGAGCCGGAAATCTTGAAGAAGGTTAAGGAGATCGCTGAGAAGGAAGAATCCGTAAAAGGCCATATTCCTGAGCTGCTCTATCACCACACATTCAGGAATCCCACGTCCGCCATCCGGAAAGCGCTTGGCGTTCCAGAATCCACCGCGGGCAGTCGCGTGCTCCACGTCCTCATTTTCCGCAAGCTGAACCCCATCACGAAGCTAGAGGGCAAAGAACTATTTGAAGTGTGGCGGCAATGTATCCTATGTACGTGTTTCGTGGCATTTATGTCGCTCTTCGTTAACATTACGTGCAGGCCACATTGCTTTGTGGAAGGCAGGGGTCTATCATCGAGATGTCAGCCCTGGAAACATGATGTGGTACCGTGACACACTTGGGAAGCTTATGGGTGTATTAAACGACTACGATCTATCATCGTTGGCGGATGTGGTGGGCCCTCAGGGCAACGAGCGCACGGGCACGGTGCCGTTCATGGCACTCGAGCTTCTCTCCCCACAGGGTCAACGAGGCGAAGTAAAACACTTGTATCGCCATGATCTGGAGTCGTTCATGTGGGTTTTCGCCTGGGTTTTCTTGCGTTATAGGGGAGGAGTCCTCCTAGAATCGGAATCACGCCCCTTGGATATATGGGCAACTTCAGGCGCCGGCACATGTGGTGAGAAGAAGTTATCCTTTCTGAATAATGTCCACGATTACGAACCCTCGGACAACATCGACCCTAATGACGTACGTTCGGATATGTGGGATCTCATCATGGAGTGTTTTTTGGTGCTCGACAAAGCCGCCTTAGATCGCCGTGTTCGCCTTGTTCAACAGGGATCGAGGGCAAAAAGAGGCCAACAGACAAACGTCGACGTCGAGGAATCACACTCGGATATGGATGATCTTTTATTCAAGTTTACCACTTCCAAGAGTTGGATGAAGCTCAGCGAGCGTTCACAGTAATTTTGACCCTATATACTGTTTTCTGCGTATAGATGCTTGAAACTTTTCAGTTGTACATTCACACTACATACGAGCGATCAATCGATCACTCTCGATAGAGGATATTAAGAAAATGAGTCATGCAAGTACAGGTCGCCATCGCCATGAAGACAGACAAGCAGGGGTTGGGACAGCCCGGTCACTTCCCGCATGCCCAATTAATTCGTGCTTGAAAGCTTCAAAGACCGAACCAGCACGAAAATATGAATGACCTCGACGCCCCGAAATTTCTGCTGTGGGCTGTTGTCAACTTGTGGGCCATAGTCAAGCAAGGGGCGACGGAGTTGTCGGAATCACCCGGGCCAGGTGCCGTCCGGTCCGCATACCATAACTCAGCAATTCGTGTCAGTTCATAGGGACCTACCGGCCACTACCTCCTTCGCACCAAGGAGCACGATGGATTTTACTCCATGTCACCCTCAACCATTCACGTTTCAGCAAGCTATCTCTTTTGACCCCGAGGTCTCTGCCGATGGTATGTTACCACGATTTCAAATACACATATCCAACATGAAGCTCATCGAAGATCAGAGATCGGTCGTCTTCAAAACTCCATCTCCCATCTAAAGCGCACGCAAGAAGAACTCCAGGAATATGCAGAAGAACCAGACATCGCACAGGCAATCAAAGAAAATAATCAGACGTTGTTAGTACAGCGCAGTCCATCAACTTTGCTGCACTTATTAAGATCGGGGCACGCGTACGCACAGAGCATCGCAAGATGAGCGGATATTCATGCTCAAGCTGGCGCTCACTCAGCGCGGAGCATCGAATGCCACTGGCGCTCATTATGACCTTCCTCCTGAACCGGAAGCTGAAAGCAGAAATGGTAGGCGTGGTGGATTTGGGTCCAGTGATAATGGCCTCGAGCCATTGGACGCACCTCTTCCGGGAGAGAACTCGAGTCTTGGGTCAACTGGTTCAACTGGAGAGAATGAAGAAGAAAGCGGTGTGCATCTGTAGTCCTACGTCATTCTTCGTAATTGCCTGGTACATCATCTACTTAATCACTTTGCACATGGGACAGACAGGTTGTCATGAGTCAGTTCTTCATGCGCTAGTGAGCCCTGCCTACATGCGCATACGCATTGGGCTATGTTCCCCACTGCGGAGGGCCGGAGGCTCTTGGTGCTGGATTGTGCACGATGTTGACGCGACTATGTCTTCATACTAACTATGCCCCGAGTCATGTCCGGTTTCAGTTCTGAAACCAGCGTCGATTTGATGCTTTACTGTGCATACTATGGGTCCGATTGGACCGTCTGTGGCCAGCCCCTATACATGTATCAGGATAAGAACATGCATGCATCGCTCGCTCTAGCGTCACTCCACCGATGTAATCATGCCATCAGTCCTCCAGGGAAAGTACAAAGGAAAATAATCATAATATTTACTTATTGTCACTTGTTGCTAGATAGATTGAGTCGACTCGGGGTATGCACTATCCACACGGTGAACGTGATCATCTTGCTACGAAAGTATTACGGCGGGCACAAGCGGGCACATAGCTTCTTGTAGATGGTATCTGGCACCTCTCATTTTTTACGAACTCTCATGTCGATATGCGGCAGATCGCTAGCGCAGCCGGGCAACGGGCCTGGCCCCTTCAAAACAGTGTCCTTGGCCATATCGCCGAACGCCTTTATTTCGCCCTCCATCTGGCCTCCATTTATCACTTCCGGGATTGTGCTGAAGTCACCCCCTTTGGCTCGCAGCGCGGCTAATGCCTCAATCATCCACACTCGGCAATCCCACTGTGTATCATTCTGCACAAGCGGCACTTGCGCAAGGATAGTATGTATGTGCTCTGCCTGCATGACCAACGGTTCGTGTGCAGGCAGCTTTGCGATGAGCACCCTTCCTATGACCGTACCTTCTCGGAGACCATTCACGGCTTTGTGTTCGTACCGCCATTCTGGCATGCCATTGAGGTTGAATTTGACGCCTGACTGGATGGTGTTGATGGTGTGGTAGATATGGAAGTCGTGGACAGAGGTGTCGCGAGTTTCTTGCTTGGGTGAGAGCATGAGAGCGAAGTGGAATCCTGGCTTTGAGTTGCGATGGTGGAGGGCGATGTATAGACGGTGCTTATTGCGAGGCATGGCCGCCTGGGTCTATGAGGACGGATGTTATGATGGACAAGAGTATTTAGCTCAAGCGATTCCTTACCTGCGTCAATGCGAGAAATGTAACTTGGTGCAGGCACTTGAGAATCGACGCGCACGCGTTAGAGGCACAGGCAGGGCAGCACGAGCCAGCGGCAGGGTGAGAATATTTGGTGGCTGGCCGTCCGTTGGAGTATACGAGGAGCTGCAGGAGATCTAGGGGGCCAACGAGTTAGTAATGGCGGTTGAAGATTCCTTCAAGCCAATGATCAGAATGACATGTTTGTAGTCACGTGTTGATTCAGACTTGGTGCGGTTCTGCTCTCGTTTCCTCCATTGAGGAACAAGCTAAAGCCCATTCGCTGCAACGTTGCCACGTCATGTGTGAATGCGTGGAAATCTATGGAAAGTGTGAAATTTCACCGAATTTCACCTCAGTAGTAATGCGCTGTTTTACGCTGTGTAAGCAAATGTGATGATCATCTAGATTCTATATACCTTCTATCCCCTCCCCAACCACCGCTGCACCACATCATCGATACATCCTTCTAGGATCCCCTCCCCTAGTCCACTGATGGTTGCGTCACAACTGTGGCAGGACCGCGTCAAAATAGCCACGCCCATATTGATGTGGTCGGCACGAAGGTCGTACATTAATTTTTTCACACACTCAACAGTCTACAGACCTCTTTACTTATTCCCCCGCAAGTGACGTATTGCTTTTAAGTTTTATACATGTAAGTTATCACTAACTTTTTGCAAGGCGTTACATCATTAAATACCCTGGTGAACCCCCTTGCTTCCACCGAAAGCTATGTATGGCGCGAAATGTAGTTCGTCTTTTCTCCCTGTGGGTTGCCCATTGACAATTTGCCATTGATCTCACTTTGTATCAGCATTCTATTGATAGACCTGGAATTTGCGTGTATGATACTGGCGATTCCGACAGACCATGGATGGAAATATCACGATGGTACATTGAAACTTCCGAAACGGTGTTCCATCCTCCTTCCGGCACTGTGTGAGGCTCTGTATCATCATATCTGAAAGGTATGCTCCCACTTATTAGCACAAAAGCTATACATTCCATCTCATACTAGATGATCTAGATAGCGGCCATCCCATGGCCTCATTGTCCTAATGTGGCTGCGGGATATATAGTACGACGCAAATGCTGCTTTGCTGGGTGAATGCGCTCAAGCCTCAGTCAACATCCATGTCTTCCTCAACGCAGGACCTCATCCCACAACTTCAACTCGGGAACACATTTGGGGCACTTTTTATCGGGGTCATCATTGCAACAATGTTAGTACACTATATACCCACAAAGCTTAGCACCTCACCGAGTCCTGTCGTCCTAATATATCTCATGGAACAGGCTCTTTGGTCTAACCAATGTTCAAGCTTTCTTCTACTTTCAGACGCACAAGGGCACAGGGATCACATTCAATACACTGGCCGTACGTTCATGCTTCCTTCCATCAGTTGAGTTGTTGACGCTACATTAGGTCCTCTGGCTCTGGTATGTATACTTTCCCGCTGCCATTGTCGATCGCGTCGAGGTTACGCCATCCCCTGAACTTTTAGGATACTCGATGCTCTGCACCTGTTTTTAATAGTCCATTGCATCTACTATTATTTGGTGACGAACTACGCGAACATCAGTGCACTCACAAACATTGTATGGAGCTTCAAAGTGAGTTTTTACTTTTTGCCTTCGTGCAGCCCTTACTACAATGCTGACGGGCTCGTGCAGCTTCAGATCATCATCGATGTAAGTTGCATTTCCTATGCCATGCGATCTGTCCTACATATGCACCGCAGGTTTTAATCATCTACGGGGTACATGCGTAAGTTCGAAGTACTGTTATATACAACTTGAAGGATTCAAGCAACACTTTTTTATTTGTTCGCAGTCTGTATGCCTATCGCATATGGATAGGTATGTGTTTCCCTATCAATGGATTTCTACGACTGATACAATGTACCTAGTCGCCAAGGGCCAATCAAGAGCCCTCCCTGTAACAGTGGTGGGTTTGAAATCGACAATCATGTATAATGGCATTTGATTCTGATGATCCAATCAGGGTATAATTGTAATCCTAACCTCAGGTAAGTCTATCACATGCAATTCCTCCTCGCTCGATCTTGATGATTTTTCAGGCGTTTCCATCTGTGAGAGTTCAAATAATTGGTACCCTTGTTGTCAGCTCATCATGTTAATCCAATGCCAGCCACGATTTGGGCCGTGTGAGTGAAACAGCGTACTCCATAACTATACGACTTGCTGATAGGAGTAGGTATCAGTGTCGCATGTTCTCGGATCTTGTTAAAATCCAGTGGTCGACATATCTGGCTTTGGGCACGATTACTTTTATCGATGTCGTTATTGCATCATCGCTATGCTATCTCCTCGCTACTTCCCGTACTGGATTCTCTAGGTAAAGGGCAGTCTGTTCACTGCAAAAGATCTACCATACTAACATGGAGTACTTAGCACCGATTCCATAATAACAAAGCTTATGGCTTACATCATCAACACTGGTTGTCTGACAAGGTATTCTTCCCCCCCAGACTAGTCCACATCTTTGACTCATATTTCATGCAGCATATGTTCAATGGTGGCTGTGATTACAGTAAGCTTTCAATGATTGTACTGTCCATCTTGTCTCTGAGGTTGCCTACAGTGTGCAGCGATGCCGCACGACTTTATCTTCCTCAGCGTTGAATTTTTACTGGCTAAATGTATGACCAAAGCATTCTTATAAAATTGTGCTGATCACTGGTTCCTTTTCAGTATATGTCAACTCGTTCCTCGCACTCCTGAACGCGCCAAGCTACTTGCAGCCTACCACAGATACTAAGAACAATTCTTCTGAAGTTCATATGCGCCACGCGGTCTACCGCCCGGAGCTGAATATCAAGGCGTTGCAAGACGAGGGATCCCAGGGATCCCGGAAGAGCATGTTTAAACATTCCGGCGATGAAGGGATGCATAAAACTCGATCTGCCGTGGTCAGTAGTTGCGTTTCTGGCGATGGAAGAGTACTGATTGTCACGCTTTAGCCACATCGCCCCATTGAGGTGACGGTAGAGACGAGTTCCTTCTCGTCGGTGTGATAGACCGGTACTAGTATGCATTGTTGTCTGTCCGTCTCTTCGCAATATGGAACACATGAGTCTTTACCTATTAAATCATCACAGCGGTGGGAGACGAGGGAAACCCAGTCCATTATATCTCCATTTTTTCATATATCACTACTACCTAAAACTAAAGTCCTTCGACATACATGAATTCACATACACGTGGAATCCGAGACTTGGTGGCCTTGCCATCCGCCACCTGCGACTAAGAAAACCACGTTGCAATAGCGCGACAAAATTCTCGTCACAGAGGAATTTATACTCATAAAGTGCATATCAAATCGACTCAATGTCTCACTCAGCCATAAAGCCACTCGGAATTTGCACAGAAGGTCACTGAAAAAGTTGGACAATGATTGGTGTTAGTATTCGACAGAGACCCTCCTGTGGAAATCGGGGATTGGCAGCAGTCCTTGTATGGTCGAGAAGTACATCGAGGAAGCTCACATAACTAGCCACATCTACAAGGCATTTCATACTAATCTGATATCTTCAATGCTCCACTCGCGGAGGTCAATTGTATAGTCATCATAGTCACCATCAAGGAACCGATGCATCGAAGCCCATGCTATCATCGCTGCGTTGTCTGTATCCAATTTCAAACTCGGTGAATCGATCAACATATTGAAGCGCTGACCTGTGCATGATTCCAGTGGGGGGAAATGAAGTGATGTGCGCTCATCAGAGCTGTAACCATCCAGTGTTTCTACGAAAGCTGAGCGTGAGAAAGAATGACAGTCGAGATCAGCAGTGTCAAGAAAGGAAACTGCGGGAGATTAGCGGTTGGAGTCGTGAGCAAAGGGGTCAAAGCGTGGGCTTGCTGAAAATAAATGGATGAGTGCGGCGATTGAAAGAAAGAGTATGCGCGAACGAACCATGTGGTGGACACCGACAAGAGGCTTACCGAGGTAGCAGCGAGCGACTTCGTTGCATTCGAGCCCACACTAAGGCAACCTCCAATTCCTACAGACGACTTATAGGTGAGGAACATTTGCTGCAAATTAAAGGGAATGCCCACATGCCTGGACCTCGCGTAAATACAACACCATCGACGTCTTGTAGATGGTATCTGGCACCTCTCATTTTTTACGAACTCTCATGTCGAGATGCGGCAGATCGCTGGCGCAGCCGGGCAGCGGGCCTGGCCCCTTCAAAACAGTGTCCTTGGCCATATCGCCGAACGCCTTTATTTCACCCTCCATCTGGCCTCCATTTATCACTTCTGGGATCGTGCCGAAGTCACCCCCTTTGGCTCGCAGCGCGGCTAATGCCTCAATCATCCACACTCGGCAATCCCACTGTGTATCATTCTGCACAAGCGGCACTTGCGCAAGGATAGTATGTATGTGCTCTGCCTGCATGACCAACGGTTCGTGTGCAGGCAGCTTTGCGATGAGCACCCTTCCTATGACCGTACCTTCTCGGAGACCATTCACGGCTTTGTGTTCGTACCGCCATTCTGGCATGCCATTGAGGTTGAATTTGACGCCTGACTGGATGGTGTTGATGGAGTGGTAGATATGGCAGTCGTGGACAGAGGTGTCGCGAGTTTCTTGCTTGGGTGAGAGCATGAGAGCGAAGTGGAATCCTGGCTTTGAGTTGCGATGGTGGAGGGCGATGTATAGACGGTGCTTATTGCGAGGCATGGGTCTATGAGGACGGATGTTATGATGGACAAGAGTATTCAGCTCAAGCGATTCCTTACCTGCGTCAACGCAAGAAATGTAACTTGGTGCAGGCGCTTGAGAATCGACGCGCACGCGTTAGAGGCACAGGCAGGGCAGCACGAGCCAGCGGGGGGAGAATATTTGGTGGCTGGCCGTCCGTTGGATTTTACGAGGAGTTTGACGAGGAGCTGCAGGAGATCTAGAGGGCCGTTGAGTTAGTAATTGTCGCAAGATTCCTTCAAGCCAACGAAGAGTTTGTACTAGTCACGTGTTGATTCAGCCTTGGTGCGGTAATTTAAAGCTCTGCTTTCGTTTCCTCCATTTTGTGTAGGAGGAACAAGCCAAAGCCTATTCGCTGCAACGTTGCTCGTTTCATGCGGAACCCCTCCATGTTCGGGCCCCGAACTCTCAGGTCCATGTCCAGAGGCGACTCCTGTACCTCCATCACCGCCGACCTGCCCGACCAGCACCGTGCTGTCATCGATTCATCCTCCGTATATATACGCTGCATCTCCCGCAACAGTACGTCCCCAGGTACGCCTTTCCCACACTCTGTTTCATCACCAAACTGCGATTTTAGATTTGAATTGAAGGCGATGGATCTCAGTGTGGCGTCGCGTCACACCAGGCTGTACATACGTACATGACTTTAAAGAAGGAACGACCGTTTTCCTTCTATTCGGTCTGCTTACAGCAGACTAAATGTGGTGTGCAAGTTGGAGAACTTCATCACAGATAAGTTCTTCGATATTTAGCGGCTTTCCATGTCAAAATTTCCCCGTGCGTGCTTTGCAGTTTGATGGCCAAACATCTACTTTAAATTTGATCCTTGAATGATGTCGTATATCTGCCTGGATAAACTTTCCATTTCCATTTCGCTTTCACGCTGAAACACTTACTTCAGCAAATCAAGGCAGGGACATATGTGTATCATTCCTTAATCTCGCTCCGGCAATGGCGAGTGCCTGATACGGCGGGCTATATAATATCGAGCATGAACGCCATCGTCATACGTTTGCCAAGGTCGCTGCTCCCTAACTCTCATCATCTATTAGCATGTCCCTAGCCTCAAACGACACCGATTTGGGGCCGTTCCTTAAGGCAAGTCGTATCGTCAGCTACTATGCAGGTTCGTAGAGAGCAAGTCGGATGATGACGGTGATGTGTCAATCTAACCTTGACTGTGGTTATGCAGTTGCCTCCACCGTTGGGTTGATATACGATTGGAGTGAGCAAAACTGAGTATGAAAGAACCACTGACGTTCTTATCGTATGATGTTTCCAGGCCTTACGTTCGGTCAAGAGGTAGGTTGATGCTATTACTGGAGCAGCCATCTCGCTAAGAATGCTTCTATAGGTTGAACTGATCTGGGTGAGCGGACTCCCGCATCAGAAGAACGACGTACAAACGCAACTAACTCGCGGCAGAAGAAACGCTGGTCTCTCATGACGGTTCTGTATCTGACTGTATGTATTTTGTGTCATCAGTGTGGTTGACAAGTTGCTGACTTGAATGCATCCTAGGTACGCTATGCTGGAATAATATATATTATGTACGTTTGGATGGCTAAGCCAATAGCGTTGTACTAAAACCATCTCTCGCGATCAGCATCAGAATATTGTGTATGTCTCCTCGCACTCTGTTTTCATTTCTTCTGACCGGCGACATGCAGTGTTTATTCCGGTAGCAAATATAGTGAGTATTCCACTTCTATGCCTGCATTCCTCACTAATCAACTGCACTCCCATGTAGGGGTGAGTGAAGTTCTTAGCGAACCATTTGGTTCAACATAATGACTACCACAGCTGTTCGTTTGTTCCGAGCGTGTGATCTTCCGTAACATTTATTGTATTTGTTAGGCCCTACTGGATACATCGCACTAGATTGGATAGGTGTTGTCGTAAATGCAATACTGGGTGGTGAGCTGCGCAGCTGCAATACCTCCGTTATATTGAATTGACTGAAACGTTATACCAGTGATCATGATTGCTCGATTACATGCCATGTATCAGCAATCCAGGAAAGTGCTGATATTTCTCGTTGTCATCTTCCTGGCTGTCAACATCGCCAATGGAGTGATCGCGGCAATAATAATGACGGACATTTCAGGAGGTAAGCCTGATTTTGAGTGAAAGCCAGGTGCACCAGGCTCATCGACGAATCCCAGAGGTGGTCATTCTCTCAGGCACATACCAGTGCATCATTAGTTTCGGGGGAGATAGCATACTCCTGGGTTCCGTGACTTGGGTACTCGCCACTGTATGGGAGGTCGCAATACTGTGTCTAGCAGCCTGGATTGCGGGACAACACTTCCGTGAATTGCGACGCTCATCTGCAGGAGGGATTGTCGGAGACTGTTTCACGGTGTTAATAAAAACCCACGTACTTTATTTTGCGAGGTGAGCTCATCATGTGGATGTGATTCTCCCTGTCCACTGAAGTTTTGCGCATGCTAGCTTTATTCCTATCTCTTGCTTGAACCTTGTTTATCTGTCTCCGACGACCTTAGTGGTATGCCGATTCGTCACTGACCTCTGCATGTGGGCACGGTTCATCATTTTATAGGAACCATATTCTATGAAGTGGCGCGTTTATTTTGGTCTTCTTGAAGTTTTCTCGCTGGCGGGGAAATTTGTGCTGGGACCACGCTTGATCCTTGGTGTTCGAGAGTTTCACGATAAGCTTGTGACCGGCTCCGATACTGCATCCGGCATGACTTCGATTGTTTTCCGGGAGTGCGTGCATGAGGGGAAATACTCGATGGCCTGTGATTAACACTTGCCGGGTACTCTGCAGGGAGGGCGGATTTTTTTTGTCCCAAGTTTCGTCGTGATATCTATGTATCCATAGTACTTGGTGTTCTGAAGTCAATGAGAGAAATAGGTCTGGACAATTTATCGCATCACGACTGGAGTTTCAGAGGCTGACTGTTGCACCAGCTGCCCTCATACACTTGCACCAAGCATGAAGCCGGAATTGTGTAGGTTTGACTGGAGATCGAGGCGATCGGCAGATATAAACCATACGTATGAGATAAGGGAGGTTCTAGAGCAAGCGAGTGTCGAATTGGGAGCATGAAATTTGGGCCAGCGCCTAGGCCGATTTCCGTGACTTGGTCTTTCCAGGATGGTTGCGTGGATTCCCAGAGAAATCAAATGAGTCGACACGGTCGATATGTCATCTCACTGATAGATCTTGATACTACATGAATTATGGACACAAGTGGGAACAATGTTGTATCTGGCAGTCCTCATCTTCAACGAACTCTCATGTCGATATGCGGCAGATCGCTAACACCGCTAGGTCGCCCCTTCAAAGCGATATCCCTGACCGTGTCACCGAACCTCTTCAATTCGCCATCAGCCTGGTCTCTGTTCGTGACCTCAGGGATCGTGCTGAAGTCACCGCCTTTGGCTCGCAGCGCAGCTAATGCCTCAATCATCCACACTCGGCAATCCCACTGTGCATCATTCTGTACGAGTGGCACTTGCGCAAGGATATCATGGATGCGTTCTGCATACGTAACGACCGGTTCATGGGCAGGCAGCTTTGCGATGAGCACCCTTCCTCCTATGGCTGTACCTTTCCGGAAACCATTCACGGTTTTGTGTTCGAATCGCCACTGTGGCATGCCGTTCAGATTGAATTTGATGCCATGTTTGATGGTGTTGATTGCGTGATAGATGTGGTAGTCGTTGCGAGATTCGTTCTTGGGTGAGAGTATGAGTGCGAAATGGAATCCTGGCTTTGAGGTGCGATGGTAGAAGGCGATGTAGAGACGGTGTTTGTTGTTAGGCATGGGTCTGCTATAGGTGAGAGATGGACTAGGAGGCCAATCGCGTCCTTACTTATAGGCCACCCCGCCACAAAGACCATCAGTGTGTGCTCGAGTCATCATATGAAACACCTCATACTTTAGCGGACGCATATGTTACGATCCACTTACTAACGAGTTCCGATGTTCTCGTAGGCCGATAACGGTGTTGCCCTCGTGGCGGTCAAGCGCCGCGCATTTTTGCCACTGTGGATAGCACCTATTGTCCACGACATGACGCTTTGCCAAGGTAAGGTAGACCGGCCTTCCTTGCTTTGCTGTATAATGTAGTAACCTTACATGTACGGCACAGCAATGAAGGCTGTTTGCGCGTGCGCGAGCTTTGCCTCAACCTCCCTGTTCAATCTGACAATGAGTCAGCGACGGTCTTGTCGGCCAGCAACAGTTGTCACAGGCGATGGCCATTGACCACAAATCGAGCTTTGTCCACGTCGCGACGCTTTGGTAGTGGAAGCAAGCCAACTCATTGTGGTCGAATACTAAGGTTTCCTTTTGTGGGCTATGGATTGTGTACAAATAAGAATAAACAAGTGTGATTTGACGAACACGCTTTGGTCGCGTTTTATGTTTTATGTTGTCTGCCACGGAACACTCTTCAACACCTTCATCATCCTCGTTTTCAACGTTCTAATAACTGAAATCCAGCAGGCGACTTGAACACGTGCACTGACACATTTTTTGACTACTAGGTTAGCGCTAATCGCAACACGCCTGCCGAGTTACACATAACACGCACCTTGGAAACGTGTTTTGAGCGTGCTCTTAATCAAGGCTATCGCCTCGTAGCAGCCTTGCACGGGCTTACATATGTCATTCGCAGGCACACCTCTTGGTCAAGGCAGACGTCTAGATCACCACACTTTCCTCAACAAGACGCATCTTACTACAATTCACAACAACCCATCTGCTAGAACCGTCGTCAATCCTCCCACTAGTCCACAACGTTCAAATATAACAACCTCGTACGCGTACGGGTGAGCACTATCATATCATATCTTTTAACCGTACCCTCATCATATTTTCACATGCACGTCAGAGCTCCAACAGCAGGTTCCAAATCACCGCCTAAACCCACATCATCTGCAGCCACGGCCGACGCAGCAGACGACGAGACAGCTCTCGTCCGCTACGCTCGCCTAAAGCGCGAACGCTCACTACAGCAGTCTCAACCAACGCTCAACCCAGAGACCTGGAGTGTAAAGGACACCTCTGTCAATATCGCAAGCGCTTTCAGTCAAGCCGCATCTACATTACACGAGATGAACCCCAGTAATCCCAATAATGCATGGGCCTCTGGATCCCAAACAAACCTCAATGTCCCTCGAAGCACGTCGGTCGACTATGAGAAAGAGACTCACTCCACCAACAGTCGCCGACTAGCGCCGCCTCCGAATCGTCTTTCGCAGCGCAATACGCGTAAGCCCCTCTCAAAGCAGGACTCCACAATGACGCATGTGTCCGACTCCGAAGGCGAAGACAACCAGGAATCTCAAGAACGTGACCGCAGTGCTCGCGGGAAAAGCCCCTTTGAGCAGGTCGTCGACGTTTCTAAGCGTGCCCTCACGTCAGCAACCTCCTTTTACATGCGTCCCCGCTCAACCGAACCCGGAGACATTTCAGCTGTCAACACAACCACAAATGGCAGAGACTCCAGTTATGACTACGCGTCAGAGGAGCTGGAGTATCAAGAGACGATGCGGCAAAAGATAGCTCGTGAGCAGCAAGAGCAGACCGCATCCAAAAGACTCGTATCCACCCACAAGCGGAACCGGATGTCCATGGATAACAAGGCATATCAACCCTCACAGTCTGATATCGAAGGGGAGTCCGACGATGTTTCTGACGACGGGCGGAAAAGAAAAAGGAAGATTAAGAAAAAGGATTTAGGTGGAGGTCCTCTGACAACGCTGCCAGTAGCGGGCTACGACAAGCGACGGAAGAAGAAGAGAGGCAGCAAGACCAATGTTGATGGTGAGGAAGAAGACGACGACAGTAGCAGTGGAAGTGAGCAGGTAAGGGTGAACCTCTGTGATTTCAGCGTCTTTACTCATCACCTTTCACAGCGCTCATCGGCTCAGCGCGCGTCGACCTCCCAGAGTTCGATTGCACGTAACTCCCTACCCCCGCCTTCAAGGTCCTCGATACATCGCGGTTCTGTCCCTCCTCAGTCTCGCGGTTCTGTCCCTCCTCAGTCTCGCGATTCTGTCCCTCCTCAGTCCGACGATCCAACTGACCTCGAAGTAGGGCTTGACTCCATCCCTGAGATGGATGAGCCTCCAGCTGTGGATGGCTTTTCCAACACGTCTGACATGCCATCACGATCATTCTCGGTCGGAGGTCTCTTAGGCCTGGTTGTGAACCGTATTGTACGGCTCCTTGTGGGTCTCTTCGCTTGGGCCATACGCATTCTTGCCCTCCTGGCCCTCGTTCTTGGCCGCATATTTGGGTCGATCATTGACATCATCTTTATGCGTCCAGCCGCCTTTTTCTCACACATCAATGCGGGGCCATTCATCACCCTTGCCAGATACCTATTCGTCGCTGCTGCTCTCTATGCCGTCTGGCATCAGTTTCATGATCCTATCCTTCAAATGCTACCCATTCGCTCACCGCAACGCACATATTACGCACCCGACACGCCGATCACGAACCTTGACGAACTTAGTGCTAGGCTCCAAAATATTGAAGCCGCTCTGTCTGGTCTATCCCTTGACCAACAACGTGCTCGTGCCCAACAAGATCTTGAGGCTCGCGCACACGGAGATGTTGTCAACCGAATTTTTGCTCTTGAGGCGCGAATTCGTGAAGAAGCCAAGCGAGTGTCCGACACTGAAGCTCATCTTACGTCATCTTCGAGTCAAAGTCTGGTTGACCTTAGACGGGAGATTCAAGCTCTGCATTCTCAGCTAAGTGCTGTTGAATCTGCGCCTAGGGAGACCGTGGTTTCAATGCCACCTCCTGCTAATGACGAAGAGGCACGGGCTAAGTTGAGGATTCTAGAGGAGCGGCTCGGAGGCGTCGAGGGTAGCGTAAAGGACGCTCTGGAGCAAGCCAAGAACGCTGCTCATGCTCCAGTAAACGTACCTGCTGGCACAGCTTGGTGGTCCAAGCTGGCATCCACTGTTGGCACCGGTGCTGGTTTGACCATTAAGTCAACGGATGGCTCCGACGTCACTTCACTCATCTCCCAACTCGTCGACAACGCCATTGCACGGTATGGGACTCAAGATATCATCTCCCGTCCTGATTTTGCGCTCCATTCTGGTGGTGCACGTCCTATCCCCCATCTCACGAGTGGCACGCTGGAGTTGCGGCCAAGCACGCTGCAAGGGCAGATTCTGGGTCTTATTACTGGCCACGGATATGAAGTCGGCCGATCGCCGATAACCGCTTTGCACCAGGATTTGCACAGCGGGAACTGCTGGCCCATGACGGGGTCTTACGGTCAATTAGGCGTGATGCTTGCCTTCCCTGCTATCGTCTCTGATATCACCATTGACCACGTCGCCAAGGAAGTCGCATTCGATCTCAGCACGGCTCCCAAAGACATGGAGGTATGGGGCCAAGTAGAGGGCAAGGATAATCTGGAAAAAGTTGCAGCATGGCGCGCAGAACAAGCTGCGCGACGAGAGGCTGCGAAGGAGGCTGAAGAAGCTATATCTGAAGCGGATCTCGAGGACGACTATCCGGCTACGCTCCCAATGGACGTACCGTTCATCCGCCTGGCATCGTTCACCTATGATATACACGCGCATTCAAACATCCAAACCTTCCCCGTTCGCCAAGAAGTCCGCGATCTATCTCTAGATTTCGGTATCGTGGCGCTTGTCGTCAAGGATAACTGGGGCAAGGATGGGTATACGTGTTTATACCGGTTCCGCGTGCACGGCGAACGCCCTGGAGGTGCCTCGTTGCCTTTCCCTGTTGAAAATTCATGACAATAATGACCTTGAAGTGAGCGAAGGAGTGTACATGTGACATATACGTTCTTTATTTTTTTTTGGAGTCG